AAAAAAAAAAAAAAAAAGAAAAAAACCCACAACTGAATTCATGTGGAATAGAAACCTGGACAGCATAGCTCCTCTGCCCTAGTTATTTTTTTTTTCCCCCAGACTGATTCAGTTTTCTTTTTATCTATAGCCTTATCACTTCAATTAAACATCAGAATGAAAAAATAAGCCTATGAGACTCAAAAATGCTTGGCTCAAAAAGATTAACTTCTAATCCATGGCGACCCTGAGACAAAGAAAAGTAAGTCCTTACCACCTGAGAGGTTTGGGTTTTTTCTAAGGCTTTCCTACACAATGTATTAAATGTATTTAAACATTTTCTCCCCTAGCGAAGCAGCATTGGTTTGAAACAGGAATGCCTAGGAACTTTAATTCTCCTACACTATGCAGGGAATTCCAGCTAAGACCTTTTGACCTTAAAACCTATGACCTTAAAAGACATTATGTTTTTAAGGTATTCACCCTCTGTGCTGGTTGAATTGTAAGTTCTGAACAGAGAAAGGCACTGGAGTTTATTGAAAAAATTGCTCAAATAAATGATTACATTTCACCAGCTTGCAATATAAGAGACAACATTTACCCACTGTACTGGGACTGTTCAGTCAGCAACAGCGTCAGAATTCTGTGCTAAAACAGTCCTTAAAAAAGAAATTGTGTTTTAGTGATCCAGTGTATGTGACGAGACTCAGGTTAGTGTATCTGAGCAACTGCTGTCTTTCCTACCTTCAGTTACTCTGAACAACACTCTTCTACGTGAAACAACCTACTTAAATCAAAGTGGAATCAGGTTGCAAGGATTTAAGTAAACAGAAGTAAAATGTAAGCAGAAAAATGAGACTTCTTGAAAACTGCTATTTATTAGTTCTGTCACATCATGAACACTTATAGCTATACAGGAAATCTAAACTGTGCTGTTTGAAACAAAAAGCAAAGAGAAAATTTAGATCCAGCCTTTCCCCACTGTGACCAGTTCAGTACCTCCAATGCAGATTCCTTCTGGTGGAGGGTGGTAATAAAACTTTTCCAGTCTTCTTTAGCGGTAGCGCATTTGTCCCGGATAACTTTAGCCTTTTCCTTTGGTAAAACAGAGCACAGCAGTTCTCCTTTGGATGCTACCAGGTTTAGTTTTTGTTGCCCATTCTCACTTTCCGATAAGAATTCCTAAAAATAGCAATAAAAGAAGCTAATTGGTGAACTTCAGGTCCCAGTAAAGGTCAATGGCAAGCTCCCAGAAAATTAATAGAGGCAAGAATTTATTGTTTCTGCCCATTAACATGCCAACTCATCTTTTCATACGTTCCATTTTAAATTGCTAAGTCAGATTCTGATTCTGTGTTACACTAGAGGTCTTAGTAGAGAATGCAAAGGGTCTGTTAGCTTTGAAATACCTGAATCAAGTTCTGGCTATATTGAAATCAAAGATAAAATTGCCTTGCAACTTAGTGATGACAACTGTTCTAACAGATAAAACAGCAACTATTTAAAAAGAAATATTTAGGTTTATACAGGTTACCAATACACCTCTAGAAGTCCTAAAGCATTTACTGCATGACAAAAAAGTCTATTTCATCTAAAGCAGCTTTCTGGGAGGAGGAGAACAAAGTAATTATGTAAAGTAATCTCTTATGCTGAGAAGGGGCTGCAGTAATAAGGAAAAATATCTTACCACTGTTGAAAAAAAACCAAACAACGTACCTTGCTGGACTCTTCAATTTAAGGTCAAAAACTACTAGGATTTGTTTTCCCCGGTATTTCCTCTAAATGTATTTTCATTTTTGGGTAGTCAAAGATTTGATATATTAATACAGTATTGTTTACACTTTTAATTAAACCATTTAAGCAAGGAAAAGTGAATTTACCAAAAGGAGGAGGAAGAGATTTGGGTTTTGGCATTTTCTGAGAAACTGATAAGAATTTCTTCTGTTGTACTATCTAAAAGAATGTTTAATAGTCTCATTATGTAATTCTCATTTTGCTAGTTTCAGTTAAAATTATAGTTGTAGCCTATTCATAAAAGTATTTCTTTCACTTGTTTTATTAAAATAAATTTTTAATTGGCATTCCTTTCCACAGAATTGTTGGGGCTTCTTTTAGCTTTAAGTGAAAAATATACTTTTGAAATGCCTGCTTGCACTGCATACATTTTAACTCTATTCTTGCTCTATAAGGGCTCTACTTTCATACATGAGGAAAAATATTTACATAATTTTGAAAAAATTCCAGGTACTGAGCCCTGATTCTGATATCGTTCTCATTTTACATTACTCTACTACTTTAGAAACATATTTTTTTTCCTATTGTAGAAAAGAAACAAGCAAGAGAAACTACTATGAGAGACAATAACTACATACAAACTGTAGCCCAACAATTAAACTAATCAAACTAGATTAAAGAATAATAAAAAAGGGTTTATTTCTGTGCTATTAGTCTCCGTTAGTGTTGACAATAAGAACTGTAACAAAAAATAGTAATTAACCAAACAATTAAATCTGAGCTTTATATGAAATTGATTGGTTCTCCCTTACACTAATATTTCACTGCTATAGTTACCTGTATTTTCTGCAGACTTGCTGAAACTTCACTGATATTTTGAGGCACATCAAAGCATTTGGCTGTGGTGACTTTCGCATTGACCAGCCACTGCTGGAAGTCCCTGAAAGCCGTCCGAAATCTTTGCTGCAAGAGCTGCTCTTTGCTTTGACATCCTTTTGAAGCTTGCAGGCAGAGGCTGGATTTATCACATCAGGGAAGCAGAACGGAGGGAGGGAAGAAGGGAAGGGGAGAGAAAAGGCAGGACTCTGTTAGGTGACAACGCTATTACTTAGTTCTCTGAAATACAATGGTAAGGTTAAGTTAACTTGGATTCCTCCTACCAAATTTAAGCACTTAACTGAGGCACCAGGAAATCCATTAGAAGCTTTCAATTCCTTAAAAGCGAAGCATGTAAATTGGGACATAACTGTCACAGATATGACAGGTCTAAGTGTTTCCAGAAAGTGACTCAGTGCACCTAAGCATGAGCGGTTTCTGCAAGCCCCCTTCTCTCTTTTGGGACAGGACACGGAACTACAATGGTTATGATTCTTACTTCTATGGCTCAGTTAAGCTTGTAACATTAGAAGGGATCAATCTGGGTCATCACATCCTTCTTCTGCAACTACAGAAGCCAAAAACTATAACCTCCTGCAAGAGACAACACTATCGTGTGTCTGAAATGCAGGTGTCATAATGCCAAGTAAATCAGCTTGATTGACATTAGAGAAAGCAAATGCCAGCTCCCCTGTTTCAGAGAACCAGCTGGTCAGAGAAGGGTAAACTGAACCACAAAATTAAGAAAAAGATCTTAAATAGCTGGTATAGCTTGCTTTTCCTTCAGACAAATAACCCATACTGCCACCTCACAGTTTCTTAAAGGGATTCCTCCTGTAATAGGCCAGGTGTAGATGTACATTAGTTTCAGCTGAGTTTAGTGGCATAATCTGGCTTTTAGGAAAGAAAAAAAAAAAAACCACAAAAAAACCAACCAAATTGCTACTTTTTAAAACCTCTATTGACACCAAAATCAAAATAGTGATTTTAATCATTGTACACCTCTGTTTCTGATTCAAAAATCCTAATTAATTGTTCCCTAAAAGACAGCTCATGCCTGCCCACCCACGCCCCCCAGGGACTGATTAGCTATAAACAAGATGAATGTGTACCTGTTCACCAGAATCAAAATAGTGATTTTAATCATTGTACACCTCTGTTTCTGATTCAAAAATCCTAATTAATGGTTCCCTAAAAGACAGCTCATGCCTGCCCACCCACGCCCCCCAGGGACTGATTAACTATAAACAAGATGAATGTGTACCTGTTATACTCCTTAATCAACCCTGAAACTTTTGAAGAATGAGTACTCAAATCTCTGGAAAATTTACAAAGATCATTTAACTGAGTTTTGATCTCATCTGTCATGTGTTCAGACTTTACCAGAGCATCCAATGTTTCCTGTTAAAAGAGAACAAATGAACAACATTGGTGATTAAATTAAATTAAAAAAAATATATCAAATTCTTTTGAATCAAAACTTATCAGAATTTAAATTCAACTTCATTTGTGATCTATGCACATTCATCTTGAAGAGTATTTTTTTTCAGTCAAGCCTACAGAAGCTTATTTGAATTTATGAGCTTCTAGAGACCAAATTTATGGCAGCCTCAACTTTCTTAGCTCAAAATGTTCTCAAAGAACAGCTTAAGATACAAATTTAATCTTAGTAAACGAGCGACAGTATTGTCAATTAGCTGTATACATATAAGAGTACATACATTTAGGGATAGCAAATAATATATGTTTATATAAATATAATTAGCTGGAGTTTAGCATGTTCAATAAAAACTGTTTCAAGCTGTACCCAAAAAACTAATTTAGGCACAAAGCTTTTAACAGCTTCAACACTTCCACAGAGAGCTTCATAATGTAAAAGTACAGCTGCCCACAGTCCTGTGAGAGTAAATGGGTTACTGCTTGTCATTGCTGCTCTGGAAAGACTCTTGCTTTGGAGACAGCTAGGCCAAAAAAAAAAATAAAAAAAAATAAAAAATGCTTTTGTTGGCTAAGCTTATGTCACTGGGAGAGGTGTGATAACCACTCCAACAAAAACAGTCCTTGTTGACGTCCACAGCATCTCCACTGCAGAGTCCCGCCAGCTCCTCCAGCATAATGAGCAGTGCAGACTTGGCTCCTTGCCCACTAGCAGCTAAATTCTTCAGGCATTCCTCTTGAACTACCAGGGAGAAAAGACAATCTTCTAGCTACTTACGTTCACCATGGCAGAGGTTCTGCCGCACAGGCAGGGCAAGCGTGTTTGGCACGCATGGATTAGTTTGGCTAAATCTAAGTGCCAATCTAGAATAAATGTACAATATAAAGGGAATACAGATTTGACCAGGGGCATGGAAGCGGGATAAGGAAATCCCCAAATCTTATTTCTGAATATATATAAAAAAGGATGATTGAAAATATACGTAGCAAACAGTCTGCAATTATTTATCTACACAAAACTGAATTTTCAGAAAAGGTACAAATGATGTACATGAAAATATATGCAGGGGGGTTTCAAAATATCACAATCCACATGATAGAGATAAAAAAGCTCACTGAGTTAATTCTTCACCGTAAAGTATTAACTAACTCTGCAATAAACAGATACCTCTTTTTGTAAATCAAAAGTAAAAAGAAATATTAGCAAGGGTCTAAGCCAATCAGCAGACTAAGTAAGAACAGCAAATGGACAGAAGCCAGGGATTCAGCTCATGTGTCTGCTGCCCACAAGCAACTTTGTGCTTCCTTCACATTCCTTTTCCTGAGAAAGTCTGCAGAGCTGTGAAATTAATTTTTTAAGATCTATATCATGCATTTTTGAGGAAGTAAAAAAATAAATAATTTAAAATATATATATTGCTTCTTTGTAGTAACCTGAACTGCCAGGAAGAAAAACCACAACGATCCATTTTGAGCAAAATAAAACTATAAGCGTGTGTTAGCTATGAATAACATTGGTTTAGCCCATAATCATAGCTTGGTTATATTAACACCACTGTTTGCATTCATAGATGGCAGTGAGTTCCTGTAAAATTAAGCCTAGAGACATTTCAGATGTATTACTTGTACAAACTTTCACGTGTTCTTGCGAGCATTAAAAGATATTTTGCTACAGCAGATTTTCAGGACTCCTCTGATTTACACTACTTATGTTCATATTATGGACTTTATCTACACCAGAAATCTGTTCAACCATCATTAAAATATACTTGAAACAGTCACACTGCCAGTTTGCTTCGATGCCATATAAAGTAGCATTTGAATTAAGTAATTATGTAATAGCAGTGACACTTAGAAAAAAAATGTAAACTAATGACTTTTTGTTTATCTTACATTATGTTGAACTACATGCAGCACTTCTTTTGAAAGAATTAGGAATAACTACACAATGGCTGTTGCTTAAACACAGGATGCAACAAATCGTGTAGGGCAGGAATCACTATAAATACTGTCAGCTTTCTTTTTTTTTTGATAAAGAAAACATATCCTGAGAGTAGCACAGGGTTAGAATTGCCTGTTTTCAATGAAATTTCTCATTTTCAAATAACCTACCTAAATAACTACTAAAAGATTATTCAGATGACATACAGCCCTAGGCATAATAATAATAATGTTCCTATTAACAAACAGGAACATTAACTTGCAAAACAGGGTACATTTAACGGTGGCGTTTTTCCATACTGAAACATTGATAGTACTGTTGCAGCCACTTAGATTTAATTTTGAATCTGACAATTACCGAAATAATTTGCTGAATTCCAAGTGCAAGTTCTGTTGCTCTTATGTTGAGCATACCTAAAGGAACAGATCTTGAGCATAGCAGAATAACGGCATGAGCTTGCTAATTCTGAGAAGTAGGAAATGCATTTTTAATTTGTGGCCTTGGCTTACATGGCAACAGTATCACCATGAGACAATGGAAATGGAAAGCTGCAGTGCTATTTTACATTTACAATAGGGCCTATCCCTGGGGTCCAGAAATGGAAGGATTACTGTCACATTTCCTCTAACTATAAATAAAATCACATAGTAGGACTGCCCATAGTAAATCTGGAGATTCCTCTGCATTCTCCTCATTAGCCAAAGTTTACAACTGTCTCACCTAAATAAAGTGTTGCTACATAGAGCCACAGTACATACACAGTATATGTTCTACTACTAAAAGCAATACCCTTTCAATTTAGTATTTATTTTATAAATGGAGAAATGAAGGCTCTGGTAATTGTTGCTGTATGTTGATGTCTTCCTTTCCTTTTTTAAAAACATATAAACATGAAAAACTTTGCATATTTGTACCATTATTTGCTCCAATGTATTGTCAGCTTTGTTACTCCTACAGACACATACTGGCACTCAGGCAAGTAGTTTCCATAAATCTGTGTCAGGGAATTCTGTGAAAGGGAAAGCCACAGAAACAACTTGGCACAGACATTGGAGGAGGAGATTTATAATCTCAACTCAGAGAGAAGGTGTTCTGGGTTTTTTTGAATATTTCTTCAGCCTAGGGGTCAGAAAGCAGGCATCACACACCTCTCTTCCTTTACTGAAACTGCTTTATGACAACACTAGCCTGAAAGGGAACTACTCTATACCTTTTCTCAACATCTATGATACACAGTAGTCAAGAAACATGCAAGTGTATATCTGGATTGTTGTGAATCTATATATATGTTTATATATAATGTGTGTGTGATATATACACGTGGATTTTTTTTTAGCTAGAAGACAACCAGGAACAGAAACAATCTGTCTATTTCTCTAAATTCCACTGCATTCCATAACAAAGCAATTAGCAAGGATACTGGCTTCCAGTATAACTTCTTTAAATATTAGACAAGATGTCAACGTGCATAATGTGAAGGTTATTTCAAGAAACGGAAAGTATAAGCTCAATATATTCTTGATAAATTACGAGTAAGAAATAGCTCCAGCTGCTACTTGGCTTTTAGGAAAGGCTTCACATTTCCCTGATCAAGTGCTGCTCTGGCTTGGAACAACACTGAGCAACTTGGAAGAGAAGTTGAGAGCTGGTGTGCAGCTCCTTCGCTTCCTCAGGGGCAAGCCCTGATTTTAACATCTCAGATGCAGGCAGCATCTGCTAAACAGTGTCCAGCTGAGGCCAAGGAGAGAAACCTCTTCTGCGCTACGATTACAGCTGCAAAGAAGTTTGGAAAGTTGGGATTTCATAGAAATAATTATTCACAAATCCGTTTTATTCCCTTCTATTTGATATTCCTGCTGGGCAGAAGCTTTCTGCCCGTGAAACCCGTACACGTACAAGCCAAAAGGTGCTAGGGAAAGAGAGGGGTCCTTACTTTCTCCTTGTTTACACGCCAAAAGGTGCTAAGGGAAAGAGAGGGGTCCTTACTTTCTCCTTGCGCCAGCTCTCCACCACCTCGCCGTCGGTGAGCCGCCCGTCCAGGGGGACCAAGCTCTGCGCCCAGGAGGCCAGCAGCTCCCCGAAACGCTGGGCGGCCTCTTCCAGCTGGGCCACCCGGGCGGCGAACTCCTGCTCGGACAGGGCCATCTGGCTGAGCAGGTCGCGGAGGTTGCGCTGGCTGCGCAGGGCGCTCTCTTCCCACTGCCTCCAGTCCGAGCGCAGGGCCCGCATCTCGGCCCCCAGCAGCTGCCGGCCCCCGGCGGCCGTTCCTCGCTCGGCGGCGGGAGCCAGCGTCTCCACTCGGCCCAACCGGCCCGCCCCGATCTGCCGGGACTCCACCAGCTCCTGCAAAGGCGACATCGCCATGGTAACTCCGGCAGAGCCTCCGCCGCCGCCGCCGCCGGGAAGGAGATGGAGGGGGTGAAGGGGGGGGTCCGCCCGAGCGGGGGTCCGGCGGCGGCGGGGCTGCGAAAGGCTGCGGGAGGATGAGGGAGGGGGGGGGGTGCGAAATAACCACTCGTTTTTTTGCGCTAAAACAGCGGATCTGACGCTTCCATGAGCTTAGGGGAGAGAGGACTTCTTGTAGACACTGAAAAAAATTGTTTAGGCCCAGAGACGCGGCAAACAATAACTTTGTTGTGCTCTTTTTTCGTGAGGAAGGCTGTCGGGGAGCTGCTCACAGCGGCGTTAAAGAAAACACGGCTGCGCTGCTCGGGGAAAGCATTTTACAGCCTCCCTGTGATCTGCCATGGGCCATAATTGGTTGCACATGTCTTTTTTTTTTTTTTTCCCCCCAGAAGTGAATTCTTTCTGCAGTGTCCTATTTCAATCTTACACATGCTACAAGGGAATTTTGGGAGTTTTCAGTTTAAGAAGCTGGAGAATATAAATATCACCCCCAGCACTGCGTGCCAGGATAATGTTATTTATTCTCCTGCTACTCTTCAGAGCTAGAAACTACTGTCTCCTCCCTTCCCTGTTTTATACGTGGAGAGTTTGAGCATAAAGGAGACTGAAAACTATTCAAGAGTGCACAGCAAATCTGCAATCTGATCTTGGGTATCCTGAATATTCATTTAGCATCCTGTTCATTTCCCTGCTCTCTCACGTACAGGAGCAGTTGACAATGTTGCTAGCATGAGTATGTGAACATAAACACCAACAAAACACACAGCCTGCTTTAATGCGGCATTCAGGAAAATATAAGTGGCTTAGGCACTCAGATGCCCAGGGATGGATGCCAGGGTAAGGCAGAGAGTATTCACAGGGAAGCAACCCATACATTTCTACCATCTTTGGGGAGATCAACCCTTGCACTACTTTATACATTCATATAAATCAGGAAAGGTTGTTTCTAACTTTCGTTCAGAGAACTCTTGCTCCTGGAGAAAGCACATTCAGGGGTGAGGGCAGAGCAGGGTTCATTAATCAGCTAAGCCACATTCTTCTGTGATGCCACTGGGCTTCCGCTCTTGCAAATTGTTTCCACGTGTGCTGTGGCTAACTCAGGTCTGATTGTACTTTTACTCCACCAGTTTAATACGGGAAGGGAGGAGAAAACAAAACATAGCTTAGAAAACCTGCTCACTGCAAAATAATCACCGTTTCAAATCCACAAAGAGCAAGATCCCACAACTTTTTCGTTCTGGCCTATTTTAGAGCATAGGGTCTGAATCCCAGGTGAAAACATGAAAGCTGAGTTATCTTACATTGATTTTGGCCAGCTTTTTCTGTATGGTTGCTGTATCTCCAGATGTATCTGACCAGCGGTGCAGCTCTTCCTTTGCAGAATGGAGCCAGTCTGTGAATTCATGCACAGCATCAAGGTATAGCAAATGGTCTTTCACAATATCTTCCACTTTCCTCATTTTCTCCTATCATTTAGAAGAAAAAAATAAAATAAAGGTCATTAAAGTGCATAAATACCGACCTGGCTTTAAGCATACCGTGGTATAGGGGCTGATCTGACTCTATAGCATCCATTTGAATGTTGCATAGAGCAGCCAAACACAGTGCTACACCACAAGGTTTGGTTAAGGTCAGTCTGGACAGATATGTTCTGCTGTAGCAAAAGATGAAGTTTTCTGAGAATATACACAGAAATGTACTTTAACACATCATTTAACATTTAATAGATGTCAAAGCTGCAGCTGTGCAACTCTGGTAAGCTCTTCCCAATAACCCCTGGAGAGGGTCTTACAGATCACCCATGAACCATCCCAGGGAGCAGCATACTGCCAGAATCACAGCTCTTCTTTAGAAGTACTGTTTACCTTACTATGAAAAGGTGAAATAGTGTACTGGTCTAGTACACTGGTTTTGGTTTTACTGAGTAGTTTTGTTCCTATATTCTTGTGAACTAACACTGCGGGAATGTTTACCAAAACTAACCAAAAGTGCACTGAGCTAATCAAGTAAGTTTTTACTCCTGTGTGGATACTCTAGATCTAAGCGTCTTTAAATTGCTTTCAAACTAAACCACTTACTTATGAATTAAATTCCAGTTATTTTTAATTTTGAATAACTCAACATTCAACTAATGCTTTTAGAAATTAAGTTAGATTAATAAGCCCTACTGTTCCCTCTGAAAAAAATCATCATAATTTCTCAGACTGTGTCAGACCAACTAGCCAATGGATGGTTACTAGCTAAACAAAGACGACCTCAAGTAAATCCTTCAAAGTTTTTACATCTTAATGCATTTTATGCAACAACAGAGCAAGAAAATGTCCACACATGCCTGACTCTAAACAAAATAGGTAGATCCCTGTCCTGGTTTGAGCGACACAGGAGTAATTTCTCTTCTAGTGCCTGGGAAAACTGCACTTTTAGAAGACTCTAATGTCTGTATTTGTGAAAAAATTTACTTTATAGCCAGCTATGGTATGTGGGTTTCAAGGTCTCAGTGTTTTTGAGTTAGCCAGGTGCAGGAACGAGGAGGAGCGAGACCCAGGCACTTGACCCAGGTTGGCCAACGAGATTCTTTCGTAACATGAACATCACAATCAATATAAATTAGAAAGTTTGCTGAGGATTTTCTCTCTTCTATGATGGCTGTGATCCTAAAAACGTCCTGCCCTGATGCCAGACCTCTGAGGCCTCCCCTTCCTCCCAAATCTGTAGTGCTCGCAGTGTCTGATATTTGCTGTCTACAGTGAGGAATGCATGGCTTCCTACTGATATAATTGACTGAGTATAATCTTTGTATATTTTATACTGTTATCAGGATCAATACTGGGGTATTTTTGGTGTTATCATTGTTAATTATTTAGCCTTATTCTATTAAATCTGTTTATCTCAGCCTTCAGGTTTCCTTGATTTTTCCTCATTCCCCTTTCCAGGTGGAGAGGGTTCAATTGGGTGATAGAATTGTCTAAACGATAATAAATTGTTGTGGGTGCCATAACACTCCCTAAAGACGCAAAAGAACCCCAAGAAAGACAACTGCAGACCTTTGTTTACTTTGCTGACACCAAAATATAGCACCAGTAGAGGGGTAGAGTGGAGTGCAACTTTAGTTGATCTCTGCTGGTGGCAACAGCTCCTACCAGTTACACTCAGTGTTGTGCTCTCCCAAGGGAAAGATTGCAAAGCTTAATTATGTTTTTAGAAGAACACCTCCATGCTCAGGTAGGATACTCTTTTCACACAAGTTTAAAAGCATTCTATTGAATGAAACAGTAACCTTGGTATTGCTCCAGATTTAACACCACTGAAAGAAGTGGAGTTATATGAGCATGAAACTCTATTAATTTTCTAGAAACCAGATTCATAGCTTACTATTTCCAGCAAAAAAAAAAAGAGAGCAAAAGTTCATCATAAAACCAAAAGACTGACAAATTACAGACTTATTATTAATTGGTAATTACAGACTAGATACATCTGAGAGAGCTCTAATATCTATGGTCTATATTTAAAGCAATGAAACAATGGCAATAATATTACATCTTATCCCCCAAATGAAAAAAAAAAGAAAATGTCTAAAACCAAACTACACGGTTCTATAGGATGATTTTCCTAACCCAAGTTTAGTAAGAAAAATGCAGATTTTTACTAAAGAAGTAAATTCATATGCCCTAGATTTAACATTTTTCCTAAGAGATAATTTGTTAGATTTTCCACTAAATTTTTACTCTGCTGATATTAATGAAATTTAACAAGGGCAAGTGTAGGGTGCTGCACCTGGGGAAAAATAACCCCAAGCACCAGTACAGGTTGGGGGCTGACCTGCTGGAAAGCAGCTCTGAGAAGAAAGGCCTGAGAGTCCTGGTGGACAACAGGATGACCATGAGCCAGCAATGTGCCCTTGTGGCCAAGAAGGCCAATGGCATCCTGGGGGGCATCAAGATGAGTGTGACCAGCAGGTCGAGGGAGGTTATCTTGCCCTTCTACTCTGCCCTGGTGAGACTGCATCTGGAGCACTGTGTCCAGTTCTGGGCTCCCCAGTTCAAGGACAGGGAGCTGCTAGAGACGGTACAGGAAAGGGCCACAAAGATGATTAAGGGCCTGGAGCATCTCTCCTATGAGGAGAGGCTGAGGGACTTGAGTCTTTTTAGTCTTGAGAAGAGAAGACTTAGGGGGGATCTAATCAATGCTTACAAATGCTTAAAGGGAGGGAGTCAGGAGGACAGGGCTGGTCTTTTTTCAGTGGTGTCCAGGGATAGGACAAGAGGAAATGGGCACAAATTTGAGTATAAGAAGTTCCACCTAAACGTGAGAAGGAATTTCTTTACTGTGAGAGTGGTAGAGCACTGGAACAGTCTGCCCAGGGAGGTGGCGGAGTCTCCTTCTCTGGAAACATTCAAAACCCACCTGGACAAGTTCCTGTGTAACCTGCTCTGGGTAGACCCGCTCTGGCGGGGGGTTGGACTAGATGATCTTCAGAGGTCCCTTCCAACTCCGTATGATTCTATGTTTCTATTTTTATGTAGACTATAGATTAATTACCTACAGGCCATCCACGCTATTCTCAGTACATGAAAACCTGAATCCCACTTCCATCAGATTACTGAATTTGCAGTGCTTGCTTCAGTCTCACATTAGCCTGCTTTTACGTCGCCTTTTCCTGATGCAAACTTTCCCATGACCTGAGAAGGTGGAGACTGTAACTCAGAGCTACTGTTGCTGAGATGATCTGGTTGGCAGAAGGTCTCAGTGAGCTCACGTGTCTTTCCTTAGAACCCAAGCTGAATACCTGTATAGCATGTGCAGTGCTTAGCAGCTCGAGGCACCACAAAATATAAGCATACATCTTTCTGACAATAGGATTTCTCTTTCTGACGATATGTTTTCTGCTCAGGGAGGCATTTCATTCTCCCTGTTCTAGGGGAAAAAAAAGTGCTAAGAATGAATGTAAAATAATTAGATGAAAATAAATCTGGAAGAATGTCAAAAATATTGTTGAATATATGAATGTAGGAATAAAATATATGCCCTTCACTTTTCAAAACTCATAACCAATATTTCAAATCCCAACACCTATTTTGAATTCCAGTGAATTTTAGTAAACTATGTCCAACTTTTTTACATTAGACTCAACAATAACAAAAGGTAAGACTATTCAAACAAAGTAAATCCTTTAATTACTAAGAAATTACAAGAACCAAAATTTTAGCCTTATGTATAGATGTTTAAACATTTTACTTACTTTAAATGGAGACCTTGGCCTTTCTCTTACCTTAGCTACAGTGGTGATGTCATTAAACTGTGTTTTCAGTTCTTCTTGAGCTGCTTCTCCAAAAGAATCATCCTCTGTTTTTTCATACAGTTCTGCAGCTTTTTCAATGAGTTGCTGTAAATCACCGGAGTGATCCTCTATCTCAGAAACAATAGCCTGGAAGTGGTCCAGCTGAGCAAACTTCTCCTTCAGACCAATCTGCGGTTCCAAAGGCTGTTCCACTTCATGATCCAGTTTCTCTAACCACTGCTCCAGCTGGTTTTTCCTTTCCAGATATTCATTCCACTGGCTAATGACAGTCTCTAGGCAGCTTACATTAAGAGAAACACACACGGTACAGATGAGAACTTTTGAAAAGTCTGGAAAAAAAGAGTTTGCTTATACCTTAATCGTTACGCTGTCTGTAGCCATATATAATATGTTTAGCATATGCTTTTTCCTCCATCTTGCTTTAGTTATTTGTGTCAGCTTACATCCAAGCTATTTTAGAATTTCTCTGTTCTTTGGGCTACTGCATATACCCGATACAACTGCTTTTCTGTTACAGGTTTCATGAACAATCTCTCTGTCTCGGACTAATGAAAATCACATTTCAGTGTCTGTCCAGCAAAGTAAAATATAGAGCATTACTGGAGTTCTTTATAATCAGAGTAATATAATGCACAGCAATCTATGAAATTCTTAAGAGATTAAGAGATATTCTGGCGAGTTTTGGAAGAAAAAATCAATTATGGATAGTCTCATTTACAATTTAGAAGAAATAGTCTCTTCTGTTATATATTGCTGCTCCTAGTAGATCACCAGATTTCTCTGGGATTTGTGTTGAGGAAAGTAATTCTCATTCCACTTGATTTAATGATAGACATGAGTGTGGTAAAGGATTTAATTAAAAATGTAATGGCATAACCTAATGTAAGTAACATTTTATGACACAAAATGAGTGAAATTAGAGTGAAATGTTAAAGGCAGCCCGTTATAATTTTCTACATACAATTATATTAAAATCTTGAAGTAATACAATTTAAAACCTCCAATTTACCTATATCATGGCTCCCACTATTGACAGCTGATATTTAGGACCCAGTTACCCTAGCACTCAGATTACCTGCAGTACAAATCTATGACATCTCTGGTGCAGATCTCTGACTTTTCTTAAGCAGGGAAAACTTTATTTTCATTAGAGACCTAAGGAAGTAGGATCATGCAGAAGTTCATCAAGGGGCCATTGCTATCTGGTAATGACTGGGATGATGGAACAGAGAGTGCTTGTAAAACCAACGAAAGAAAGCAACCAGGAAGTGGCTGCAGCTAGTTGGACCACAGGATATAAATGTCAGATGTTCTTAAAAGAATTTTAAAAAAGATGGAATTTGATGTTGAAAATAATGCTTTACTTAGGAAGGAGAAATCAGATATGTCAACACAAAATTGGGGATAACTGTCTAGACTTAATACTGTGAAAAAGTATTTGGAGATAGTAGAGGATAAAGAAACAAACAAAATTCAACAATATGACACTGTTGGAAAGAAAGGAAAATCTCATTCTTGAGTGGATTAAGAAGAGTGTTGTATGTATGAAGGAAATGTAAAGTACCGATATTCTATTCAGAACTAATAAGATCTCAAATACAGCAAGAGGTCAGCCCATTTTCAGTTATCTTTCTAAGAATAATGTAGATAAAGTAGTGACAGTCTGCAATCCCCTGAAATAGAAACAAGGATTAAAGAAGTCCAGAAACTATTAGTACTAAGAAACAGAGAAATATCAGTCTGTCTAGAACAGAGATGATGGAGGCCGCCTAATATATAACATATTCTCACACAGGCAGTAAGAAAACCTTTCCATTTCTACCAAGGTTAAGGAAAGAAGAAATCATCTTTGCAAGAAAGATTATTTGGACTGGGCATTAAGATTATTTTTTTTTTTTAATTAAAAAGCATAATGAAAAAACATGAGATACTTTCCTAGAGTTTTGTAAGGAAAAGGTAGATATATATTTTATTTTTTAGATTTTCTTGGTCCTGTCCAAGTACAGGTTCAATAACTCAGAAAGCCCTTTCTAGCTTTTTCTCTGTATGAATGTGTATGATTTCTATTTTCAAATTACCATCCATTACCATCTCATATGCAATAAGATTCATCTGATATGGTCATCTCATCTTTTTTTTAGAAGGATGTATTTTTTTCAGGCAATTTTGGTTCTCTCTGGTGATACAACTCTCCCCTCACATACCAGTAATGAATGAATGGACTCCTATGTGCTGTAAGGTGCCACTCTTTGTAAGCAAAGGTGGCAGGGTCTGACCTGTGTTTTCCAAGGAGTTTTACCTCTGCCAGTTCACTGATGTGCTGATGATGTCATTCCACACGTCCTTCAGTGTCTGAAGTTCGGTTTGTATCACCTTTTGTCCTTCCTCATTGCTGCTTCTAAGTGCTTGCTCCCCTTTGCCAATGGCCATGTTCAGTTTAACTTCACCATCACCTTTGAGTAAGAGGATCTCCTGTGAGGCAAAGTCAAAATATCAGATGCAACTTGCTGAGAGATGAAAGCTGTTATTCTTTCAACAGTGGACACCATCTTCTATGAGCTCATTTATCATTGACAGCCATGCCTACTGTGAATTCTTAGGCGCCTTTTCTTCTAAGTACCTGTCCCTTGCTATGTACAAGTGATATAGCAGTTTTCCCCACAGTCATACGGGTTTTTTCACTGGGTTGGTCATCCTGAAATGCTCTTCACATTGCAGTAGACAATGAGCAGGTCAAGCACTGCACAGAAGTACAGGACCACATAGCTAGAAGATAACTCTAGAAAGCCTATGGCTTCCTAGTAGGAAGTTTGCCTAACCTGTTCCCGAAGACCTCCTGTGATGCATATGTCACAGCCTCTCTTTGTCAATTATTTCCAGGCTTCCCCTCCATTAGAAAGCTTTTTTGAACCCCAATGCACATTTTTATAGTTTGTTATTCCTTATTAAATGTAATACCTGGCACCTGTCTCCATTAATCTTCATCCTGTTTTTCATACTCCAGCTTCTAATTTGTCACTATCACCTTAAATTCTAATCCCCTCCTTCATAAGTGTAAAAGGAATAAAATAAAGAAAAATATTCATTATCCACTGATGGTAGCCCACACCCAATGTTAAACTTGATGTGTAATCTCTAGTTGAATCCTTCTTTACCTGAATTTGTGCCAGTCGTCTCTCTAATGTGGCTTTGCTGCCAACAGTGCTCTCTGATGATGCCAGTTTATCTTGAACCTCTTTCACCCACGACCACATATTCTGTAATGCCTCCTCCAAAGTGAGATGCTCTTGGAGTGCAAGCTGACATGTTCGTAGCTTCTCCTTGACAGTTTTGACCATATTTTGATAACTGGTGAGATGTTGAGAGGCCAGGCGCACTTCTCTCCCTGCAGCATGTCCTTCTTCATTTAAAGCCTGTGCCATTTGGGAGAGCTTGTCAAAAGATTCCCTGAAAGAACGTATTGAGACTGAAAATCAGTTTCAGAAATCATATAGTATCATAGAATGATAGAATTGTCAAGGTTAGAAGGGGCCTTTAAGATAATCTAGTCCGGCCATCAACTTAACTCTGATAAGAACAAAAAAACACATCACTAAACCATGTCACTAAGCACTATGTCAACCCGTCTTTTGAGTACCTCCAGGGATGGTGCTTCAACCACTTCCCTGGGCAGCCCATTCCAATACTTAATAATCCTGATAATAACCCTGATACTGTTACAGCAATTATCAGAAGTTATGAAGGTTCCTGACATAATCATCTACTCCACCAGAGATAGAGTCCATAGTTAACAGAAAAAATAGCCGGGAGAGAATGAAAGGAAATATAAGCAGTGTGTATTGATTAATATCTTTACCCACGTACAGTGCCATTTCTTGCAGATTTTGGTGCTCAAAATGATCACGGTGAAATCTTTGTTTCACACATTTGAATTAAAAATGGTCTTATTTTTTTTTTTCCTCTGTCAGACTTTCCATTTCTATATGAACTACTCCCTTTTTGTACCTGTCAAATCTTCTAGGAAGTTTATAGTCTTTGACAGGTAGGAAGGCATGCTGGAAGGGTCAGGCTGTTTGTCCAGGATTAGACACTGACTCCGGCATTCAGTACAAGGGTCAGTAAAAGAGATTAAAAAACTGGGTTTGTACAGCCTCAGTTAATCTCAGTCTACTGGATCACCCTTGTTGATACGTTGTGATTACATGGAATTTACATCAGACCAAAATGTCTTGCATCAGTCTCCAGGGGATAGGTAGAGACTGGGTGTTTCCTTTTAGCATGCTGCGAGGCTTGAACAACTGACTGCTATTTCTGTTCTGTCTCCACTAACCTAATAATAATAAAAAAAGAATTTGAAAAACCACTGTGTTCTAAAAATGGCAATTACTTCATCGTCTGTTGGCTAAGTCTAAATTCTAGAAAGATTTCACAGCCAGCGTGGACGTTATATGAGCTCTTTTACAAAGTTAGCTATATGGGAAAGGGGACTCTGCTAACCTGTTTGGATCTCAGTGTCGCAGGACAGAAAGAGAAAAAAAGATTTAAAATAAATATACTGATAAGTGCAATTTTTACTATTGCTTTCACAAGGAATATTTTTAAGATTTATTTTTTTTAAGATGATATTTTTCAGTTTCCATTTATTAATGAAGTAAGATAAGCTTTTCTTAATGAAAAATGTATCAACATCAAATTTTGGAGTTGGCTTCAAATTCCAATTTCCTTAAAACTTGAAGTATCTGGATTCAGCCACTTTCCACAGAGTATGTTGCAACACCTTTCTCTGTCTTTCACAAACACATTTTAACCCAACACTGTTGCCTTAGCAGAGGAAAAAGTGAGAGTATTTCAAGAAATGTATTTCATACTACCTTGAATTGAGTAACTCTTCCAGGAACTTTTCCACTTTCTGTACCTCCTTTTTCTTCTCAGGAATAAGCTCTTTGCACTCTCCCAATGCTTCTGTGCTTATTCTTTCTTCCATGTCATGTATCCACAGGCCAAGTTTCTTGTGCTGATCTTCAAAGCTACAGAACAGATAAATACTCCCTTAAAAATATTTCTCAGGTGGAGTAAAGTTAGTAGGAAGTTAACTCAGTTCTTTCAATATCCACAAGACCAGGAAAATAAAGCTACATATCAATTTCATACTTCAGGAATAAGAGTTGTACACAAAACATAATTCCACAGTGACTACTAATCTAAAAATATTCAGCAGCTCTCTAAAAATGTTCAGCAAAATCATGGGAACTACAGTGAGAAAAATTTAAAGTGACAGTGCTTTTTTATATTACTAGGTGCAATAAAGGCAGACCAAATGGAAAGCTTTTTCCAAACCCTTATAGTGATTTAGTCTAAAATTACAAAATGGGTAAAAATGGGCTTTAACTTAGTATTGACACTTACAACACCTGAAGTGTTGTGCTTTTAATTTCTCCAACAGAACGTAGCTGGAATTTCAAGCACTCAGAACTCAGCAAAAACAAGTTCTGGCCCTAAGTTTGAAAACCTTTTCCTTACATGAAGGCACACCATCTCATCTCGCTGTTTTACTCATTATTGTTACATTAAAATTGCTGTCAATTAGCAACAGCTTTGAATCTAGTTATACTTAAAATATTTGAACTCCAAAAACTTCAGTCCCAAGTAATAATATAAGAGTGGGTTTTTTATTAGCTCCTTAGGAAATATGTCCATCTGGAATAGGATAGGACAGACATATGCTGTGTAAAAAACGTATTATTGTCAAGCCCCAGGACAGGCATGTATTTCTGAAGCCGGACAATTTCATGCAGTCCATCTGGGACTACTTGTATTACTGACCTTCCCAGGTGTGAGGCACAAGCTTCCAGGGCCTTCTTATCATTCAGACACTGGTTGAGGAATTCCTGGAAGTTCTGGTTAGACTTTGCTATTTGCTCCTGAATATGGCTTACAACTGGGTTGGGTAAGCAAGCATACAAACTTTCTCCTTCCTTGCAGGCAGCATCTAGCTTGTTCCGTCCCTCGCTAACAGAATCCAGCACACTCTGTATAATGAAATACAGTTTAAACATGCATGAATCAATAACTCAAGATAAGCAATATTTCTATTAGAAGAGGTCAGATTTCCCCAACAAGATGAGAGCCATGTCTAGCCACGGAAAAAATTCTAAGCAGGTAGTTCAAATAAAATTTCATTAAGTGGTGCTACAATTCACAGAGCTCAATTTTCCTATTTGATTTCAATGTCTTTCTCTGGATAGTTTAGTCATATCCTGAAAAGGTTATAAGTTTCAGGAATTAGGGATGTTTGCAGTAGGTGTCTACTATTTGTGTTCTGTCCCATATGAAAATCTACACAGATAAGCTTTAATGTATCAGTGTTAAGACTGATTAGGCTGAAAGACTGAATGAGACTGAATGAATAAGACTGAAAGATCGAGCAAGCAATACTGTAAGGAAAAGCAGGAAAAGGAAAAAAAGGCAAAAAAAAAAAGGAAAAAAGATTAAAAATCATAAAAAAGAGTACTTTAGTTACATATAAACTTTCCAGAAAGTTAATTCTGATCTCAGAAAAGTGAACACAGTTTCACTGTATTCTTTCTATAGTACATATTGCCCTCTTAAAACATCATTACATTACCTTTTTGGAAACTAAACCAATAAATATGATAGCATCTACGAATTATTGTAGAGATATAATTGGATACATATAGTTAATTGCTAATTACTATTTTTTAATTTGTTCACTATACCTGCAAGTCATGTAGCTTTGCCTCTATGGCTTTGCTGTCTCCAGACCTGTCAGATGATTCTTTTACTGCAGCCTTCACACCTGAAAACCATTCCTGGAACTCTTGCATAGAATCTTATTTAATAAAAAAAATATAGAGAATACTTTTTAGGAAGCAACATTATCCATGATATTATACAGCTGTCTTCCACAATTCTTTTATCCTTCAGGACCTTGAGGGGTGGGATTTGTTTCCCAAAAAGTTAGATGTTTCCACTGTAAACATCCAAATTTGAACAGTCACAATACGCTCCCCTTTATAGTCAATGGGAAAAGACAGGCATTTTCAGTCTATGGTATGTCACAATTTAATGTTATATAATATCTAGATTAATATTTTAATGTATAAGATTAAAAATTGCCTACTTCTCTCCACTGAGGATCCAGGGAGCCCAGGAAATACTTCAGATGGGGACTTTTACATTATCGACATATCCATTTGGTTATATACACCTTTTTATGGCAAATACACTAAGTGCATGTATGCAATAGAGATGTATACCAAGCCTGAAGAACGGTCACATTGAGCTTCCCCTTCATGCATATTACGTGTTTAAAGTTGAATTCTGTTTTCTGTAAAATGCTTTGTTTTGTAGCAGTTATCAAATGAACATTTTGTAACAGGGCTTTTTAAAAGGCTCCATACAAAAATAAAGTTGTAATTGCAAGTGACATCACTGGAAACTCTGGCAGACTCCAGAATGATTCATGGCTGCGGGCTAACGGTTCATATTAACAAGCCTGAAGACTCACAGAGGAAATGTTTTTCCAAGGACTCCTGCATGCTGGCTTGGGTTCTGGAACACAGCAGACTCACAGCTTCATACTTCTTTATTAATGAAGTGACAGTGCCACCAAGAGTTTCCAGCTCTACAGAATGGTATTTGCGACACAGGCTGTTGAGGTTCTCACGGATTGAGTCAATGCCGCTCTGCTGAAGCTGAAGGTCTTTTTGTGTTTCCTGAAAATGAAGTTACAACACAAATATGCCATTTGTAAAGAAACAAGAGTGCCCTCTCTTTCCCTCAAGCATTCTTGCTCCTCCCATATACTGTGACCTCCTGTGGTCTATTGCAAGTCGTAGACACAACGGAGGGAAGAAGTACTGGAGCATGTTTCTGAAATTTTCCAAGTGTGATGAATCCTTGAAACTGAAAACCCATCACAGAAATGTGAAAAATGCTGTTTCTCATGGTTTACTACTCCTAAAAGAATGAATAAATTTCAAGGCATATTGAATAGCAACTGTTATTTTCAGCAAATTCTGAAGGTGAGATGCAACATGACACTGGTGTTTGGTGGGACTTCTGAATGAAAGGGAGCTTTCATCTGACTAGATGGGAATATTTACTTGAAAATCAAATTTGAATTGGCTAGTATATCAATGCTAACATACGCACACTGAAAAAATCTTTATGTGGTTTGTCATGGTATGCTGTGCATAATTGTATGTAATGAAGAGGATGCTCTAGGATGTAGACATATATATGAGTACTGAGGAGGACTTCTGAGGTAGAAATTTGTGTTAAGATTGAATTCAGTCCAGGCTCTTTTACTGTGGTGAGTTATAAGTTCATAATTTATATTGCAAGGGAGTCAACAGACTTGTAAACATGCTGGAGTAATGACTATAGAGTTCAATGTAACAAAACCGGTTTTTGTCACAACAAAGACCATATGATTCATTATAATTTTTTAAAGGTTTGTATAAAGTTAGTAGATCAGGACTTTGTTCATTGGTGGAACTTCTTAAAGAGCATCACCCTATTATTTGCTAATATTCTAGAAGCTGTGCAGGAGATACTTATTTTTTATCAAATGAAAATAAAGTACAATGCTTAGCAAAAAGTCTGATAAACCCGCAAAGATCACTGCATAAGAAAAAGCATATTCATTTTCTTTTCAGCACCAACCTTCACTTTACTTAGAGCTTCAGGATCCAGGTTATGTGCACAGCTTAACAGAGTCTCTTCCACTTCCGTTAACCAGTCTGTCATCTGATCAATAGACTTCTGTAACTGCATCTTCTGAGCACTGAAATCTTTCAGTGTCTCTTTTGCTGTCTCTGACATTTCTTTGACGTGATCCAACTTCTGCCTCAAATCTGATTCTATAAACTGAAAGCAAAATGTTATGTGTTAAAGTATTTAAGTAAACATTTGTTATGGAAAAGGTTTAGTGAACAAATGGAAGGTAGGAAGGTAGTAACATGACACACGATAATTTTCCTCTCTTTACATCAGTAACTAAAGATACTTACATAAATACAAAATATCAACCATTCAGGATTATGTCTTAGAGATACAGTAATCTAAAGAAGGGTTACTAACTTATAAAAAGCCAGACTGCAGAATGTTGACGTTATTATCCACTTCTGAAAAACAATACAGTCGAACATTCTTTTGTTTTCAAATTTACTATATATACAGAACATGACATAAACACAACTAGCTCCATAAAAAGAAATATCAATTGGTGTGACCTAAGAGCACTGAGGCTTAAAGTATCTCAGTGTAAGGCAGATTAAAACTGAAGACAAAAAGTTATAGTAGATGTTAGCTGTGCACATATTACTAATAAAAAGTATATCAAATCAGTCATAATAGGACTGTGCTTATACATGAGAAATTACTGAAAATTCTATTAAGGAATTGTTTATGTTCTTTGGATATGACCTGATCATACTGTTTACTTATTTACCATTTGATTGTTGGACAATAATTTGGGGGTTTATGTTTAGTTTGTGAGGCTTGAGTTTCAATTTTGCATTTATATATCAACAACAATTATTTTATTATAAGTTGGCTTTAATTATATTTATTATATTTAGTAGTTGGAAATAGGTGTTTATTGGTTAAAAGTGACATTCTGCTAAATACTTTGCTCTCAATTTCACTCTATGAATGGAGAGATATTTATTATGAAACATATAAATAAGCCCAAATTTTCTTGACCTTTCACGTAAAGGAAGCAATTTGGGAGAACATAAGCAGTTCCATATAATTTGTAAATCTCTATACTGTAAGGTTCTTGACCCATATATAATTAGCAATTTAGGCTTATGTAAATGGTCACAGCAATATGTGCAGAAGGCTTGAGTGTTATGTTAAATTCTGTTAAAATCTCATAAAGGGTTTTGAAATAAATATCTATTGAGATATTTCCCTGCCTGTAGAAATGGCAGAAGTCAGCTTATCCTTTAAAACTTCTGACATTGAAAATGAATAATCTTACATACCAATTTTCATTTGAAATCAAACATCCAAAATAGTCATACTTTGACTGTGCATTTGCCCTAGAATATAAAAAATAAGAACCTAGCCAATAATAAACGTTCCACAGTTCACCATCAATGTTCATGTATTACCCCTCTCTTGTACCACATAGTACAGTGCACTAATTCCCATCCACTAAAGAATTCTTTCGGTTTGATAAAGCAAATGAACATATTTTACTGCATTATAATTCTTTGAAAGAGGCAAACAATGTATGCACTCACATATGATGTGGTTTAATGTTATGCAGTACAGAGAGAGTATATAATATTATCTGTCTCACATCTCATCAGCTACCTTATAAACTATTTAACCTTATAAACTATTTACTCTACTTCAATCAAGTTAAAAATACATTCACAACTCTAATGTGCAATTACTTTTTTCAGAAAAAAACCAAAGTTAACTAATGAAATGTGAACAAAGAATAGTCATGATACATACAAATAATGCTGTATCTGTCACCTTGAAAGAAAAAGGCAGTACATGAGAGACAGAAGTTTCAGGAGGAGTTTCTTCTTAGTCATTTGAGCACAGTCTATGATTACCAATATCTTTGTTTTACCTGGAGATCTGCAGGAGGCTCTTGGCTATGGGTCAGTTCTTTGAGATCTGAAATTTTGGAACTAAGCTGCTCCAACTTCAGTTCTTTATCCTTGACTTCAGACTGAAAAAGAAATGTGATCAAAGTTTCATACCAAACTAAAAGAAGGTTTTAGATCTTCGGAAGGATGCACCATCAATTGCAAAAATGAAAGAAAATGTAAACAGTTTAGCAACCAGAGAGAAAACACTTGTTCTATCAGTTTTCTTCTCTAAAAATCTCCCATCTCTTTTCTTTTATTAGACTCAGTTCAGAGATTGTTTTTGCCATCCATTAAAATAACCACACACATTTTTAGCACTTAAAATGCACCAACAGCTTTATTTTCTTAAAACTGGCTGAATAAAGATGGGAATGTCATTGTTTATTCGACTGGAAAAATCTACTGTGGTTGTTAGGTTCCATTTAATGGCATGCAGTGTATAATACATGTGCTCTCTGTTTTTTATTACAAGGAAGCAAGCTCTCAGAAAAAAACTAGACACAAATTTTAACCTCAAAAGGGAATTTGAAAATGCTGCTATGTATTCATTGACATATCTGGACCTTGTATTTATTGTGGTCATATAGATCCAAGTTATAAAGAAAGATTCTACTTTCTAAAAAATGATATACAAGTGAAAGAGAAAATCATAATTTGTATAATTGTAGTTCTGAAGTATTAGGCAAGTAATTGGTGTGTGTATGCTACTACCCAAACTTTCTTTTCAAAAAAATTCAAACAGATTACTCCAATTAAAATATTGGACAGTGGATTTTAGGATTAAATTGCTGCACATAACATCTGCCCTGAATGGTAGAAGTTCAGGAGGCCCCAGAAGAATCCTCAGGGGTATTTTGTGCTAGGGAGGATATATTATTAGGTGACTGATCAAGAAAGAGACCATTGCTATGGACCATATAAAAGGTACACTAATTATTTCTGTCCATGCTCATATATTTCTGATTGCTGAAGTCGCAGGAGCCTTTTGTCAGTGATCTGCCTTTCCTCTTGCCTTCGCAAAAGAAATTACAAAAAAAGTATTATGGACTATGAATTTTGTGACTGCAAATGTAGACATAGTGCCACTGTTCTAGCACTGCTGTGAATCAAGTACGCCTGTTATTTGAGTATTAATAGCAATGAATTTAGGTGGTCTGATTGCTATACTAATCAGAAAAATTTTAGATAAAGTTTATCCTGAGCAAAATACTGATTTAGCATCACCTCATATTCTATCATACTACTTGTATATGTTCATTGTGCATCTTTGTGAGGACATGACTTATTTCAAATGAAGTAGAATATGGTTGATCTGCTGTATATTTTAAGCCAATACAGGCAGAATGCATCCTGAATGTTGGCTAGCTTTCTAAACCAGTTTAGCATTATCCAGAAAAGAAAGACCTTATCTTACAGAAGTTGTTAGAAGCTGACATTAAAATTTGCTCTCCAGTTCAGCATGTATTTTCTATTGTCTGAAGAATCTACATTTTTATATGAGATTTAGAAATTACTCATTTTTTGCTTGACTTCAGTTAAGTTGTCTGAATTTCCATTAATTATACTGGAAGAGGGTTAAATCCAATGCCATGCTTTTTGAAATTTTTGTGCTTGTAAGAACATATTATCCTGCTAGAACCAAAATAACTAGGGAGCTTAGATTTAGTAAGAGATGAGCCGTTCTTGTTCCTGTCAGAAGCAAACAGCTTCAAAAAAGGTCTGTAATGCTGTCAGCTAGCCATTTAGTTAACGTACCACTGCTTGAACAGGGGACACGGTGGTCTACAACAGCACACCCTTATCTTTGTGCCTGATATCACTTGAGATTTTGGTCCAGAACATGTTTATCACTGATATATGGGTAAGTACCTGGAAGTCCTTCAGGAAGCCCTCCATTCTCTGACTGTTACTCAGGTTGCTGATGCCTTCATTCAGTTGAGAAATGCACTTAGTGCACCATCCATCCATTTCATCTCCAGTTTTCAGGATGTCATCCCACAGAGACACGCTTACACCCAGTCGGTCGATGTTGTCTTCAATTCTTTCAGACACCTTTTATGAGGGGAGAATGTATCAATACCATTCATAAATTAGTTTTATATTTCTTTATTTTGCAGCCAGTTGTATGACAAGTGCATCAGAAATAATTAGTAAGCCTAGGCAAAATAATTTTCTTAGTTAGGTCTAAATTCTTAAGTCTAAATTCAATTTAGTTATCCAGATTATAAAATTAACAAAATCCATATGTGACTGTTTCTAAAAATCTGTATATTTTTACTGGGAAAGAGTTTTATGTTTAAATAAGCTTTATCTTTAAACACAGATACATTTAACCTTCTTACACGCTGTAGGATTTTGCTAATAAAGGAGTATAAATATGAAAATGTGAAATATTAGCTTTTATATTATGTTGCTGTGTTATAATGTTGTGTTTTTCAACATATTCACATATTTTATGGAGTAGCATAATAAATTTACTGCCTAAGATATTTAGTCCAATTTACTTGAATAAAATAATATGGGCATATATTAGGTAAGAATCCAATCCAAATTTATACTCAGAAGTGTGCACTGAGCAAATATTTATTAGTAACATTCATCCATTGTTATAAGACATTGTTTTAAATCTGTCAAATGAATGTCACAATTTTGTGCATACAATGGATGCCAAATCCCTTTGGTTAACCCTTTGAGATATACTTCAATGTAAACTTTACAAACAATTGCACTCTTAAGATCCCAAGAAAATACTAAAACTGTAACCCTCGCCCAAATTAAAAACTGCACTCAGCTTATAATCACCAGACACATACATCTAGCCATTTGTCCACCGTAAAGTCCAGATCTTTTTTTACTGCAGTGGAGTCACAGTTATGCACCCTTTTCAGTTCTGCTAATAAATGTTTTCCTTTGTTGGTGAAAGTATCCAGGTCTTTTTGTTTATCACTCAGATCATTCTTGGCAGCTTCATGCTGTGGACATAAATATTTGCTTGTTTAATGAAGCCTTGAAAAAAGAAAGAAAAATCCAGTTCTCCAGGATTCTCTTGCCCACTGGTATATTATGCATTTGATTACTATCATTCAGCATATCTTTCAATATTTAACTATGCCACAAAATACAGAGCAACTGACATGATTTTCTCATGAGCATAATCAAATAGCATGATTGTTCTTATAAACAAAACACACAAATGGGAATAATAAAATCTGAATTTTCCCCCTTGGTAACCAGCTATTTTTGGGACTGAAGGCAATCTTTTTATTATTATTATTCTTTCTATTCTTCAAACTTTACATGTCTAAAATTGAATAATAAGAAGTCATCACTGACTAGCTAGTAACTAAATTCAGTTCTGGAATTACAGCAGGGTAAACAGAGGGTGTTGCAAATTGCAGTCATATGTACAATTCTTTTTCTTTTGTTGACTTTTATCTATTCAGAAAATTACCCAATATGGAAAAACATTGAAGTATATTGACTGGAAATATCCTCTTATACTATGATAGGAATATATTATCAAAATATTTTATATAAAGAGCGGATAACATGCATTCCCTATAACCTTTTTCATTTCCAGGTGTTAAAATTGTAAATAGCAACAATTAAATACACATTAATATATCCCACCAAAAAGCTGAAAGGACTATATTCTTTCCTCATGAATTAGTACAATTTTAACCCTGAATATCAGTGTGACAAGATTCGACAGTAAATTCAAGGAACTTTAAGTGCAGCTCAAGGGTACCTTTCAAACAGAAAAATCCATCTAAATCAAAGATCATTTAAATCCCTCAAATGAGAATATATGTTATTACCTTTGATAAAGCTCGCCTGACATCTTCGTGATCCTTCCAAATGGATTTGGTCACAGAAGCACTGTCAGCGCTGTCTATGACTTTCATGACTGTTGACTTCAAGCTCTGATATTCCTTCATCAGATCGATAAGAATGCAGGACTGTTCCTTTCTATAATGTGAAAAGGCTGTGTTAGCAGGATTTATTGCCATGTTTCTGAAGGAAAGAGAATGTAACGTAACAATTCACCATGGGACAATGAGGATGCAGCGCTAAACATGTCCTGGGCAGCCAAGGAAATATTAGTATTTAGGTTTTACAAAACACTGTGAGTCCATACATCACAAAACATCCCACTGAAGAGAGAGTATATGAATAGCCATCTCATATAGATCAAATATCAAAGCAACTGACCTGAGCAAAGGAAAGACTGAAACTGGAATTCAAGCTTCTCACTGCTTAAGTTCAACATATTGACTGGAAACCACACTGTAATGATGCTGGCACTCACAGCTCTTTTTTTTTTTTTTTTTTATTGTTTCTTTAGCATGGAGTATTTTGGGAGGTAAAAAGAAGCAGAAGTAAAGACTAAAGCAATGTAATATAAGTCTGAATACTTTGTCCTCCAGTTGTCAAATGCATGGTTTTGAGTCTAACACATTACATTCAATTTACCTGTAATTCTACTGAGAAAGGAATAATCTGCTGCTAAGAACAGGCCTAATATTTTTTCCACCCCCTCTCCAGAAAAACCTTTTTCTGCTCTATATGAGAGCGAAAACACTTCAAAATAATTATAATTAAATTAATAATTTAAACAAAAAATAACATTATTTTATATTAGAAAGGAATCGTGACGTACCTGCTTTAGGTATAAAGATAACTTTATAGCAACAACTGCCCCACTATGTGAAAACTGGACAACTCATTTACCATCAATAATGCATCTATAAGGCATGGACAGCTACTTTATGTTTTCTTCACTATCAGGCTGGTACTGTCTAACTTCTGGCACATGTAGGTGGAAATTACTTGGTTTATTATTATTAAGGACTTCTAGAGGTAAGAAAAGTGGGTCACAGCAACATGGAACATGAAATACAAATTAGCAGCAGTACTTAAGAAAAAGGAGCAATAGAAATTTTTAAACAAAGCTAGCCTTTTCTTGCGCTTAGTTCAGATTTATATATCTCTTAAAAATGCACTAGAAAACCAAACTAAATTCAGTGGAAAAAAACAACAGAAATGCAATTTAAGTAGCATATTTTCAAGGGGGAGAATCATAAATGGATCTGGTTAAGCAGCAACATATTTACTAATGTCTGTACGGTCTCAACCGAGAAAATAGAATAAAAGTACAGTATATAAACCAAAGGGAAAAAACCCAACATTTTTCAGCAAAAATGATTTTTTTTCTTGAATTGTTGTTCCAGTACACCAACCCAGCAGTTACATGGGGATCACCAAATTGCATGTGCCCATTGAAATATTAGCCAGGCTTAGAACTGATTTGCTGTCATTTAGATAAAATGAACGTACATTGAGGATATACTGTGTGAGCAGTACTGAATGAATCTAGCAATTAATTCCACCATATAAATTTAAAAAAGAACATTTGAAGAAGTCTTCTTCAAAGATGACAAAGAGAAAGCTAAGACAAAGAAAAGGGTATAATGGAACTTTCTTTTGTTTCTTTAGTTCCTTTCTTTATGAACTTTCATTGATATACAAAACTCCCTTATATCACTGATTGTTGCGAGCCTGGTCCCTTGAGTGGACTGAAAGACAGAAATCTAAGAATGATTTAGGACCACTGGATAGGTTGTCAATAACACACATCCAATAGAGAAGGAAAATATATGCTAGAAGGAGAGTATGCGCTAGTTGGAGTGACAGTGAAATCTCACTGCAGTTTTCTTATCTTTCAGGGCAGTAACCAATAACATGCAACTAAAAGCATATAAGTACTAAGTACTGTCGTAAGTACTAAGTACTCTAAGCACTGTCCTGAAGACCTAACTGTGGCTTCGTTATTAGAATAATTACAACTGTTACAAATATCCTGTTTTATACTGTGTTTTATCTTCTACTCAGAATTTAACATACAAGCCCTATTTTTTATTGGGATTAATATGGCGTAATTAATAAACGTATGGATTAATAAATGTAAATAACTGGGTCTCTTTCCCTCACTAAAAAATCCCTCTCCTTTCTCACCTTAAGTCTAAGATCTACTTACTTTTCATGTAAGACTTTCTTGGTATCCTCCCACAGAGATTCTAGGCGATTTATCTCTTTGTCAATCTCAGGAGCAAGTGTAATATCTTTTTGGGCTATTTGTTTTGCTTTGTCCATGAGCCACTGGAGTTCATGCTGCTGAGAATTCAATTCTTCATCTAACTGGTTAAAGATCCTCAATCTGCAAGTTAAAAGGTAGGCTTTAAATTTACTTATCTTCACTTTTTTTTGCAAGAGAAAAGACAAAGGAAGAAAGAAACAGTTGCTGTTAGAGTTACTGTGGACAAAGTTCCCCTTTTCTAACATTTCCTGCAATATCTTCAGAAAACAGTGTTATCTGGACTTTTTTTCTGCTATAACTGGGCTTAGAATGTGTTTTTTTCTGATACATATACAGTTATACAATTCTAAAGATATACCTTCACCTCACACAGTGACTCTGAAATATTTAGATTAATAGACTCTCAAATATTTAGATTAATATTTTATTACAGTAAGTGTTTTCAATTCCTTCAGCAAATGTACAATCTTCAGTTCTAAGAGTAGAGATAGTTACGTTATATGGCATTTCAATACCTGTTTGGAGATTGGACTCATTTGGAAAAAAACAAATTTCTCAAAGTTTTTCTTGACTGTTCTTTTAATATAAAGATAAATGAGACTTGCTAAGTGTTCTGCTCATGTTCTCGCTCCATCCCAACAGCTTGCTCACTTATAACATTTTATTAAATAGATATATGGACTCATATATTCCTGGCAAGAAATAAGGTACCCAGGCAGAAAACTCACACATGCCTCCAATGCATCATCAGAAGTCTACAGATTGCAAAACAAATGGAGAAGTGCCAATCTCAAGAATTAATATTGTTTTTACCTTTGCTGGAGGGCTTGCAGTGTTGCCTCCTTCATGCCCTCCTTGTCAGCCTTTTCCTCAGTATCTTCAATTCTCTTGAGTAGCTGTTCTTTACGTTCCATGAAAGATCTTCTCAAGGCTCCAAGAGCTTCTGCCTCACTCTGTTTGGTTCCCAGGAGGTTTTGAACTGCCTCCAGTTCCAAGCACAGATTGTCCACCACAGCCCTGCAGGAGGTCCTCTGCTCAGAAATGCTGTGTTTTAGGTGATACTGGGCCTTAGTAAGTGAACCATCCAAACTGATGGCAGCAGATTCCAGCTTGTTAAGATCTTGAATAACACCATTGAGTTTCTTCTCCAGTAATTCAGATTTGGTTTTATCCATATTTCCTGTTTTCTCCACTGTCTGCCTCAGCTGGTGGAGCACTCCTGATACAGCACTGTGGAGCTCCAGGAATACCCGCAGCTGATCCAGAGCCTCTTGTCTTTGGCTAGTTATTTGACTTGCCTCCTGGAAGATCTGAAAGCAATCTTCAGTCTTTCCCTGCAATGTCTGATGGTCCTCTGGGCAGCTGAAAGAACATAATTTATCTACATGTTCCTTCAGACTTTGTAGCTGCTTTTTCCTACTTTCGATTTCCATTGAATGGTTCTATGGGAAAGAAAAACAATAAGGCTGGGTTTCTTCCTCCAATCAAAAGCTCAGAAAACATTTTCATACTAAACTTATAAGCAAAACAAATCCTATTGAGGGGTTTTCAGAAAGAACATTTTGGTGCTATAATTTTGCATTAAACTGGTCAAATACCAGAAATCTGTATGTGACTGCAATAGCTTATCACTTTTCAAACAAATAAAAAACGTCATCCTAGTTTTAGATGACTATTTAGCTGAATGACATTTTCTCTGTTTTTAATATTTACATCCAAAAGTTTACCTTATTGTGGGATGCAGCTAGTTGTTGATCAGCTGTGTTTATCTCTGAAGTGGCTTGTAGTTCAGCAAGGAACTTCTTAATCCAGTCTGAAAACCTGAGCAGGAGCTCATTAAACTGCTCATGCTCAGCAACAAGAGATTGAAGGAAGTTGATCCTATAGGATGTCAGATGTAAATATGAAAGCACGTGATGTAAATTAATCACTTCCTATAATCAAAACCACAGCTGACTGGACAGTATTAAAATCAATGCCAGGTGGAAGGAAAGAAGGAAACATTAACTTATGTTACAGATGTGATGACTGCCATGTTGATTTCTCAACTGGAGAATAAGATAACACTTGAAAGCATCGGTTTGGCTCTTTCCTGTTTCCACTGTTCTATTCAAATAAACTGTTAAAAATGCCCCAAAGAATCAAGGTATGTTTTTTAACTTTTCTTCATGGGGGTTGTCCCAGCAAAGAGAATGATACTGATGGAAGCTAAACTTCAGTTTTCAGAAATAGCAAGTCTCTTTGCCCCATCCTCTGCAACACTGCATGTAAGGTGAAAGTTTCATGAATTTAGGCAGGAGGTGAATAACTACATGCTCAATTTACATTAAAGTAAGTGAGGGTCAAGTCTGCTTAGAGGAACACAATTTAAAGGAGCAATGTGTCCAGAGGAGTACTCAGCACGTAGAAGAACCAGGCTTCTCAACACTGACCTTGAAAAAGGCCTTGTCATGTACCTTCCTGTTTGCCTTAGAAATTTTTCTAGACAATTTTCAACACAAAATGCTATGTAGAAGATCATTATATTGTAAAATGATCATATTGATAAAGCAGCAGGAAGATGATATCATTGACCAGAGTCTATTATTTAAGCTCCTTTACAAACAGTAAAATATGCATGTTCATCATCAAAACAATTGAAATCTAAATCTATGATAACAAACAGTTTCAGAAAAGAAGGCAGTGTTCCTGAGCCTTCCTGAGCCCTCCAGATTCCTCATCTGGACATTGGTTACTCTCATTTAACATCTAAAAAACATTCTGAAGCACAAACCTTTTATCAACAGTTTGTGGTAAAGCTTTCCACCTCTCATCCAGCTCTTCAAATTTTTCTTTTATTGTTTTCACACACTGGTCAGAAGCTGTTGGGAATAGTGACTCATTTAACTGTAACAGGCTTTCATAAACCGAAGCACGGGACTCAATATCTGCTCGCAAATCCTGGGAAAAAAATGGAACGTACAGCCTTTAGATTAAATACGGCATCATATTATGAAAATAACAAAAATAATAAAAAATAAACTTGGAATTTCCAGTACACCACTTTGAGACAAGCGAATGAGCATAGTCAAAGACTTAGAGGAATGGAGGTCTATTAGGACAAGCAGGTACTCAAAAACTCTCGGACAGATAAACAAACCAGGAAATGGAGGGGGACAATCTTTTGGTCGAAACGTACCTGCAGTGACTGCAGTTCAGCTTCCAGTTTAACTCTGTCAGCAGAAACATACTGCTCCGAAGGCTTGGCTGTAGCTTCACACTCCTCCAACCAGGTGAGGAAGGCAGACAGCTCCTTCTCCTGTCTAACAAAACCACAACGTAGAGTTACCAACTCAAGTGATCCCCTCGGTCTCACACACCGACTGCAGAAAAGTCTCTGTGCCCATTATAACAGACGTGAGACCCTACTCACTTCTGCCATTGAGCCAGAAGAGTCTCTAATAAGGTCTGTTTCTCTTTAGCATTTTCTAGCACCTTTTCATATTTCTGCTGTAACGATGTAACCTCCTGAGCAGCTTTTTCTTTGTTGGCCAACTTTCGGGCACAGGCTGAGAGAGATGCCAGAGTGTTGCTCAGTTTTTCCACAGTATGACAAAGGTCCTAGTGAACATGTAAAAGAAACAGAAGTCACATACCTAAACAACAGAACTATGGTAATGAGGGTGGCGTAAATTCTGTACTTCTACTCTGAAGTCTGAAGCAATGCTACATCCACCAGATCATGAAATCGGGTCCAGCTGAGGGCCACTAAGATGATCAAAGGGATGAAGCACCTACCCTATGAAGACAGACTAAGAGAGCTGGGGTTGTTCAGCCTGGAGAAGAGAAGGCTTCGCGGAGACCTCATAGCAGCCTACAGGAGAGCCAGAGAGCGACTCTTTGTCAGGAAGTGCAGTGACAGGACAAGGGGTAATGGTTTTACATTGGAAGAGGGGAGATTTAGATTCGATATCAGGAAGAAATTCTTTACTGTGAGGGTGGCGAAGCACTGGAACAGGTCTAAGAGTTGCTCTAATTTATACATATACAGTAAATACAAAAAGCTCACACAACATGTGAGGACTGCCAGACTTGCAGCCCATGTCTTGACATGGAAGAGGTAGGGAACTGTTACCATGAACTTCTGTCACCATTAGCTAAAGGTCTTTTTCATGGAAGTAGCATCTGAGATTGACTAGGCTTTCCAGTGTTACCATTTCTAGAGAGTTGGGAAACTTTTTCATATAAAAATTATTGAAATGTATTACAATCAGTTAGAAAAGTACAAAATGAAATAGATTTAAAACCACTAAAGTTCTAACTCACAGGTGTGCAGTAATAACGACAGTAGTAACGGGTATAAGTACAGTCATGAAAGAAATTATATATAGGAGGAAATGTAAATTATATAGCAACAAGCTGCTGATATTCAAACTAAATAACAAAAAAATAATTTCATATTAAGGCATTGAATCATCACGATCCCATAGGCAGGACATTGTACAATAGCAAGCTCAGCATATTCATAATGTTTAAAAGCCAATAACAATAATGATCACATACGCTGTCTGAATAAATTCTCCTATGCAAAATATTTTTTCCCCAACAAGTATCAAGGTTTTTTGAAGCAGAAAGGCCAGGTCTTCCTTGCATACAGCCTTTGCAAGTAGGTACCACTAAGTTCAGAAGAACGGTGAGAACAATATGACTAAAAGTTTTTTTACAATATTTTCTTAGAAAGTAAGATAATGATTGTTGTGGAAAGAACATATCACAAACTTATAGACACAGACAAAAATGCTACAGCAAATTCCCTGAGATTTGAGGTTTTTTTGTAGTTTGAATACCAATCCAATGTTTTTGTTTCTTTTTGTAACGGACAGAACCAAATGTCCAAACACCCATGGAATTCTGGCATCACAGATAAAAGTTTGTCAGTTGATACTCTGTCCAGTCTCTGCATTGTCCAAGAAAACCTAGTTGCAAGGAGATACTTTTTTTTTTAAATTATAGTTCTCTATACCAAGACCCAAGTTTCATGAAAATCTTTGACTAAAAAACCTCTAACAGACATGTTTCTTACCTCCTATTTTTCATAACGTTTTAAATGCATAAAAATAAAAATAACAGCCTGAAGGACTAATTCATAGTTTTGGGCTTTCCCTTCTCTAGAGTGGGGAAGAAAACTCTCCAATCCTGTCTGAAATGGTGAGAAGAAATAGCTGAGGAAGCCTGCTTCAGCCTTTCCTGGGGCTGCCCACCCCGACGAGCAGCCCTTGCTTCCTCCTGCCTCAACCCTGGGCTGGGTGGCACCAGGCAGGTCCTGGTCTGGTTATTGGCATTTCTGTGAGGAGCCCAGCGTGGCACTGGTCCCTGTGCTGGGTGGCAGGAACTCCCAGTGACATGCTCACCGTGCAATCCTGCAGGGCGGTGTATGTTGCTGCTGCCGAAGAGCACGATGTGAGAGGCTCAGCCAGCTTAGCTTCCAATTCAGAGACTGCCTGCTGCACCTACGAAGAAAAGGCAAACCAGAGAGTCTAAAACCAGCAGGAAATAAATAAATGATTCTTTAAATAACGTCTTTTAAATATTTAGGGCTAAGAGAATATTATACCCTAACCATTTGTAGTGCTGAGTGCCTTTTGAAGTTATAAGATGTTAACTGTGCACTGTTAACCTTGTGACTGGGCAATAATAATATTTAAATTATTTTCCTTATGACCTACTAACAACACAAGATTGAAACTAAAGTGTTTATAAGAAGCATGGATGTGGTTTATTAGTGCAATATCCAGGAGAATCACTTAGGTTTCCTAAAAGACAGCATATTTTTTGAGTGTGCATCTTTTAGTGTCTTCCTGAACCTGCCTTTTATGTCATTCAAAGCACAAATTTACATATAGAGGTCTTATAATTACTTTCCAAATCTATTCACATATTCTAGTCCATTCTATTATAATATGCATTTTATATTCAATTTTGGAAAAATAAAGAGTAGTTCTATAAATTGCTGCAAACAATCCATTAGATTTTGCATTGTCTACCTGTTTAACATTTTCTTCATGCTTCTGCTGTGCTGATGCATTCCCTGTGATTGTTCCTTCCAGTCTCTGTGCATGATCTCTTAGCTCTTCCCAATACCTTTTGACCTGAGTCAGTTTGGCTTTAATATGTGCGTATTCTCCAGAGGTAACAAACTGGGAAAAAGATTCGGCTTCCTCTTCTAGTTTTGAGATTCCAGTTATTTTACCATCTATTTCTTTATTAATAACCTAAAATGTAAAGTAATCAGAAATTAAGAAGCACAATAGGTTTTTAATTAACAGAATAATATTTTCTACTTATTCTTTTACCTGAGCTACTAGTATTCTTCATTAAAAAAGTAAATAAAAGGAGAGTTTCGTGACCACTTGAAATAGCTAGCTATAAAAGTCTTTAATGTGCACTATAAATTCCCTTTTTCTTCTTGAAATTATCACTGGAAAAGGTCCAAAAAAGAGCCTGCCCTAAAAACAGTGTCTGTGAAGAGGAATTAGAATTGCCTGAGGTGCATATTTTCATAAGCAGACAAGATGGTTCACATTTTACCATCTCCTACTTTACAGCAAATTAATACACAATTCTCCTAAAGAGTGAAAATAAATAAAAGATGAAAAAAAGTGTGTAACTGAAAACAATGTTGTTAAGGAGCTGAACCTTAACAGTTGATTGCTTGTGTTTAATAAGTTTTCAACATTTCAAAAATAAAACATGCTATGATTTGAAAACCAATAGAGATTTTTTTCATTTTCTAATTTAAAATTCTGTGGTATAATAAAGAATAAATATTAGATGATGAGGCAGGGTGAGTGTGCCCTCAGGCAGAGGATTAAATAAAGAACCACATTACAGTATAAATAGGAAACCATGAAACAAGAGTGATAATGGCCTTTGGTACATTTCAGCTGTCTTCTACAGCAATTAGTAAATGCATAAAGACAAACTAGCACTGGCTTTACATTTCCTCAGCTGCATGACAGCAACCGTCTCCTATTTTTTGCACTTGTTTTAAATTGCAAACCTGAAAGCTACAATATCCGAGACAGAAGCTTATGGTTTGAATAAACCACATTGAGTGGCTATTTACTTAGTAAGCATCAGTGAAATTGGAAATAAGATTTTTTTCACAACAGAATTCTTTTAGTTTCTGCTGATGCAGCATGTCCATGGAGCTCTACCCAAAAACAGTGAAAAATACTAATTGGGAGGGAATTGAAAGAGCCAAGAGCGCTCTTTGAAACTGAAATAAGCAATAACATTCTCAGATATAAAAATGTTAAGATATATATATATATATGACACCAAAATCTTTCCTGAAAATGCACTCTCAAAAGCACAGAAAATGCCCACCTTCTGCTATAATTGTGATAAAAATGTGGTATCTTGCTTGCCATCATAAATCTAAGGATTGGCTTACTGCAACATTCAGAGTCTAGAATTAGCAGGGTGACAGTACAGAAAAAGATGTGGTACTGTACGCATTTATAGTATCTCTTTATGCAATATATTCTGAATTAATTTGGATTATAAAATCACTTTTTTGCATGAGAATACGGCACTGAGGAAAAATACCGGATTTGCGTCCCTCAAGCTGAAATTATCTAACAATGCAGCAGATACAAATGAGGCAGCGCTTTTTTACTCCCACGCTATTCCGTTAAATTCACTGAGTTACATAAAAGAAGGTGGATAATTGAGGCCTTCAAACTCTCACTGAGTCTGCCACCAATGGTAACTACTTGTGATAACTGTCATTTTGTCCACCAGGAATTTCAGAGAAATGCGTAGGTGAAAATCTGGCTCCGCTGAAGTCATCAAGGTTTTGAAATCAATGTTACCAAAAGCAGAATATTACCACTATGTATGATAGTTACATTTAGCTGACCCCAGGTTTTATATCTGGTCAGCCCAAGATACAAGAGAACATACCATTTCCTTTGTGTGTGTGTGCCTGCCTCATAGCGCAATATTCCTTACTAATATGTTATACTAGAAATTACAAACTAAGTACTCTGATTACTGCTGTGACACAGAGTAACTCATCATGAACCTCACATTAAAACTTAACGAATCCTTCAAAATCGGGCATAAGGCAATGCTGCTGAAGAAGATCTCCAGCTATGTCCCCGTGTTGGAGGTGAGGTGACTCACTTCACACATCACAGTTCACAAAGCTGTTTTGTTCACCCGAGTTACAGTGATGTACCCTAAGCTTTAGCTGGAGGATTTTCTCTGTTCACTCAGACATTTATAAAAATTACCTGCTGACCATTTTCTTTCTGTCATGACGTTTGAGGTGAGAAGGCTTAAGTTGGCATTTTCAGAAACTTGCAATGCAGGGTAAGAATTACTGTTTATCTGCATATATAGCAAGGAATAGCCTTTCTGAGAAATTGGCTTGAATGGACACTAGGGTTTAACTAGGAGCCACTTAGACAGACAAGAGCTGTTGTCACACTGTAATATTAGTATCCTTTGATGCACTTCCTGTCTTAAACATTTGAATCATCTCTCGTAACAACTGAAAAGTATATGGCTACATGACAATGTATGCCAGTGGAATTAATGCATATATAATATTTCACAAGGAAGCTGTTTTTGACTTGCTGGGGTGATGAAAAAGAAGTCAAGCATTGTTTTATTCTTCAATGATGAAATCAAGACACTTTATTTGGTGTATGTAAACTTGTGATCAAATTAAGAACAGGAAAATCTGTCCATAAAGTGTTTCTGTCACATGCAACAAATGCCTTAAGGGATCACTTGGAAATAGTGTCAATCTGGTCCATGACTGCCAGCAGCTGCACACCTTTGCACTTTTTGAAGAGCAAGTAGGTCACAGAAAAAAGAAAAATGCAGTGCGCTCGGCATATCAGAACACTCTGTCCCCTTAAAAAACACAGTTTTGGAGAAGATACGTTTTCATTTACAGGAGGATACGGAGTCAGCCCTTGAAATGCAATGCTTGGAGACAATATGCATCTCAGCAATAAGAAACTAAACCCCTATGTATCTATCTACAGGAATGTGTACAGATTTTAAGACAGTGTGAATATAATAGCAATAAATGGCATCTAGGTTTGCCAGCTACCAAGAGCAATAGTTTCTTTATTAATTCAGCATAAAAGATACATAAATCAACTTATAATGCTAACTTGTAAGATTAAAATCAAGTTCTATATCCACAAGCTGATGTACGTTTTAAAATAAAAAGCTTTATATACCTTGTATTTATGTAGCTATTTTGTACACCAGTTGAGATATTACTCAAAAAAAAAGAATATAAATTAAATAATGTTTTTAACCATACACACAAAGGCTTCATATATGTAAACTAAACACCTACAGAGAAGGCAGCCTGTATGAATTTCCCTTGAATTTATGTAAAGCCTTACTGCTCAGTATATTTGTATACAGAGCGTGCCACCATTACATCAAGGTAGTTTTGAAACGTGTAATTTTAATGCTAAACGAACAAGAACTAATCACCTTGATTTGGCTGATCTGTATGTCCAAAGGAGATGATGATGTTTCCAAAGTTTCCAGTTCTTTCTCTTGTTCAGCTATCCAGATGGACAGAGCTTCAAAATTATTGCCAAAATGATCCCACTTGCTTTTCACCATTTCCATGCTTTTAATACTAAAATTAACCAAATTAATTAGAGAGAATAAACAGTTTAATATCATGAGGCTGCCCATATTTTTGATAGAATAAATATGTAATTTATTTAATCTATGGGAGGGTCATTTTAAAAACTCCCAGTTTTAGAGGACCAAGTAAGTTGTGAACCTTAATTCAAACTTGGTTCTCTCTTAGTCTGCACCCAAAGTCAAGCCATTACATTGGCCATGGTGGGGATACTGAGAGGTGAAAGACAGCACAGCTTCATTCATCAGCTCTACAGCAGGAATCTCATCATAGCAAGAACAGAAAGGAAAAATAGTATAAATATGATTTATATGAAATAATACGGAATCATGATTATATCACATATCTAAAAATTGAGATAACTGAGTGCAAGATGTTAGTCGTTTAGTCACTAGAACAGAGTGATAAAAACAGTGTATTGTGGATTTACACATATTCAAAATGCTTGACTGCTTTATTAAACTTGATTTTTTTAAAAACCAGCAATTTGCCCATCTTATTGGAAGGTTGTGTTTTCTGAGGCAATGATTTAATATTAAGCCAAAGAATCAACAAGAGATTATGACTCAAGTACCTTAAAATTAATAGATATATATTCTTTGATACATACGTTATAGGCATGTTAAACAGAGACAAGGTTATGCCCTATTCTTGTATATATTGGATAGCAAACAAAGCACCCCTTTTTTGGTCACAAGTAAGAAGTCTAAAGCTCTTATAAGGTCTAACAGCATTAACTTCCAGTATACAAGTTTCTGCACCTTTCAAGTCATTGTAAAGAAACCACAGCTAATGTAGGCCCTACACACAGCTTGCAAAACACACATTTTCTATTTTACTGAAAATACTAAATTTTCATCAGAAAAGTTTGGGTATTACAAAATTCCAAAATACATTTTCCTTTTAAATATAGCCTTAAAAACCATTCCATGTTAAAAAGTTTTTGTTTTATTTTCTTTCTCCCACCCCTCATTAAAGGTAGAGTAAGCTTTAAAAAAAAATGTAGTCTAAAAACATAAAAATTGGCCTTTTAATTTTTACTTATTTATTTTCAAAATTTAAAAAAAAATTAGCAGTGTCAACAGCCATTTACTCTATTCAAATTCAAGTTATTTCCAGGAAAATAAAGTGGAAAAATATCTCACCCAAGTCCAGCCTAAGAAAATACAGCTGGAAATCAGAATTGAGGGACCAAATCAGTGGCAAAATAGCAGAAAATCCTTTGCCTTTGTATCTACCTTCCTTATAGTTGTAAGAAAGCTGCAGATTGTAAAGAATATAGTCCCAAACACACTGCACAGCTACGCATCATCTCCTTAGAAAACAGATGTGCTAAGTTTGCTCTGTGGCTGACTACGCAGAGCTGCTCAAACTTTTCTTTTTCTTTCCTGTTCATTGGAATAGTATGTACCTTCCAATACTTCAAATTACTTAGCCAAGATTTTATTGATGATGTAAGTTACAACATAACCCTTACACACTGATTATATATTCTGTAGATTCACTATAGAGAGTTGTATATATTTACATGTTTTGCAGAAGGGATTTATTTTTTTTATTATCTGTCACAGAACCACAAACATTCTGTACAATCCATACATTCAACTAAAACCTGTTTCATATCTACATTGAAAGGGGTTATCACTGATGGCTTTCATTTAAAAATAGATTACATTTTTAAAAAAGTGAATATTCACTGTTGGAAGGGTGAATTTCTTGAATTGAAAAATCATGCTAGTTTTCTCTCTAGTATTGGAGCAAATGTATAAAGTGAAGTATTCAGTAAGATATAGTAGCATGTAACTGCAAATCAATGTAATACTTCATATTGGAGAAAATGTTATCTAAAAAAATTCAGACTACCAATAATCAGAAAGTTACATCTGCTGCAGAGGTTAGTTATTATGTTTCACAACTGTTCTTTCATATTGGGAACAAAATGGCACAAAATTAAAGTCAGGTTAGCATGAAAATGGTCAATATGAGGAAAAAAACCCCATTAATGGGGGCATTGCCCTTCACTCATATTCAGCTGGGGTTGGTGGTACTTGCTTAAACTTATACAGCAAATTAGTCTACATAGTAATTCCAGTAAGACAATATAGAATTGGTACATATGTCCATGTACACAACTGATTATGTATCAGATCTATTAGATGCAAAAATACTAATTTCATACACACATATAAATGTATGTGTATATAGACAAAATGAAAATAACAACAGCTGAAGCTGAAGTTGAGTAACTTGAGTTCAATAACTAAGTTACCCACTTGATAAAAGGGATGAATTTTTTTACAAATACAAAAAGCTACAGATATTTAACAACATTTGCTTGGAGTTTGAACTTCCAATTTTTAAAACAATTTGGCAAATGATGCCTCAGTTATTTGTAGCAGCAGAAGCAGCTTTTGATATTGCCCATGAAATAAAATCTGGGCAGTCAGCTAAGATGAAGGCACTTCTTGACATTGCTATGGAGAAAGTAGAATACTAAAAACTGAAGCAAATATGGTAAATGTGCTGTTCTCATACTTGCACTGAGATTTTTCTTTCTATAAGTGTCTAGTACCTTAAGATTGAGTTTAATTATCTCTTCTTCACAAAACTGGGGCTTAAAGATAATCAACAGGTTAAATGCAACTAACAGTGTTTTATAAACTGTGTATTATTAAACAAAGATTTTGTTTATTTGCACACACTCTTTTGACATATTTGGTACTATAACCTGGTGACTATGCCACAGCAAGCTGTAGGTGATGGAGCTGATGAGACCACACAAGATGCTGACAAGGTATTCTAGAAATCTGATACAATCTTATAGTGGAGAATAAATATTAGGACTTGTTAAGAACATACTCTTCTTCAAGAGTAACTTCCACTTTTTTCACTTGTTCTTGGATTGATTTTGCCTGCTGTTGAAGAGACTGCTTGTTCCTTGAACCAAGCTGTATCTCAGAAGAATTCTTCACTAAATTCTCAGCCTGCACAGCCATTGCTTCAGCCTGTTTAGAGAGTTCCTGTAAGGATGTAAGGCACATTAATACAACTATAAACAATTTCATGTATTTACACAAAAATAATTTTCCCTCATCATTTGTGGTTAGAAAAAGTATCTGTGTCCTATATGTATATTTTGAATGTGCAAATACATAAAAACAACCTCTGAAGAAAGTTATTTTCATGTTGCATTCAAGAAATGTTCATTTGAGCAAACTAGTTTGAATAAAATTTGGCAAGGGAAGCTATGTGTCCAGAAGTTTTTAACTCAACCAATCAAAATTTATACTATAGCTCTTAAATTTATTGATGAATTTTCAAAGATTATATGCATTTTTTTAATCTTCAGATCCTACCCTTTACAGAGACGATTTTGCCATATTCTGTAGCTCAATCTCACTTTGTTTAACAACTATTTTCTGTCACAAACAGTAAACCCATACACCGGAACAATGGATGCTAAGCATAACCAAGATATGTATAACTTAGTATCAGATTCAAAAGGTAAAAACACCATGAGAAACACGGCACTTAGGAAAGCCAATCACTACTATTACTTCTGTATTAGTAAATAAAATGGGGCTGGGTAAATTCTGTGTTACAAAGGGCAAGTGGCATGTTATGGTTTATGTCCATATTGTATCAGTCTCTCCTTTTTCTCTTCAGGGCTCAAAGAGTGCTAGATGGGACAGTCCACATAACCTTGCCAAAGGGGACTGTTTATCTTACTAGTATAAATGATTACTGAGTATAAAATGGAAAGTCCTCAAAATCATTTTAACTTCCATACGTGTGCTTCAGATGCAGATTTCGAGTAATTCTTCATGATTTTTTCATATAATAAATTTCTACCTCTAAGCATTTTATGCAATCTCTAATCTGTAAATGCAATCTGCACCGGCACTAACAGGAAACTATGCAAAGATTGAAGACAATATGCTCAATACATGTTAACAAGCAAGGCAGAAAGATATCTCAGTTCCTGTATTTCACAGGAATACCTTTGTCTGGTCCAGTTCTGAGGAGAGGCTCTCTAAACTGCTAAAGTTTAAGATACGTTCAAGTGCAGAACTTGCTTGATTGAGATATTTTACTACTGTTTCTTTGTCCCTTTCAAACTGCTCCCATTTATTTATTGTGACCTACAAAAGCAAACAAACAAACAAACAAACAAACCCAAAATCAGGAACACAAAGACAAAAAGATCACAGGGGAGAAAAAAAGAATTTCATTGTTACTGAAGAAGGAAAGACGATAAAGACCTGAAATAAAACAATTTCTCCTGAAATGCCACCTAGTCCACAGATGAAACTGCTCTGAACCCAATAAAATGTAATTTTTCCCTTGAATTTTCAGCGATTCATATTGTGCTGTGCAAAAAAGCACTGTTCCCTAAGGTGCCAGAAATATTTAAATCTTATATTGGAATGTTCTAGAAGAAGTTTGAATAAAAACAAATGCTTATGCTTATGGTGACAGGTAGTCAACAACAATTAAAAGAATTTTCAAGTTCTGTAATGAAATAGATGACAGTAAAATGGTAGAAGAAAATCGCTTCTCATAGCAAATTCACACATAGAAATCTATTTTTTCTTTTCTGATAGTGCAAAATTTTTACTAATTTAGAGCATTCAATTATCAGTCACAAGAATTATGACAGTATAAAGAAATTTCTGTATCCTGAAATAAAGCAAGGCGTGAGTTAAGACTTCATATATGGGACTCGTTAGAAAAAAATTGGTTTCAATAAATTCTTACATTAAGAAGTTATCTGAGCTTTATTGATCATGTTTTTCATCTTGCACTTTATCAAGAGAAATCGTTTTGATGACTTTAAACATTTGTGCAAAATAATGGACAGCTGGATTACCATTCTGCTTACAGAAATGTAAAGGACAACTCACATATGGGTGTAAGAAGTTCTAAATTTTAATCCCAGTTCAGTCAGTGATTAGTTATACAACCTGGAGCAGCCCATTTAATTTCTCTGTGACTTTTTCCTTCCTTCTTTAAATTTAGGATGACACCAGATTATATTTGCACAACATGAGGTGTTATTAATCTAATATCCAGCCTAAAGACTCTCAATTAAAGGGCAATGTCGTCTTTAGCATCCTGGGGAGATAGCCCATCTAAAAATTAATTCACAGGTAAATTATTTTAATTATCTATTATGACTGAATAGTTGGAACTTTTAAACACTACCAAACAAAATGCTGTTTCTTTATTAATTAAGAGGTATCCAGCATCTTCAAGAAGGTTTCATGGAGTTGCTGATTATGAAAACCCCAGGGACCAAGACTCAGAGAGGTGAGAAAGTGATCTCGGATTTTTTTTTACTTTAAAAAAATAGGGGTTTTACTAAGTTAAAAAAGAAGAAAACATAGGGGTTTTATTTCTACTTGCAAAGGACCCACCTGCAGTTGCTCTTCACGTTTCTCCATAGTCTGCTGCATGTTCTCCAGTGTTCCTTCCAACTTTTGCAAATCCTCTTGCATTGTGCTGGGCAGTCCACCTTCAGTCTGCAACTGCTTAGCCTGGGAAATCTGCTGTTGCACATCTTGCCTTTTTGCACGGAGTCTCCTTGTTCTTTGCTAAAAGGATTCATCCAACAGGAATGATTAGACTTTTTAGCTCCTTTAGGCAACTGGCACAATGAAACCACTTTTTGCTTTTGCAGGGGTATCCTTCAGTTCTTTGTCAATGTCAGTTTTTACCTTAAAAGACTCCATATCAAAAGGAGAAGGAGAGTCTGAGAACTCAAGGAGAAGTTAACTATTCCTACTACCTATCCGATGATTGATAAGGAATGTAGAGTATTGAAAGAACAAATATGAACCTTAACACATACAAGAGCTTTTACAAATACCAAAGAGTTTAGATGAGACAGAGATAAGACATGTTAATATAAAACACTTATATAATGCACAAACACTGACAGTAAATTATTCTATTTTTTATTAGCTTTGAGCAGGCCTCAAAGTTAATTCCCCATATTTGGCCTTAAACACCATGATTCTTGCTGTGGGCAACCTGCACGAATAATTTTTACTCTAGGCTGCAGATGTTTTGATCTATTATTAGTGCATAAAAAGCCTCCTATTCTACCAACTGGAGGCCAATCTCTCAGTGCAGTAGGTACCTAGAGGAGGACGTGAGGCTAGAGGTAAACCTCCTCTCCAGCATTTAGAGTTGGTGCTACATCAAAGCTGCTGAAGTTGATACATTTCCAAAACTAGGATCAGACCAAATTTACCACGATCAAATCTGACATGTAGACTTTAAAAAGGTGACAAGAAAGACTGAGAGACTACACTACATACTTGTAAAGTACAATTACCCAAAATTTCAAGTAAATTAAACTTGTTTTTCAGGTATTCTGTGCCCCAAATCCCATATGAAATAAAAGAATATTCAAAGCATACTCAATAAAAGTTGAAAAATTAACTCATCTTTGAGTATTTTTTTCATTATAGGAAATCAACACTAGGCCAGATGAGACCATTTCCTTTATAGATTTTTCAAGTTTAAATAAGTAGTTATGCTAAAGGATATAAAAAAATCTAGTAATTACATACTTTAAAATAGAAATTTAATATGGTCATGAAGAATTGCCATACCTGATGATGAAGTAGTAGTTGCTGAGCTTGTAATAAACTTTCTGTATCCAGGATCTTTTCAGCCTCTGCTTGGGCTTCTTTAGAGTTGTTGATTAACTCTTCAATTGCACTTTTAACTTCTTCTTTGTACTGGACACAGTCTCCTACAGTGCCTAATGCCTTTTCAACCTACAATTATAGATAACTTTAAGTATTTCATGTTGAAAGGCATATCTATATTTTAAGGGCACATTTATATTGGAATATTTTTTCAAAAAATACAGTAAATTGTCTGAATTCAAATCACTTTTTGTATTCTGCGTTCTAACAGACACCTTTAACTTTACATTGAAAGGGTGACTGAAGACCTAAAATGTGATCAATTGTCTTTTTCAGACATAGTCCCTATCACATTGCCATATGGCAAATGGCTGTCTGTGACAGCCCCTTACTGGTGATCACTTAGAAAATACATGCTGTTCTCACCCTTGCAAGCTGACCCAGATTTGAAAATACCTGTGCTACTCAACACATGTAAAATCTTGCTGCCTTTTTGTACCTTCTGGAGCGATGCCCTGGTGAATCAAAAATATGTTAAAATGTCCTGTTACCCTGTTTTTATGGACCACAATATGTATGTGGTTCAATATCCAGTCTCAGTTGCAGAATTTTATAACTAAAAAGATTTATCTATTCAACATACAAGAAAGTTCTTCCTTCTGTGGATGATTCAGCTAACTACTTGTACCTGCTTCTTGGTACAGGCTCTGTTCCTCAAACAGTTCCTGTGTTTTAAGGTTTTAATCACAAAGTATTCTAGAACTAAGAAGTTCCTTTCCTTTCTTCCTCCCTTCCTTCCTTTCCAGTCCATATTCACTTTGGAGGGTTGTTCAGATTCAAGTAATTCTCTTTCCTGTTATATAAATGTTTAGTCTTTACTATCCAAAAAGCATTGCTGAACTCTGGAAATACCCAGTATCAGTCCTTGTTTAAACAATCTCATCCATCTGCTTAACAAGCTGTAAATTTAGCTGTAAAGCATATTCAGACTGTTAAGAATTAGCAGTCTCTTAACTATACTATAAAGTGCCATTTCAATTATGCTTTTAGATTTAAAACAAGTTTAGATTCTAGATCTTATTATCTTTTTTACCTGCATGAACCTGTATTCCCCTTAGTTCTGGCTTTTCGAGGGAAAAAAAAGCAAAAGTAATTTAATAGAACATAAAAATAATTAAAAAAAAACCTATTATCTTAAATTTTTTTCAGTGACTTGGAAATCATAACACTGGTTCCCCCAACTTTCCAAACAGTTTTCCACAGAAAACTGTTTCCACTCCACAGAAGTTTAGAGAAGTTTTCAACACATACATGGAACTTTGATACATTTGGAACACCTACAAGGTCTCCACAAGAATCAACATTAACAAAGGAATTTGAAGCCTGAACTCTTTCTCTATCCTGAACTTTTTTTTCAAATAATCATGTTCTGCCTTCTACGGGTAAAATGTCCTAAATTTCTCCTGATCTTTCTTTTTACTGTGAAAACTGTGAGGCATTAAGTTCCCTGAGATCCCTCAGAACTTCAAGGGTTCAGGGGATTCTAAGAGGTTTTGCCTATCAGTTAGAAACTTCCCATGATTTCAGCAGTTACAGTACCTCATTATCTTTCAGACCTCAGAAAACTGCAGCCTTTTCCTGCAAATTCAGTGCATGATGAACTTCCTCAACGATTTGAAACTACTTTACGGTAGTTCCTTTATTATTTCAGCATAAAACATACATAAATGAAGACTAAAGTCAAATTCTATATCCACTAGCCGATGCAAATCACAGTTTTGCCAATGTTCACTAAGAGCTGATTTCAGAAAACAATCTTTTGCCTCTAAAAATAGTGACATTTTGATTCCAGAAACATTAACTATGACGCTTTCCAATTCTGCAAAAGGAAAAGATCCATAATGTCAGAATTTTCTGCCTGCTGTTCTCAAGGCTTTACTACCCAGGGAGTACAAATGAGTTTTCCCGTTGTTGAACACTTCCAGTTTAATTAAAAAAACGCAGCAGGGAACTTATGCTTGTGAAGCCATGATTGATGTCATTTCATGTGACACTGTAAATGGAGAGTTTTTGTGTCCCTCATACTGTACCTCAGCCAGCAAATCTAGGAGTCCCTTGAAGTCACTGGAAAGTTTACAAAGCTCATCCTCTGTCTTTTTGGCCTCCAGATCAGGACATACTGTGGTTAAAACAGCAAGCCTAGATTTCAGCCAGCTGTGATTTTCTCCTTGCTTGTTAATATGCTTCCTAATTTCCTACGGAAGAATCAAAACATATTTTTTTCAAATAAACAAAATATATTAATGAGCGACATCAAAGAACAGTAGTTTAAACATACTACCATTGTTCTTCTCTTGAAAGACTATAAATGTATTATTTTTCTGTTTGCATACCCTATCTGCTTCTGTTCCAGTCAATGACTAGATTTTTGCATTTCCTCCACAGACTTTTCTCCACTACTATTTAATCAGACCGTTCTTTCACAAGTAGCAGTGGAGCACATTTTCCTCACAAACTAACATTTTAAACCACAAATAGATGGTAGATGCCATGTATATATTTTCCATATATTGACCAAATTTCTTAGTCACCATTTACATCTTCAATGCTGACTTTTCCAAACAAAATTTCATGTGATATAAGATTTTGTGTATTTTTTTTTTTCTGATTTAAATAGCTCTTTCCCACCCCACTCTTTTCACCCAGTAGTTCATTTATATCTTTGTGCCAGTGCTGGTGAAAAGTTTCCAGCAGTGAAATTACATGAGTAAATCAGACGTTTTGCAGCAGAAGCACCCATTAAACTGAAGCTCTATCTGCTCTATCAAGGTCATCCTAATTATGTTTCTCTGCACAGTTAGCCTCATAACCTGCTCATGAGTTTCACAGAAACTCCAACAGTATGTGACATTTCTATTTTTGCTCCTAGTATGTAAAAAAAAAAAAAAAAAAAGAGAAATAAAGTTAAAGCTAGGTCTCAAGTGACACAATAAATTATTGCCTAAAACTAATTCAATCAAATGACTCAATCTTCAATTATTCTACCACTTCTGTTACCGGTCACTAATGCAAAAGTGAATGGTAGGATATCTTTGCCTGTTACTGTCTTAAATTTAAGGAAGTCTTCTACAATAAAAATTGTCTTTTATGACAGTGTAACTTGAACCTTCAAAAACCCCCAGTCCAGAAATTTTGGCTCTTCTTTGCACAGCACTTTTAGCTCTCCACACAGCAGGATGAGGAGCAAGTATTTATTCTACCTGCATCCATATTTGGATGTTTTGAATATACAGGTAAAGGGACCTGTCTACTCTAAATTACTGCAAGTAGGAACTACTGCCACACTTAGCTGCATGTGGAACTATTCCTGGACATGTTTTTAAGAATATCAGGAATCAGCAGAGCTGATTTTTAGAGACTGTTTTACTATGGTCTCCATAGTAAAACAGTCACACTATTTAAGAACACAGTTTTATCCAGAGTCCCAGTAGTAATAACTCTAGCTTTTTTAGAATATGCCAGGGCCTTACCCCCACAGCTGCTTTACACTGCTTGTATTTGGCAGTATCATGGACACTTTCCTTTATCTTCTTTAGCTCTGTTTCTGTTGATGAAATCCAATTTGCCAATTCAGAAAATCTGAAACAAAACATCAAGTAATGCAAAGCAAGGAAAAAAGTTAGACAAAAATCGCCATCACCAAATAATAACCTTAAATTTAAACCAAAAATTATAAAATCAATTCAAAACCCCACTATAATTTGTGGAATTACTACATAAAGTATAATTTTCTTCTTGAAACTAACAACACAATATTATTCTTTTCATGGTACTGTTCTACGATGACATTTAGAAGAGTGACCACATATAAGGCTCTAGGAGACCCAGCTAGCAATTGAGCTGACACCTGTTCTTATAGCCCTTCCAGGTGTCCGAGTGCTCTGTTAGCTTTACATATGTGCTGTTTATCTGGGATTTGAGATCCTTCAAGATTCGTTGGCTGCTTTCCAACGTAGCCCTCACTGGATCAGTAACTGGCAGTTTTTGGCACAGTTCTTCAATTCTTTGTAGCCTTTTCTCACACAGCTGGTAAGGTCCCTTGTCACCGAAGAATAACTGATGGGAGACAGCAGAAAATTCAATAAAAAAACCAAATTGGCAGAAATCACAAAGCATATCTACGTATCTGTACTAAGTTCACATAAAAAAATTTGTTAAAGTCCAATTAAATTTGTTAAATTTTTGTGCAGTTGTGCACAGAGTGTTTGGGGGCTTAAAAGTTGGTCAGACCTTCTTTTTATTATTGACATTGAAACGCACTTCTGTAAATGCCCACGTGGTGGCATATAATTCATACCTTGTGCTCCTCAATCATCCTTTCATTGCCTTCTCTTGACAGCACCTTGTTCTGCCGAGCTAGTTCAGCTTTGCACTCCTCCACTGTGACCAGGAACCTGCTTTTCTGTATTTCTATCTTCAAGTGGATCAAATGATATGGTGCCTCTGTTTGCAGATCCTAGACACCCACAGGGGCAATAGAGAAGCACAGAGGTAAAACACTATTCTTATTAGCTCAATGTGAAGTTACTGCAAGTAAATTATCTAAAAACTGCTGCTATGGAAAATAAAGCATATGTATGCAGGAACAGATGGAGCTTTATCTGTATTTATTTAAGGAAATAAATCAACTCTGTTACCAATATATATCATAAGGATATAAATTTTTGGGGAACAGAATATGTATGTATAAGGCACATTAGAGAGACATCTTGATTCCTGGCAAAATATACTGAATAGTTCCCATATAAAACGATAAAGCAAACAATAACAGTGATATATTCACATGCAGCTATAGTCACAACTGCTTCAAGAGGTCCCTGTTTGCCTGCTAGTGAGAAACCACTCATCCATCACTCTAGCTTTGACCTGCAACATGCTGTAGCAGGCAAAAAATGCCATAGCTTATAAGCAATGTTTGTTCAGTTGTTAGAGGCTTTGGCAGAAGACACAATTTAAACTGATAGCCTGATCTCTTACAAATTCGTTTTATTAAGCTTGGGAAAGTCAATCATCCAACATCAGCATAAAGTAAGAAAAGCTAGCACCTATTCTCAATAAATGTTCTTCAAAAGTATCGTTATGGCTGTACGTAGGGGGAGAAACTAAGGTTTCATAATTAATTTCTCACATTTCTTGATGTTTGACCACTTAACAGGGTTTTTTCAAGAGGGTATTTGCAGGTGTAATTGTATCTAATGTTGCAAAATAAATAATATTTTTTTCTAATTGTACAGAAAGCCAAATAATACTTTTTTTTTTTTTTTTTTCCAAAATAGATATCATGCAGAAACATTCCAAAGGTAAGACTTACAATTTCCAGAGACATCATTCAATGTCACTAACCTTCCACTGCCTATGGAGTTTTCTGACAGCTTCCTGCAGGTTGTGTTGCTCTTGTTCTGGGAGGATGTCAGTAAGTTCATCACAAGCTTTCAGAAAGGCATTTAGGACTCTCTGATCCAACTGGTTAAAGAACTCCTGAAATTGAGGAGGAAAGTGAGAAGGTGAGAAGATGAAGATGGTTATTGATATTGTAACCTGTCAACATGAAGTTCCCTAACATGCTCTGGAAGTTCCAAAGTTGCTTCTGCTGCAGTGAAGAACTGAAGTTTGAGCTAAGGAAAGAACTATTTCTAGCTATTTAAGGTCCAGAAAATTAATTTATTCTCAGCCAGTATACTGAGATGGTATTTAACAAGAATACAATTCAAAGTTACATGCATAAGTAATGGTTATGGTATAGATATCAATCTGAAATAATAAAAAAAAAAAAAAAAAAAAAAAAAAAAAAAAAAAAAAGGAGTGGATTTGTGAGACTGGCAAAATGCAGTGTTCTCACTCCCAATGGTTCTACTGGCAAAACCAACCCTAATTTCTAGGGGATCTCCTCTCTTCATCTTCTGGTTGCTTACATTCATCAGTAGGAGCGGTGATCTTTTTTTCCTTTATGTTTTTCAATCTTAACATAAGTTTGACTTGATCTGTATAACTTCTATATGTGAAAGAAATCCATACCAATTTTAAAATTAAGTAGGTTTTTCACTTGTATGTCATGCACTCAAAGATTTCCATGAGGAACGTCAGACAATTTACTCACGCTATGTTTCCTGAGAAGTTCTTCAGGATTTCCTTTTTCTTTTAAGCAACAATTGGCAATCTGTATTACATTCTCCAGTTCTGCTCTAGACTCCTCAAATTTCTTCATCAAACGGCTATTTGCTTCTATGTTTTTTCTCCAGTCACCAACTTTCCTGACCATATTCTGAGTTATAAGCAAAGAAAATGAGCTGGCACTTTCTCATTGATTTTTATTTGCTCTCTTTTACCATGACCTTACAAAAATGCATTTGATTGGAGTCACTTTTTCAAATATTTGCCATTCACAAGCGTTTCTTTTTTTTCATGCTCTCATTTTCCCAATTTTTAATACTTATACTAAGGTTCATGCTCATGCCATCCTTCATTCAAACAAACGTGGGTAGCTAATTCATAGAGATGTCTCTGATACACCTTCAGGATGCCTCTCCCATGTGGCTGGTGTTTCTTTCCTAAGGCCTGTTTTCAAATGTATGGTTGGTATGGCTAAAAGCTTGCCATTCCATTTTTTTTAGTAGCAGACTACTTCCTCTTACACAACTCTACATTACCGTGGTTTGACCTATGGATCCAACCAGTTCCATGCTACAAGTCTTCTGACCTGAAGGGGATTTATATGATTATCACATGAGTAGGCTAGATAAGAACCAGGAGAAAGGCAGCAAATTATGTGGTTGAGTTGCTGCTCTGAAATCCTCTTGTTTCAAAACTTTAGTCGCAGCTCTTCATTTCTCTGCTTTATAGTCTGCCCCAGTGGTTATAATTCCAGGAGAAATGAACAGTTCACCATTTCAACTGCAGCAAGGTAATTCCAACACTGGTTACTAACCATAAACTAACCAAAAACCATAAACCACGCTCACCGATTACAGTGTAAAGAACTGTAATAATTTTACCTAGTGAGCTAATGAAATCTGTAGTTTCAAACATCTTGCTAAACTGTTTAAAGTTTCCTGATAAAAATTTCTGTAGAATCACACAGGAATGTATTCTTTACATGAGAAAATTCAAGTTTACAGACCCATAAATATTTTAACTCTGGGTATGCCACACTTTGTACGGTTAAGCCATGTTTTATAGGTTTATTTTCCAACACAAAAGAGATAAATCACCATCAATCTTTATAGAAATAAAGTAATTAATGTTTAAAATGGTAAATTTAACAAGCTACAACTATATCTTCTTCTCTCACTGTAGGCTAAACTTAACAAACTTAATTTCAAAACTGTAACCCAAACCCCACTGATTTTTTATATTGTATTTTGTAGGCTGTACTTATTTCTGAAATCCACCTTTCAGAAACAGCTCTTTACTTCTAGGTTATTTTCTGTAGATTTAAATTCAATTTAGGTAGCTTTATATTGAACAATAATTGCCTGAAAACAAATCTCATAGAACCCAACATGTGCAGATATTACTTCTACATAATGGTTACTTTCATGCTAAAGCAGGGATAGACTGAGACTGAATAGCCCCAAAAATATTGATATGGCTAATAGCAGTATAGAGTTCTACAGGTAAGGGGGATTATAGCTCAAAGTAACATCTTTACATTAACAAATGCAAACATATATTTGCAACTTCCTATATTCATGATCCACTGCATTTTCTGAGGAAATATAAAGCCCAGCAATAGCAGCATTTACAAAAGTTTACATCTTCCATATGGTGTGTGAAAGGGGATGTATGGGAGTATAAGAGCCAAGGTAAGAAAGTCAGGAGAAACAACAAAAAGTGCATCCCCAAGAGATGGATTTCAGGTTCCTCATTCCAAAGGAGCCTGAGATGTGTGGAAGTTCTCCTTAAGTCCCAGGTTCCTCTGAGGCATAGTCACCCATGAATAACTGCATGGAAAACATGACTGTTGGTGTCTTTGTACCTAATATAGGCAAATCCCTAGTTAATAACTTGACATCAGAGAGAGCTCTCTATGACAGTAGCTACAGAGTGATGAAATGAAGATATGGTAGGATGGATCAGCTGCATATAAACAAGCTTTCAAAAATATGCACAGAGGTACGACATAATTACCTGAAAAGTAAGCTGAACTTGTGTAACTTTCTTCTGAAATGTTGACTGATGGAAATGCTGTAACACTTCGCTCGAAGCCACACACTGCAGGATACTCTGACTATTCCTCTCAATCAGGGACAGATCTTTCTTGCAGTTTTCTTGATAAGCTACCAAATCCTGAAAGAAAAAAACATATATCCACCCTGGCCAGGAACAAAGGAGAGAAAAGTTTGGCAAAATAACAGGAAGATATTTTTAGACAATAAGAACAAAAGTGACGAGGTCAAAGCATCACAACAAACAGAACCACACAAAATGTTATATGGAGTAACACAGACCACGCAACTTTTTCCTTGTGTACAGAGTCCTGTACCCAAATAGAGCTCTAGCTGTCTTTAAAAAAGACATAGACATATAACCATGCTTTCTGATAGTTTTAGAGAATGTAGGGCAATACATTATTCTGTGTTTTAATGCTTTGTGGTGTCCATATTTATTGTATAATTGTAAGTAGGCAGCAGTGCAGACAATAGATAGTAGAATGACAACTCTCAGTAGCAGGTTGAGATGTTAACCTTTCTTGCCTTTCAACAAATTAACCTTTCATGTAAACTATTGAAACTCAAATTTCATCAAAAATGGCATTAAGTAAGGAGAATTATACTAAAACAACAACAAAAAACCCCAACAAAATAAAACAAACAAAAAAACTCAACAAACAAACAAACAAACAAAACCAAACCAGAGAGAGAGAAGAAAAGAAAACATGCATGAAGTTGCACAGGCTGAAAAAAAATGTTTAAAAAATTCTTAGTTGAGAAAACCATTCTTCTATTGAAGGAATACTGTGTTCTGTACTCCTCAGCATAATTCTCTGTTTACTGTCTGATTAGCAGAAACTAACACCCTCCATATAACTGAGGACATTTTGGTACCTTTGTTGGCAAATCATTGCAGAAGAAGAATGTCTTTTTATTACAATGTTTTGGGGCAGGTTAACCTTCAGAAGGAGGGGAAAGGAACACTCTTATAAGCTGCTCCTTAACTTGCAGCTTGGACACATGACTCAGCCAGTGTTCATAAACAGAAGAGGATTTACTTGGGAAGAGAAACAGACTGGCTGGATTCAAGCTCACCAGTTCATTTTTTACTGAAATTCAATAAAAGCTTAAAGTCACTGGAAGAGAAGACCCTTCTTGGGCCAATCTCCAGAGTCATTACAGGCTTGAGCTAATTTTGGTTTTTTTATATATATATATATATACACACACACACACACACATACAAACCCAGAAAATTAAATCTCTTTGTTCCAATTTTTTTTTTTTTCAAGGGCCTCTAAATGGCTTTGAAAGACTTCATCTTCCTGTAAAAAAATTATATTACCTCTCAAAATTGAGTGTAACAAAATGTGTACATCAATTTTGAGGGACTGTTTCTAGGCTGCATACCACACATACACAAGGATGAATGCCAATTCTTATGCAAGATTTTCATACTTTCATTTAGCTTTCCAAGTGAGTTCTGACCAGCTCTGAATTCCTTCAGAATGAAACATATATTGGTCAGGGAGAAAAGTTAAGGTTCTACTACAATGTGCTTCAAAGAAACTGCTTCCAGACTCCTAAGAAACTTCCATAATTGTCCAAGTAAACCTAGGGAAGTTCCTGATCACGTTGTTTCATCTGCTTAATAAAAAAATCTAATGTATTTCTGATAATTCAGGCCTATTTCCACTACATTTAAATAAAAATAAATAAATAAATAAATAAGGTCTTATATTTACTTCTGCTGCACAGGCACTAGGAGGGAACACAAGTTTCAATTGTTGTATGTTTATGCCTAACTGACGTTAGGACAGGCTATGTTTGCTGCCTGAACATGAAAAAACATTTGCTCAGCTTACCAAGGTGCAATCCAGATTCCTAGAAAGTTAATTGTAAATATTCGAGCAGCAGATCTTTGTAAGATGTTTTTGAAACTTACTTGGGCTTTTTGTTTAAGAACAGATGTGGGTTGTGCTTCAGGATCCATGATAGAAATTATTTCATTGACTTTTTCAAGAGATTCATAAAAATGTGTGATTTGTTTCTCCAGTTCTTCCAGTGGAGACAGTAGACGCTGGCATTCATAGAGCAGGGCACAGGAATACTCCTTAACCTTTAGGCCATTTTAAAGAAAAATAATTATTAAAAAATTTGTGATATTCAAAAATAGCAGCTGCTTCTGCATGTGTCCATATATAGTTGCTACCTGCCTCTTTAAATATAGATTTTGTATTACTTCTAAAAGAAAAGAGTATTAAATTTAAAGATGGTAGTCTTAAATTCTAAAAGAAGTAACATTTTTCCCCGAATCGACCTACTGTTAATATAACTATATATTTGCTAAAATGCATGTATCTGAGCATTTATGTAGAGGAGTTTACTATTTATTAGTCCAACAGTCAACAACATGCAAAGTAGAAAAAGTATTCTGCAACCTTGCTCAGCTGCTCTTTGATCCTTGTCAAAGTTCCAAGGATTTCCTTCACTTCCTCTTCGGAAACTTCTTTTGTAACAAGTTGGGCTGTTCTTGTAACCATTTTGTACTGAGCTTCCATTGCAGGCAATTTTTGCTTAATATTCTAAAACAAATGTTTAAAAAAATTAAAAGTAAATCAACATGGGAAAAAAAAGTCTGTTCTCAAGATATATAATGTATATATTTCATTATCAATTGTTTTCATCACTGATTTTATTGAATACTGGATCATATTTCAAATGCATGAAACCATGTCAAAGGATATCAGTCAGCTCACCCGAATGTGATTTGGAACTACACAGAAAGAAATATCCAGTTGGATGCTGTTTTGGAAATGTCACTCATGGAATACAATTATTTATATTAGCTATAGCAGAAATTATACAAAAAGCACTACTGGCTAAAAAAATAGTAATAATTGAAATGCATAGTAAAATAATTTTATGCTCACAGATTTAAGTAGTTACAAGTTTCTGTCCTATGAAGGAGAAAGAAAGGAATGGAAGCAAGGCACTTACTTCTAAATCTTGTACAAACATTTTGACATCAAGGAAGGACACTTCTACAGGGACCAAAAATTTCCTGTTGCTTCCATCAATAAAAGCTGTCAAATGGGCAACACCATCCAAGTATTCCTTCTTCATTTTGTCCAGTTCATCTGCTCGAGCATACTAAGAAAATGGAAAGTAAAAGGAAACAAACAAAACGTAACACCCTAAAATGAAATATCTGGCACTTAAATAATGACTTAAGAGAATTAGCATGTTTTCAGTTTAATTGTTTGCTGAACAAATTGCATTCAACAAAATACAAAATAATGGAAACAAATCTCCTAAATTTGTTAGACATTAATCACCTGCAACAGTGTCAATAATGCTGATATATTCATACAAAGGCCAGCTTTTTTTAATGTTTGGGTCATTTGGTGAATGCCAGACTCTTACTTGTTTCTAACCCAGCATCAACATCTCACTTCATTTCTCATTACCTACCATATAAATGTTGAAAAATTAGCAAAGAGAATAAACGTGAAAAGCCTAGAAAAGCTGAAGAGTAACTAAAAGAACTGCTGGCTGGAGGAAGGGGAAACACAGGTCTTACAAAGTGGAAAGAGCTATACTACAGATGGATGAAAAGCCAGCAAGAAAAGGCATACAGCCAGCGCGTGAAAGCAGCTGTGGAAGTTGGGGAAGAGACATTTACATCCTGGGCATTAGTGTTTCACGGTGAATCATCCTACATATCATCAGCAAATAAAGCTTGAGAACATTCTAGTCAACAGTTTGGAAAAGTTACAAAAAAAGAGAGGCAATCATTATTTGCTTTTCCACTTAACTTGACTGCAATGGAAATAATCATGCCAGTAAAGAAAACAGGTTCAGCATCTTCAAAAAGGAAACTGCCATTTAAAATTACTGGAAGGGGAAAATATCACTGGATGTATATTGACTATAGCAAAGATATTTCCTAATGTGTTTATGAGGTGTGAAATACTTCTGTGTAATTTAGCTCACATCTTCTCTTTGCTTTTTAAAGAGCAAATATAGAAACAACAATTCTTTTCCAATCAGCTGAATCTCTTCCACGATATAAAGCATAGATTTTTCATTTACTATCAGTGCCTTCTTGTGCACAAGATCAAAGTAATGTCTGACCAATTTGGGAAAAAAAATCAGTTAATTAATTTGTATTGTACCTGCTCATGGTGAATGCAACTTTCATTAAAGTGTAGTAAAAATATTCAGTTTCATCATTTTCACAGTTCAGTTTTACAGAGCTTTTACAGTCCCAATGGCTACTTAAAACTTAACATTTTCTTCGATGAACAGTAGATGATATGCATAAATAATATTCACTGTACCAAGACAGGAAATTATAAAGAAAAACTAGAGCTTATACTAGCTGACAATGTCCAAAAATAAAAAGCTGTATAATCAAAGAGATAAACAAAGGAAAAGCTACAATAAAATAAACCGTTGTCAGGGAATCATTTCTAATTTAAGTAATGATGCACAGTTTGAGACTTTAGTAAGATGTACTACAGCCCTGCTTGTGGGGCAAATTTGTCTTGTTTGCACAGAAATGACAAAGTAAATATTTAGAAGTAACAGCAAACCCCATACCTGTTTGACTTGCATAAACAATTCCCTCCATCTTCCATTTAGTAACAGAAGTTGCTGTTTAAGGTCTCTGGAAATGGTCTCATCACATGTTTCAATCAGAAAATTACCAGCATCATTCATGGCTGTGTGCTGTTGGATCCAATGAGGCAAGTGCCGGAAGAAATCCTGAAGAAGGAAATGGAAACACCTTTCCAATTACTCTTTATCTTAAATCATCAAACTGAAATTTAATCACCAGTTAATGGCTTGATAAAACTCTTCGAGTAATTATCCTTGAAGCTTTTCATATTAGATATGCCACAATAGAATTTTATGTCTGTGAACATAACCTGTGGAATTAAAAATTACCACCAGTTTACTTACAGCTCATTTTACTCCAGTGAGTAGCTTCAATTAAACTAATGGAACTCTTCCTTAAGAGAAAGGTCCATAACTGAAAAAAATGTTAGGGCTCATCAAATTTGTCTTGTCTTGAAATGGTATGGGCTGATAGTAATCTAGGTCATATACAGACTGTAGAGAGATTCTTCCTCTGCTTTCCAGGGTCTGCCATCCCAGAAGATTTGAGAAGACAGGTTCTTTATCACTGCTTCCTCCTATCTCGGAGTAGGTAGCGGGGAGGGGAAAGAGATGGTTGTCACTGATTTTTTTTCCCCTGTTCCAGTGAGACAGCCAAAGTAGCCCAGCCATAGTGTCAAACGCTTCTGTGCATCTTGCAGGCAGGTATACACAATTGCTAGAGAAGAAAAAGACCAGCTCCCTCCCTTCCTTTTTGCTCTTCAAGAGGATGGGCAATTGTTCCTAAGGCAAGTATCTCCAGGCACTGACTACTGCTATACCAGTAAACAAAACAGTCAAGGTCCCATGATTGTCCACATCTTCTCTGACATGGTTTTGGCTTGTCCCCACTACCCTTCTCCCAAACAATGCATAATTCAATGGATGGCATATGACAAAGACCGTTCCCACTAAGAAAGGGGAACTGACACAATTTATTTATGACTATTGATCTACCTTATAATTCCAAGACTGTTGATCTGACAGTGACAGTTCCATGCAATCTTTTGCTTAGGGGTAGATATGAAAAAGTCCAACCGTACTGTCAGTCATTTCAAGTTGCAGAGCTTCAGTTCTGGAACTTTATAATTTATACTTGTCAGAACTCATCCACAGGTAAAAACAGTTCTGATACAACCAAAAAGAAAATGTCGAATGGATATAATACTGCTCAAATTTGTTGAAGAGAGAATTAAACACCACAGTGCGTTAAATTCCTAAAGCTGAGATCAGTAAAGTACAGGCTCTCCGTACTGATATATCAGTGAATAAACTTTTAATCATCTCAGTAAACTTTATACGCAGTTTGACCCATTTTCTATTCGCATTTTCTATTCTATTGCTTTGTGTAAAGCCTACTCTCTGTAAGGAAATCCAAAAGAAAGTAAGTTGTCTGAATCTGGTACTGATCAGTTCTCCAATGGTCAGGCTAACTAGAGGTCAAGAAGGAAAAAGCACAGAGTAAACTCCTTGGATCCTTGCTCCCGCACGCTTATTCCCACAAACCATCACCTGTCTCAGACCCTGCAGGTGAGTCTCTCCATTTCGGAAGCCAACCTAAAAAGTATGTGTAAAATTTGGACAAGTTTGGAAGGTACTGTGAAGCACGTTTCATTCTCAATGAAAACAATGCAGTTTTTTTTAAGGAAGTCCCTGCATAAGATGTAGAAGCCCTTTGATACCCTTTGGATACAGCTGTTGGAGAAAGGTGTGGGATGTTATAGGGTTATAACAGGAATATTACAATGGCATTATGATGGGAAGTGCTTAACAGGTACTGTAAGTAAATAAAGGAGTTGTGAAGGCAGCAGTTTGTTCAATTAATGTTTATTTACTGTTAAATCAATACTTATTTATTGTTAAATTTCTAGTATTTTGAGTAGAAAAAATCCAAGCACACACTGATCTTTTTTGCAAGGTCTGTGCTACAGGTTCACAATAAAGTTTCTGAAAACAGAAACCAATGAGAAAGACAAAAGCCACTTTCTTTTACAAACAGAACAGTGGTACTTGCTGGTCTTGAAACCATACTGAGATGATGGAAAGAAGAAGAAAGCATGACAGTATGGTAAGGGACTGCTACGGTCTTTGCCTTGGATAGGATACAGTGGGTTTTAATAATTCAGATAAGGTTTGCACATGAGCATCAATGAAATCTTTGTATCTCATTACTGATAAACCTGTGGGTTTACAGAACCAATATTCAGAAATGTTTAAAAAAGTTTTATGCCATATTCCAAGCAATAGTTATCATCTTACACTTGCGATTCTAGGTGCTTGTGTTGATGGCTCTATGACTATTCACTGTTTAAACCAATGAGTAGTGCTTTTGCTTTTAATAACCAAATATTAAAAATGCTAAATCTGAACTATCCTTGGAACTATCTAAGTGAACATTATTGTTGTGGAGGGGGAGATTCAACATTGAAAGAAGTAACTTTTAAAATACGTATCTCAGTCTAAACGTCGATTACGTTACCTCTCAGTAATCTTTAACAGTTTTGAGATTTTAAGAAGAATTTTGCATTTTGGAAAGAATAATGCTTTCATGTCTAAGGTTTTCAACAAGGCTTTTTGAAACTCTTCATATATCAGAATGGTAAGAAATACATCTAGATTTAGGTTAGAAATCAGAAGCAAGTATGGATATGTTCAGGTTTCTGCTTTGAAAATCTTTACAGGTAAAGTTATAAAACTCATCAGAGAAGTAAACATCTACACTTTATTCATATAAATGGATATAAGAATATTTCATTTTAAACACTGCCAAGTTACTTGCAGTAACTCATTAAACTTAACAACAAATATTAATAATGTTGTTTTGTGAAGGCAACCAATATTGAAATCTGTCACCTATATCGTAGAAAAATCAGTGGAAAAAACATTTTTCTTGAGCTGTCCTTATACCCAGCACATGACTATGCACTTTGGTGTTAAGAGCTGTATTTGCCTATGAGTGAATCATGTAACATTCCTATCTCTAAGCAATACTGCTGCCTTGTATTCATGTCAGAGATGCCTCTAACCATGTTATCACAGATGATGCCTTCCTTCATTGAGTGCATACATGTATATGTCTTTATACCCTATATGTGCAAACATTGAAACAGGTATGATAAAGGTAGACAGTAAGCCAGAAACTGAAAAACTATCTCCCTCTTGTATGACATTTTGTAAAACAACCTAAACAAATTCAAAACCATATCCCGCACTTCATAATTTACAAAATAGCCGTAAATATACGCTATTAGTGCATACCTTTTTCGAGGGTTCAGGCTGATTCAGCATTTTTTCAGCATCTTCTAGCCAAGCTTGTAGACCTGCCACAGTGCTGCTATATCTGTCCCAATTAGCAATTACTTCTTCCAGCATGCTTCTTACACTTCTCACCTCAACTGACAGGTTCCTCCACTGTGCTGATGTTTCATTCATGAATTTCATCACATTCTCAACTTCTTCCACTGAGATATGGGAAAGACATTGATTATTTTGGTTTGTTAGTATTTCTGTAAAGCTTAATTTTATGTTATGTTTATCCATTCTCATCAGGGAATTATATTTTACTGCAACTTCTGTTTCAATAGGCTTTTATATACGTATGTTCTGTTCAAAACCCAATTTTAGTACAAAATTATGACTGAGAAATTAAACCTGTGAATTAAAGACTAAGGAAAGTAGATAAAAAGAATGCTTTATTAAAACAGTTGCACTGCATATTCAGCGTGGTGTTCATTTCTAGTCTATAATAAAAGAAATCAAGAGAGAGTTTCCTTAAAAAGGCAGAAAACAATATAGATGTATAATGTACAAATGCATAGTATGTCTGCACTGAAAAGTACTGAATGAAACTCTGATCTTTCTTCTGCTGGCTTTAAAACCAAACTGTGCTAATTTTTACCATTTAATTTTTCGTATTTTCCTCACAGCAATAAAGGAACAAGTGTTCCCTCATTCCAGAAGGAAAAAAAAAATACAAAGAAAAACAAGGACTCAAGATAATCCTGAGACTTCATAAAACATGCAGAATACAGGCAATTTAAAAAATATTTTTTAGCTAAGGTGTCCTCTAATTTGCACTACTGTTTCTGAATTCATGTAAGTGAGTAGCTGCCCTTTGGAAAAGAATTTGTCACTGGATTTTTTAATAGCACTGAATAAACCTATTCATTTTATTCTTTGTGAGAATCACTTGTAAAAAATGTTTACTTTTTGTAAAATTTGAGTGTCATCATCATCAACTTTCAAAACAAAAAAGACATCTATTTTCTCTCCACATCTGCTAACCACTTTAGCAGCTGCAGCAATCCTCCACAGACATCACTGTGTTATCTCCTCAGCAGAGATTAAAGTGATCTCATGTCTGTAACTATCTAGGTCAAATATTGCCCTCGTGCATTCTCACTGAACTCAGCAGTGTCCAGGAATTACAGGAGGCAGCTGTTGAATCAGCTACACATTTTTCTCATGTATATCCATACTTTAGCTATCACTTAGGTCCCTCTTATAGCTTCTCACAGTTAATGAAGAATCTTCAATAAATCAGAGGATACTGTTGCTACTATAACAACACTGGGACCAACTCTCTTTTTGTCCTTTTCTAGTAAATGAAGCCAAGCCAGGGAGCATTTCCAGGCAGTAGAACATGGTCTTCCCTACTCCCAGTTTGGTCTCTGGAGCACTTTTGTCCTAAACCAACAGCACTGAAACAATCCAGGAGTTAGCATGGACCATGGACTTCCTCCATTAAGAAGCCTGAACGTGCCCATCCTCTTAACAAATCTTAAGAACCATCCTCTTAAGAAATCTCAACAGCAGGAGCACAGGCTGCTCTGTACCAGCTGGCTTCATGCTAGAGAATAAGTGAAATTGCTACCAGAAGCTGCTGCCTTTCTAGTGAACTGCAGCTGCTGTACAGCTCTGCTGTGTGGAGGAAAAAAATATTAGGTGGTCTTTTTAGAGGATACTTATGTCTAAAGAGATTAAAATGGTGTGTCCACAGTGAAAGAAACATAGGCATTTACCTGAGCCATTTGCTTTGGCATACATTTCAGCTGCTCTTTTCAAGATCTGGTAAGTAACTTCATACTGCTCAAAGAACTTACTATTTTCAATAACAGACTGAAAAGAAAAAAAAAGTTACAACAGACAAAATAAAGATTGGTATTAAGAATAAGGATTATTTCCATTAAAAAAACATCAGGACAGTGATGACAAGTTTTAACTTCATTATTCCTCCATTCATTTTTTTTCACCATTATAAAATAACATTTAATTTATCATCATTATAAAATAATATATAAATTTCAACTTTTCAAATTAATGGTACAGCAGAGCCTCCCCTTAAAAAGAATTTCTTTTCTTTGCATATGGAAAGATTATTTAATATGTTCTTAGTCTGCTACTTGCTGACTTCCCAAAGCTCACTAGCATATGATACTTTAAATGTGCAGAAACTGAGCAATTAACTTAAAAGTTATTTAATGGAAAATGTTTTACACTGAAATCTAAGTGGAAAAATTTTAATAAAAAGAGAAAAAATTGTTGATATAGGTCACCACAAAAATCAAATCCAGTTAAACTTTAAAAATTGTTACTGTATTCAGCCTTTGCAGAAAGGCAGGTTTCACTTCAAGAGACGAAAAACATTAGACTTATCACTCAGTTTTCCTTTATCTCCTTTGCAATCGATAAAAATAAGATTAAGGAAACACCGCACAAAGTGATGCTGTTTTTCCAAAGTGTGACACAGGGTTTTCCCTTTGTGAGTGATGTTTTAGCTGTGTAATGTGTTATAGCATGATCAATAATTTATCTGGAAATATTTTGGTCATGAAGTTATGGCTCTTTATACCTCTATCCCTTTCGCAAATGACACTGACTTTCTTTTTTTACATGTCTTTCAGAAATGTTACTCCTTTTAAGTGTAATATATAATTATATCTCTATATTATGCAAGCATATTATATCTTGCATTGTCACTGTTAAAAAGGAGAGAAAAACCTACTTTTCTACAGAGCTTTTATATTGCCTTACCTAATGTACTTATCTAGAGTCTTGGAATAGTTTTGTAGCTTATACTACCTCCCATGCCTCCACAGTTACAGATGTACAAAATTAAGGCAAGTACATCTCACATATGTCTACACAAGCTTTGAAATGTCAGAATAGACAAAATTCTATGTGTACAAGTGAGATTTTGGTAAAACTAGGTTTCAAATCAGATCAAAGTTCAATGTATAAGAATTAGATTGTGTGCGTTTATCAACCCACAGTATTTAATGTGAAAAACAGTTTTAAAAATTAATCTGCCAGCCAGTATACATCTAAAAATCTAAAGCCTTTTACTGTTGCCATGTCAAATCACTACAGTTATCTAGTACGTAATTTAGAAATATGTTTATAACCAAGGAAACTAGAGGCAAGGACAATCAGAGTTTTTCTCTGCTCTACTGCAAAAAAAAAATATAATCTGGGATATATACAGAACTACATGCTTTCCATGAATTATGTGACAAACTCCTGACTTTCACTTCTGCCAAACCCATACACAGACATTTTACCTCAAACCAGAAACTGCAAGACTTCATATGAGAAAGTAAAAGACTCTGTCAAACTACTTATATAATACTGATCTTAAAAGCAATCGGAAATATTTTCAAAAATTAAATATAGACATTTTACTGGTTAATATCCCATCTAGCAAGATCCCTTAAAGAAAATACATAGCTTTTCCCATATCCGTACAGCATATGGTACTAAAGAAGTGCTAATAGAGCCATGCCAAAACACATTTCCGGGGTTAAAATCCATGGATAACTACACTCAGTATCTCCATTAAAGCTGAGACTTCAGTACAGTATATTCTTCAGGTTGATGGTGTACAATTTGCGCTGACCTTATGTTATATGACAGACAGGTGCAAAGAAGGTGGTATAAAGTAACAACCACCACTTTAACTTTTAAGCTACAGTACATAAATATTTTCCAGCCATATGTTCTATCCAGATCCTAATTACGCATGTTCCTAGAATGATGACATTGCTCAGACTGCTTTGGCAGAAAAACAAACCTACATTTTTATCTCCTACTAATATAGTCTCTGACTCTAAGTTACTGAGTACAGTTTTCCTACGTAAGAATCCTAATTAACTGGAAGAGTAGCACTTGGCTCTTGGTCCTAGAAAATTGCTCCCAGGTAAGCCAAAGCAAATAAAGTTTCTTTCCATTACTGGACACCTGGAAAGAGCCAGGTGTCAAGGGCATCAGGAATGAAACTGAGCTCTATTTATCTTCCTGTCCCAATTTCCTCATTTTTGATGTGATGAAGTTTCAAAAATGACACAAGGAAGTGTTGTCATTCCCCAAATGACCATTTTAGCATTAGTGGTCTGAAGCATAAGAGTAATTGAGGCAATTGCAAAATAACATACAAACTCACCACTTAATGTTCTTTTTAAAGCAGAAAATAAGATAGTGATAAAATAATAATCCAGAAGTCAAGCTGTCCACTTCCTCATTATTTCTCTTGTCACATTTTAGTAGTTTAGTAGTGACAGTCTTACAGAGTATACAAATGGACTGTAACTCCTTGATATTGCACATCACTCTTACAAACTGTTATTTGAAATAACCATATGAATTTTGCAAAGTTTGTCTAAAAACAAGGCTTAACTCCTGAATTTTTATGTGTCCCTGACTGCTCAGATTTAAACATAGAAAGGCAATGGTGTGAATAGGTCTTCAATTCCCACTTGGTAGAGGAAATTCCAAAGCAATAAAAACTATCAGGCAGTGGGGGCATGAATAACTTTATCTACACAGTGTCCTGGCTCTGAACGGTTCTATAACTGTATGAATTCTTTCCAAACTGAATTTTTCTGTGCAATTTTCCTCATATGGATTGGATAGAAAAGGGAAAAGGGATTTAGCCCAGCCCTCCTTTTGTAAGGATCCCTCACGCCCTAATATAGAAGCGCAGCAGCGGTACCGTTCTGCCAGCCACTTGGCACTGCAAGGGTGGAGTTAACGAGATACAGCAGCAGAAGACTCAAAGGGAACATATCAATGAGTGCTTGTAAGTCAATAGCTTCTGTTTCTTAACATGATAGACAGATGATGCAGAGCTGGAGCAAAACTCTTTCCAGAAAGGAAATAAAGTAATAGCTTTAATATACTAATGCTGAATAGGAGAAAAAAAAAAAAAAAAATTTTTTGTAAGAATAAAATTACTACCCTATCGCTAAAGTGTACTAAAAAAGTAGTTTCTTAACATGATAGACAGATGATGCAGAGCTGGAGCAAAACTCTTTCCAGAAAGGAAATAAAGTAATAGCTTTAATATACTAATGCTGAATAGGAGAAAAAAAAAAAAAAACATTCTTTGTAAGAATAAAATTACTACCCTATCGCTATAGTGTACTGAACAAGTATACAGAGGCAGCATAATTTTTTTTTTCCCCCTCCATTTCAAAGACTTTAAAAAATAAAAAGTACTGTGGGGGACTGCATGCCAAAAACCTTCTCTATCTTTATGCTTAATTTGTGTATAGTGACTATAAAGTGCATCTACACAGTTGTAAAAGATGACAAAATTAAGATATTTGGAATTGCTATCTAAGATAAGTAAAAATCTAGGATTTGGGACCTCCAGATATGCTTGATAAGTTGGTGGTCGGACAGGTAGCAGCTGGGACATTACTTCTGGTTTTGGTGCAAAGATAATCACTCTCATTTTTAGCCTTTTGACTAAAGTTCCTCCATGAGGAAGATGGATTCACCTTTGAAAGGATATTCCATAGGAATGGAGTGAAGTCATAAAGTTGATGACTGTCAAGTCTAATTTTATATTTATGTTCTTTTATTAATTTCCAGCAATCTTAAATATGAATACTTCAAAAATAATTATAAAAGGAAGACAACCCCAACTTACAATATAATTTTGAAGTAGTAGTTCCACAGACTCTCGCCTTCCATATTTGATAATCCACGATTTTAACTTTGATTCTGCAAGGACTAAGAGTGACAGTAGACGGTACTTCAGTTCCAGAAACTCCATCTTCAACAGATGGAGCTCAGATGAAGAGACAACAAAATTAAACCTATAAAATGAATCATAGAGTAGTAAAATACAGCCATATTCATTTTTGCAAAAAAAGACTAAAAGGTTCAGTTAAAGTTCAGGGTTTTTTTTTTAATATTTCACCTAATTCAGAGTCTATAAGCATTTAATTATGCATGATGAATAATAAATTAATTATATTTCTGTTTATTCATAGAAATAAGCAGTTTACATCTGTCACTAAGTTTTGCAAAGTCATTTTTCTTATCTTTTTTTCACATGCATCCAGGCTGTTCTTACATAACATTTCTTCCGGAGACAAGTAATAACAGGATCAATGTAAAAAAGTATTCCCTTCTAAAACCCATAGCTTATTTTGATTGTCATCAATCTTTAAAGTATCAGGTTTTTTAGTATATTTTTATGTATATTCTGGGAGGTTTTTCCTTTCATTTTTTTTCATGCTTGCCACAGAGAAACATAACTAGACAATGATTTCTACATTCACTGATAAAAAAGCAAACAGGTTCCCTTTAATTCACAGAGGATTTTCATTTCAGCATAAGTAGACAATGATTTCTACATTCCCTGATAAAAAAGCAAACAGGTTCCCTTTAATTCACAGAGGATTTTCATTTCAGATTAAAAGCCTTACCTTTCTGCCATATCCTCTAATTGATCAGGTGGAACAGGCACTCCGTTAACAGACCTGGCCCCGTGGATCTCATGGAATGCTTTTTTGTGACCATCTATGTTTTTCAGCAGATCCTGATTTAATTTTAAGAAAGAGAGAGATTGAGACAGGGAAGGAGGGGGGGAGGAGGGGTGAGAGAGACGGAGAGACAGAGAAGGCTCACAGTAGGCTATCTAACTAATAAGCACAATTTTAAGCCTGCACTGATGACTCAATGTAGTTAACTATTTGATCATGCTCTCACATTTGCATGCAAGGTTATGCATACCACAGAAGCATTTACACAGGGAACCTCCTTGTAAGATGCTCTGCTAAAGCTGTTTCTAACAATTATGGAAGACTTCAAAACAGAAGATACACTGCAAAAGCTTAACAAAACAAGAACTCTTTACTGCATTAAATAATCCCTGAAATGCAGTCTGCAAATACTCTAACATCACAACAGCATAATCTTGCTAAATTTACTCTTTACATCTCTATAACAGGTACTAGCCTTTATAAAGTATAAATTCGAATTTTCAGCAACTAATCTACTCCGCTATATATAGGCAGAAGATCCATAGCTCCTTATGTAAGTACACATTCAATATTCAGTGAACTTTCCACACTCCCAGCATCAAACGATTCCACATCACTCTCTCTCTATTACAAGAATGAACCCAGAATGTGGTACCCGACCTGTGTTCCTGTGGTAGGAATTGTACCCGCAAAAACCTTACAGCAGAGCACATTTCAACTGTAACTAAGCAACACCGCTTCAAACGGCTTCCTGGAGATTACATATTAAAATGAATGACTGGCAGTAGTCTTTGAAGAGATACCGTAACAATAACACATCAAGTCCCCAGCAGCTGAGAGGACACAGAACAGGGGGGATTTTACTGCATACCGACAGCTCCTGGCACAAACTGCTCAGAAGCCTATTAGCAAAAAAAAAAAATAAATCATACAAATGCCCCCCCTTTCTCACCTGGGGAAACAAAATGCAGGCTTGTGTATTGATCACAGATGTCTATTCCTGTGGGCTGAAGAAGAGTTTCTCCCCAGTGTCCCAGTGTTTGCACAGCAGAAATTAATGGTAATTCACTGGCTCACCTCACTCAAAAGATCCCACCATCCCCATCAATCCACCTATATTTTCATTGTTTTTCACTTCAACCAAACCCTAGTTCATTCCTCTTCACAACAAGGTTTTCTCAGATGCAAACGAAGCACTGATTTTACTACGGCAAAATCTCCACTGAGGGCAGGTATCCTGTGACTAACAAGCTCTCACTTAAAGGAAAGTTTTGGAACAAGTATCTCAGCTAGCTGTATTTGAGACCTTGCCAGACAAAATAGGATGCCCCTAACACACATTGGTAAGTCAAAACAAACCCCAGTGGTTTTATCCATCATCAGCTGGAAGCCCATGAAAACTTTGATACAGTGTTCTGACAAGTTCTGAAGAGAAAGATCTGGGGGTCCTGGTGGACAGCAGAATGACAATGAACAAGCAGTGTGCTCTTGTGGCCAGGAAGGCCAATGGAATCCTGGGCTGCATAGGGAAGAGCGTGGCCAGTAGGTCGAGGGAAGTCATTGTCCCCCTCTACTCTGCACTGGTGAGGCCACAACTGGAATACTGTGTCCAGTTCTGGGACCCCAGTTCAAGAGGGACAAGGAGCTACTGGAAAGAGTCCAAAGGGCAACGAAGATGATTCAAGGATTGGAGCATCTCTCTTATGAAGAAAGGCTGAGAGACCTGGGACTCTTTAGAGAAGAGAAGGCTGAGGGGAGACCTTATCAATGCCTATAAGTACCTAAAGGGTGGTTTGAAGGAGGAGGGAGCCAGACTACTTCACAGTGAGGGTGACAGAGCCCTGGAACAGGCTGCCCAGGGAGGTTGTGAAGTCCCCTTCTTTGGAGATTTTCAAAACCCGCCTGGATGCAGTCCTGAGTAACATGCTCTAGCACTAGGCAATCCTGCTTCAGCAGGGGAGTTGGACTAGATGAACTCTATGGTCCCTTCCAACACTAAAAATTCAGTGAAATTCAGTTCTCATAAAGTGAAATCCTGCGCTTCAAAGTGACTCTCAACAAGCACAGACGTTTTCCTTAATTTCTGGATCTTGGCAGTAATATTAATTAAAAAAAACTTCAGCACTTGCCCGACTCCATGAAGGTTTGTCTAAACAAACTGGTACGCATTGTATTAGCTTCAAAATGGCCATAAACTACAAAGTTCACTAAAATAACTCATTATCAGATGACACAAAGACATAGAGCAAGTGATTATATTATTTGAACAAAACCATAACAAACAAACCCCAACAATTTCCTAGGAAACAGGGACTGAAAACAAAAACAACGCTCTAATGCATTTCTGCTACTACCCAATAGCACATTAGGATTCATCAATGCAAATCTGAGTGACAAAAAAACCTCCAGTAACAGATATAATTACACATGTTTTTCTTTAAGCTTTCCTCGTCCCACTCCCATGGGAAAACTTCCCTGGCACAGACTAACCTAAATCAAAGTTTATTTGTTGGCATAGAAATCCCTCACCATAGCATTTCTGACGCAAAGAAAAGACAGTTTAGGACACACTCTTCTGTGTTTCTTATGAATATATCTAAAGAAGGCCTACAGTGTTCACATTAAAAGAAAAAAGTGTTTGACTTTGTTTAAACAATCTTATGAATCCTGGAACATTTGATGTTAATATGAAAGCTAATGAATTCTAGCATTACAAGACACTAGACTTGAAAGAAAGCAACGTCTTCCTCATGGATTTAATATTGTTTTGGTTAAATTTTATTAGCTACCACTTAAGTTAGAAGAGGAGCCACTGTTTTAAGAATGAGTAATCAGACGACCCAACTGATCTTTCAGATAAACCACCATTGTCTGCCACAGCTATTCCAAGATGACCACAAAACTCATCAGCTTCCACTATAAGGCATTATTTTTTAATAAAAACCCCCATCCATAACCAAACCACAAAATTAAAAAAACTACAATCAAGTTTTAAAACAGTAGCAATAGTAAAAAAAAACGAATATAAAATACAGTCCTACTTTTGCAAGTGCAGCCTTTTTCTACATCATGTTTTTTATTTCTCTATCATATTCACTAATTCAGTTTCTTTTATCCTCTCACTAACAATTTCTTTCTATATTTTTCTCATGTATATATATATATTACCTAAATGCACAATCCTCACAGTTTTGATTTGAAATGAAAACTTGGACTCAGCAGAGAATAATGGCAAAGGTATTTAAATTCATCTGGAAAAATTTCCTGTTTACCACAGCAGAGGGAACTTCTCGTGCTATTTGTCATCACAATACTATGAAAATTCACTTCATTCTAGTTTTTCCCCCCAGTGTATATCACCTGCACTGCCTACCAGCACACTTATGTTTGCTTTCTCTCTCCTGTTACACCTAATGAGTTCACATTGGCTGAAAAATGTACCCAACTTATGAACTCCCTATGGAATTTTACCCAACAGCAATACTAGAATAGAGGAAAAATTGAAAATTAATACCTGATATCTTTCAGACAAGAGAAGCAGGAACATGCAAAAGCAAATTTGAATACTGTAAGATACACAGATACCACAGTTTAAGTCATCCCTAAAAGACACCTAAGCTTTAGCTATCATCAAGAACGGAACCACCCACAGAAACTAGAAACAATCATCTTTCTTTGTAGAGTATGGGTCATTTACAGCTTTGGAAACAATGAAATATAATGCACAGAATGAATGCATGTAGATCTACCTTATGTTGTTCAAGCTTCCGGTGTATTGTATTGGCTGTTTCCTCATGAGCTTGCTGAACAGTCACTTCTTCTCTCAGAGCAGCCTCTGCTCTATAGAGCCAAGCACCTATGGTACCCAGAGGTGCGGGAAGAGACTTATCAAGGTGTCTGTGCCAATCAGCTAGCTAGGAAATAAAAGCAAGAGGATTGAAATTCCTTCCTTGCTTAATTATACAAACAAGTACCTTGAGAAAAATCAGGCTTTATACTGTAAGACCAAAATGCTATGTAACACCATATGTTTGAGACAAACCTAGGTATAGTACACATCAATTCTGAAATGAGAGGCAATTACAGGGCACAAAACCTCTATAAGGATTCATTGATTCATGTATTTCCCTTCCAGAATTTTAACTGAGTTACAGAACTGACCACGTATAAACTGGAACAACTGACATGCTGAAGAACTGGCATTTCATCAGTTAACAGGCACAGGAAGGCATGCGAGACCTTCTTTCTCCTGATGTAATTTATTTTACACTCTTTCATAAAATCTTTTTATCTCTATTTTGAACATATTTTCTATGTGTGAAGTGCAAATGAGTCTCAAAGGATTGTGGCATCAAGGCTATAGCTGTGAAATACTGTGTCATATTGGCAATCCCATTTACAAGAATGAAAATTATGTCAAAACTCCAGAATATTTTTTTAACAGGTCCTCTGTTAAATACATGAGATAAAACATTATTAAATCATTAATACTCACTGTATATTAATGGATTTTTTATTTGGGACAATAAGTAATTTGGGTTTTTTCATTTAATTACTACAAAATTACTATCACAAATTCTCATATTAATTTATTACTATTGCAAGCCAGCCAAAAATAGCATTAAGGCCTCATTTATTGATAAAGTACTAAGAATTACACAGAAACTTCTTTTAGTCATATTAAAAATGTTGTATTAGAATTTCTCAGATAACTAGCAATTTACATGAAAACATTGCATTTTGAAGGGGTATTGCATGTGCTTTTCTTTTTATCAACTTGGATAAGCAATGCTAATACACTTTTAATTAAAGGGAAGCCTCAAAGGATAGTCCTTTTCTTAAAGTTCATATTGTGGCTTTGACCAATAATAAAGTAAGTGTTCTCAGAATAAATGCAAAGTAATTCAACAGTGCTAGAAATTTGTTCCATTTCTAGGTTACTAATGCCTAATAAAAGCAATATCAAACAGGTGTCTAAATGCTTTTAAATCCTCATCCTTCATCTACTAAAAAATATATAGAATAATAATTTTCAACTTACCCTGGAAGAAACTCTGTCCCATGCTTGCTTCACCATAGCCTGATCAAGTGATAATTTACCATCTTTCCTTAATGACTGGGTTACAAGTTCAATCTGTTTCCTTTTTACATCATATTGCACTCTGAAATGCTTAAATGACTGCACAAAGAGAGAATCAAATCAATGTAGTACAGAGTCAAAGAATGAAATTCCTCAACTTTTATGGAGTACTACAATCTATGACAATTTTCTACTGATAGAAGTCCTAATCTTCCCAAAGAGTAGTAGCAGTAAACTTCCATATTTACACTGGAATGCATTTTATTAAAGGTTTTAATAAACTGTAGAATCCTCTGGGGAAATATAGATAGGACTTTTGAGTTTTCCTTCAGTGATCAAATACGTGAACCCTACATGAAAGGAAATAATAATTGATTAAGTAAACTACTAGCTGTTTTTAGAAAACTCCCAAGCTTCAGGAGAACGTTTAGGCCAAAATTTCTATTGCAAAATTACATATTAAGCTTTGGGAAATAAATAAAGCTCAAAGCCCTGTCCTCTCCACCTGTCACCTCATCCAGCCTTCAGTCATATCTCCCATCTGAGCACCATGCAGGATCTGGAAGGACTGTACAAACACATGCTCACTTCTAACTAGGACAGTCCTTCTTCACACTGCTAGAAAAAGCTCTGTGTTAGGCAAACCATCTGTGCACTGCTCTACGTAGCAAAGCTGGAGCTGACATTATCATTCCTCCACCAATAAAAGGCAAGACAATTTGTGTCCTTATTTCTTTAAACTACAATGTATTGACTTGCATATATACAGATTGCATAAAGTACCGCGGCACAGGTTATACATAATGATGATAAATAACTTCTTATACAAATTTTTCCCTGCTGCTTACCTGATATTTCTCCTGTAAGCTTGTTTCTGCCACCTGTGCTCGGGCTATGTCTCTTTCAAATTGTTCTGCCCACACTTTTAGGTCTCTCAGCATCAGTCTATCTTCCTTCTATGATTTAGTACAATCACACACACACAAAAAACATTTCAGCCCGTTAGTAGAAGTGTCAGGTATAGTCCAGAAATTAACATCTCTCTCATAAGTTAAGGTCATGAACATCTGGGCCAAATTCTCTCATCACTTATCTTCATACAGTCTAACAGAAAAGCACTTCCTTTCCATTAGAGAAGAACTCAACATTTAGATATGACTCTTATAGTGGTAAAATCATGACAATTTGGGACATTGCAGTGTCAGAGATGTTACTTGTAGTTCTCATCTGATGTTAAATTAACACAAATATTTTCAGAGTCAATTTTCAGTAAAAATTAATTGAGCTGACAAGAGTGGATTTTATCATCTTTTACCACCATTCTATTATCTGGTCTGCTATTGCTTAAAACAAAAGGTATTTTCTGAGTGACTTCAGGGCAATCCTTGACATCAAGCTCCAAGTTCAGAAGAGCCAAAATAATTTGATAGACAATGTTTAAACACAGAAAATTAAAATTAATAAAGAAAACCCGATTGTATTCATTATTTTTTTTTCCTTCCATGCCATTTTATGGCTTTCAAGAACAGCATATTTGTTTTGCAGTTTTCCTTTAACATTTCAGTTTGTCATGCCACTGGTGCTTGGCAAGGCTGCAAAGTTCTCTGCAGAATTCAGTGACCTGGCAGTGAACAGAAAAATACTAACAGGAAATCTCAGGTCTGTGAGCACGTTGTATGAGAGGGTTAGGAGACAACAGAAAAGGTTGGGGTTTTTTTTGTGTGCACTGTGTAAGCAGGCTAATCAAGCAGAATACAAGCGTCCACCTCGGATTTCCAACCAATGAACCATATCTGTTGGCTCTTAATCAGAAGCTGCTCTTTGAAACCAAAGAAGCCATATCACAGTAACATTTGTCAGAAACGGATCTATTACAGCGAACAAATGCAACACCACATCATATGAGTTAATCACCTAAAATGAGTAATTAAGTTTCAAGCATTACATGTGAGAAGAAAAACTGGACCATATGATGAAAAAAAAAAATAGCCTCTGACTGTATTTAAGCAACAACAGCCTTTTGAGAAAAGATCCTAACCTGGGAAAGGAGCCAATTGTGGTTCCTTTCTCTGAAAGCTGCCTCAAGTATGTAAAATTTAATTTCCCTGTAACCATTTTAAAAGTGTAGACCTTTTGCTTCATTTCAGCTGAGGAAAGGACAGGATCCTCGGATAGGAAAGAAACCCTACTTTGACGTATTTCTACTAACTCTTACTGATTCTCTACTCAAACCAATGGTAGTTGGCTGGACAGAATTTACACAATAGATTGTGCAAATATCACAGGTATTAGATCTGTTAAGTCACTAGGTAAATTCTCAGCTGGGTAGCTGCAGTGAGGTTAACATGATATTACAGCAGCTGTGCTGGAACAAAGTTCACTATAGCTCATGCCCCTGTCTTCTGACACTGGCCAAAAGCTGGTACCTGAGAAACAGTTCAGGACACCTATGACATTTCCCTGCTCCAGCTGCATGTAATGCTGGGGTTTCCTTGACTTCTCAAATAATTTAAATATAGAGAAATAAACTAAAATTTCTACTCTTCTAGTCTGACAGTTGGCTCTGTGTGTGGAAAAATCAAGATTCTTTGAGAAAAACAGAAAAGCCAGGACTATTCCCCTGTGAGTAGAAGAATATAAGAGAGAATTCTTAACTCATTTTATTTATTTATTCATACATTTTCACAGGTTTCCAGTTCAGTATAACACTTATCACCTGCAAACTTGGTTCTGTGGTCCTTTGCTGATACAAAAGCATTTTAAAGTCTCAGTTCAGGTAGCTGATGTAAAAGATTCACTTTCTTAGACACCAAGGCACCTGTCACCAACACCTCCATGTTTAATGAGCTATCATTCCTAAAACAAGACTATTATTACTGCTTAGTGGTTCTTACTCTTAGTAAAAGAGTCTCAAAAGTATATTCTTACAGACGTGCAAACTATTTTCTAAAGCCTGCACATCTGAAGTAGCATACAGATCAGAATGTAAACCATCAAAGAAAAGTTATCTAGGATAATAACTATTTGTGCTTCCTTCAGTATGAGGATCATTGATCTCTAATCCTCTTTATTTCAATTTATCTAAGCCACTATTTTCTGAAGACTACTTCCAAACAGCATTTTAAAGTGTTACTTTATCCTGACACCATTCTATGAATATTGACTGTTTTCCAGAGATGAACAGAACTGGAGCACTCAACTGCCAAAGAACATCAAAGAAAGTAATTAGAGAAAAGTGTATCAGTATCCAGTATGATAACCGAGTACAATTTAAATTTACATAGAAAGTTTTCAGCTCAGACCAAAGTCAAAACGTTATTTTATTAACTGATATGCCTGAGTTAATTTGAAAATTACATAATACAGAATACTTTGGTGTTTGAAGAGCTAAAAATACACATTTCTGTTTCATGAGAAACTTAATTATGGACTATAAAAAGAGTACTTAGTTGGGTTTTCTAATATGTAATTATACACCAGGTGAACTGTTCAAAATCTCAAGCATGGGCAGATTAAAATTTTCAAAGATGAGCTTTTTAATCTAAAAAAAAAAAGTTACCTCTCTTTCAGGTATGCTGAACAATTCTATTGCCTACATTCTGAGAAAATCAAGTCTCTTTACAAACGTTTATAAATGAATTCAATTAATTATGCTATTCCTTTTGAAATCTCTGGCTTATATATATGTGTGTCACTGGATGTATATGTGTGGGATGTTCACTGACAACAGTACCACAGATGCATGGTGAACAATGAGCCAAGCATCATCTTCAGGGATGAGCTATTAATGCCTCTCTGTAAAAGCAGACAGTAAATCCCTGGAAGAGCTCAGAAAGTTATTTTTGTAGTTATTGCTCAGGAAATTCCTCTTACATTGGGGAACTCTGCTGCCATAAAGATGTTGGAGGTGACAGGATTATCTTCTGAATTACTTGCTCATCAGAGCACAAAAAGAGAAAGACTTCATATCAGAAATACTTTGAAGTAAAGTGCTTCCTCTGTAGCTGAATTTATACCGAGATAAAGAAACTGACAGAGCTTTTACCACTTCAAATCTTCACTAGTTTGAGCAGCAATGCACTGGGGCCACATAAGGCTAAGAATGTACAAGGTCCCACTAGAGCTGGCCAAACTTACTTGAACGGATTAAGAAGATGGGAATAATTTCCACTATCAGTATTAATCTTCACTTCAACACATACCACTAGTTACATATATACAATATGAGATGAACCCTTGATAACATTTACTTGAAAATAACCTATTGCTTATATGTCAAAAAGAGCAAGCCCTCACACAAAAATGAGTGTGGCACCATAGTAATTAATTGGATCAGGTAAAACTATAAACACTATTGACTGACTGCAGTGACAACTGATACTTGTTTCACAATACATTCACTTCTGCAGTCTTCCTGTTTCAGCTCTGAATGTCCATTTCAAATACTCCATGTTAGATTTCTGAATTTCTCTCATTAATGCTAGACAATTATAAGTATCTAAATGTCCAAGATGATTCAAAAAGCATGTTTTAAAAACATCATTATTTATGTGAAAAGGAGCAGTGCATATCATGCAATTATACATGAATGCTCTCTCCTTCCAACAGACTGTCTACATACACCACTTACACAATCATATATACAATCTAGTATCTACTCTATAAACCTAACGACATACAGCAATATCCATCTAAAATGAGATTAGATGAGTAGAAACATCAATCTATAATCTATGTTTTTTGTGCTGATATCTACACTTAAGAAAATCAAAAGCATAGTTTGAGATTTATTATAGGAAAGTTTTGCTTTTCTATAATATTTCTGTGAAAGTATTTGCAAAATTAAGCATTAGGCTGTTAGGATCAGCTCACATAAGCAGATAGACTTAGACTCATTATGTTCATTGATTTGCTTTTTTGGAAAGATTAACATAAGGCTAGCAAGGCAATGTACCTTACCTTAAATTTCATAAAAGAAATGACAAAAGTTGGGATTGCTTCAAGTTCCTAGCAATATGAAACAAATGGGAAAAGAAGAAGAAGAAAAAAAAAAGAAGCAAACAAAATAAAGCAAAGCAGGCAGAAAGTCCAGAGAGAACAATAAAAGAGCCATATGTGTAAGAACACAAGATGTGCTTAAAATATTATAAAGTTTATGTATCTGTATCATATGTGGTGAAGTAGTTTTCATATAAGATCTGATTTCCAGATTACTAGTCACTACGTGATTTATTTTATCTGCAAAAATAGTTACTTACCTTAAAGTAACTGTGATTCTTTGAGATATGTCAACTACACAAGTTCATATATTAGATATTAGACCCCTAATATCTATATTATTAGATAATTATTATTAATTAGATATCAGTGCATATCCAAATAGCTGTTCCCTCTGACCACAAATAAAGGATAAGCTTCAATCATTGCTCCAATTTTAGTGAAAATTCCTTATAAATTGGGCATTGAATCAAGAAGGAAGATGAATAGGTTATTTGTGTGGACAACACATCTTAAGGAAACCTTTAGGTTCCTTCCAACTCCTACAATGCTGTGATTCTGTGAAACAGTCACAGCTGAGCTGGCTGGAGAGCAGGGGGGAAGGGTCAGAAATCCTTTCCACCCACCATCGAAAACCACCCAGACACACTCCACTCTCAAGTAGGATTCCTCTAACTGAACGTAGACATCTGCAACTGAGACAGATAGTCACTCTTTCAGTCCTTTTTGACAGATGGAAAAAAAACAGTTGCACCTAGCGTCTATTGCCCAACTCATCTCATCTACAGCAAGCACTTAACGTGGGTGAGATGGAATACACCCTAGAAGTATTTAATTCTGGAAAACAAGACATTAAAAGTGCCACATCAGTTTAAGGGATCAGAGTCTTGGTTATCTCTCCCAGGTACCTATATTCTACCATTTTCTGATACACATTTCCTTATACTAGACTTCAGGAAGACAGAAAGGCTAAGAATAAGGGCATTGTACCAGTCACAAAAACATAAAGCATGTTTGGATTTCTTCTCAATCAACTGCCAACAGCATTTTATCTATCATTACTTAAGGGAATGATTCATCTAAGGCAGTTTTAACTCTGTTGAAATGCCAGGCAAAACAAACTTCCAGAAAACAGTCTATTTTGGACACCATCTTAAGAAAGATACCATCTGGAAAAGCATCCATCTCTTCCTCATTACAGTACCTAGCTTTTGGATTCTTACAGATCGATGAACCCTGTCCTAAATAACTAAACTAACCAAATGAAAAACTCCTAAGAAAAGTTTTATGATGGACATGGATACTCCAGGTCAGTAAGGGGGAAGAAAGAGGCAATAGATACAGTTCTACCTTGCATTCCTAGCTATGGTGATCACATGGGCATCCAATTCTTTTACATGAATAGCACAAAAGGGCTATTTTAAAAGTAACGAATCTTACATGTTTGGTCTGATCTTGCCTATGTTTCTGTACCTAGAACAGAACTTGTGGACAACACTTCCTGAATAATAATAAATGAATTTTAAATCTAAATTGATTATAGGCATGCAAATATCTTACGTCTGATTCACTGCCAAGTGTGCACTGAAAGAAGTGCTCACTCCTTTACATTTTTTTCCAGTCAATTAATTTAGCAAGTTTAATATTAGAATAATCATAGGTGCAGAAAGGGGTTTAGAAAAGGCACTTAAATGGCTTGTATAGTCAAGAAAGTCAGTTTCCATACTATAATTCCAAGCAGTTATTCCATCAACAGAGATTTCCCATAAATTTGCAAAGTGATAAACTCATGAATGTTTCCATAATTACTAAAGAAAGTAGTTTTTGCTCTTATAAATAGAATCCACTTTTCATTTTTTTAAAGGAATGTAAATCACAATTGTTGTATGATGCCATTTGGAAAAGAGCATTCTGCTTGCATTGCAAAACCTCTACTGTTGCTGTTTCATTTAAAAAAATAATTAAATATTTAAAAGCATAGTTGATATATTATCTCAGAATTGCAAAGTCACAAAGTGATTGAGGTTGAAAGGGCCCTCTGGAGATCATCTAGTCCAAACCCCCAGCTCAAGCACGGACCTCTAGAGCCAGCTACCCAGGATCACATCTTTTGAATACCTCTAAGGATGGAGATGTCTCTCTGGGCAGCCCCCCTTCACCTGCTGGCAATACTATAAATTTGGATCTGCTGTTATGATAGCTCTACTTAACCTGTGATCTTTTGCCTAATTTCGAGCAACCCATACGCAATTAAGAATTTGGGCTAAAAGATGTGAAAGCACTCATTGAAAAAAAACTCTCACAAAATATTTATTAGAAAACATTTGATTGAGACTCTTTTTCAAATCTTCAAATTTCCAAATATCATATAAATATGGAATACAGTAGTTATATCTGTATATTTATAAACTGCATTGTTGGATTTTCAGCACTAGAATCTCTCCATAAGTATCATGTAATATGAATGACACTCTTATTTTGCCAAGGATTATCGGGATATCCTGTTTCCTTAGGTATCCTGTAGTCAACAGGATCAATTATATTAACTCCTGGCTTCCTTCCCCTCCCCTCCAGAACTGTGTAAATTAAGATCCTAACTTCTGTTGGAATTTTGATTTGAAGTCTGCCAAACCTATCATTATGATTTTCTTGTGAACAGATCAAATATCTTAAAAGGCAAGTTCTGAGTATGAGAAATCTGATTAGCTGTTGACAGATTCTCCCTGAAAAGTCATAAGTAAGGCAGCCGAGTGCAAAGCAAGCTTCTCTCTGTGATATATGACAGAAATACGGAAGTTTCCAGTAATGAAAGACCAAAGCGTGCTGAAAGTTTAGCCATTTGAGAACTTATATCTATCCAGTCCCAAGCAGATGAAAGCATTGTGCTGTTTTTTTCTCTGTATTTCACTGCATCAGGACCAGTGATTACTTGGGGTCTGGGACTTTTGCGCATTGCTTACTGACCTGGATCCATCCAGATCTCTTTCAAGCTATCACATGCCATGTGGTCACTATTTTGTACCATGACCAGAGGCGCAGGCACTGGAAGTTATGATGGACAGCACAAGGAAGCAAGGTATAGAGTGCCTGATGAATAATTTCTCCAGAGATGGATTAGCAGAATTTGTGTCAGAAAAAACTGAGGGCCCCATCGCTATTTTTGACAGGAAAATCCACTGGAGAAGTGGAGCTTGTCTCAAACTGCCACTCCATTAAGGGTGCGAGAGGGAATATATTTCTTCCTCAGGGAAATGAAGAATGATGACATTAGAAATTTAGTGCAACGTCAAACTCTTACTTTCTTCTTAACGACCGGGAGTTACTGATTTTCTGCACTGTGACACTCAGGGGACCAGTGGTTCTACCAAAATTCACCTGGATTGCTACTGGAATATCTCAGTGATATCTAGGAAGAGGAAGTGGCCTGTCAAACTGATGAATTTGTGTTGTTTCACTTCCTAGTAATTAATTAGGAACTCTGAAGGCAACTTATTAGTTTCCCTTTCACAGCTCATGTGCTATCAGCTCTGTGAGTATAGCCAGAGGCAGGCAGAGCATGGAGTGTCTGACTCCTGAGTTCTCCTGTATCTTCTCTGCATAAAGCTGGGGAGAAGGTGGTGAGGTTGTTCCTCAAAATCCAACCCCAGCACAGGCAGCAGACCTGGCCAAGGCTGTTGGCAGCAGAAACTGCATCATGTGCCATGGTATGGGGACAACGGGCCTGCCTTTGCCCGGCACAGGCCACAGCATGAGGCTTCAGCAGCCCCATTGCTCAGTGGCATTGGCACACTCGTGTCCTCAGACAAATGTTGCAGCAAGGAAAACAAAAAAATTCCAGTGCTGAGGCATTGGAATCAGACAGAAAAGCTACAGCTGCCTTAGCCACACATAGCCATAAGGAAGAAGATTCCTTGCATTCTCTACAGAGCTATAAAAGAGCTTTGAGAGGAGTGAAATACAAATAAAAAGGGCTTCCACCTCCTTTCTTCCTGGAGCTGAGCAGATTGTCTCAGCAGTGTTTCCTGTGTTTGCCATGAAGAAAGCAAATGATCAAGATTAGGAAGTGAGTCATGATCACTTGGCATCACTGAGTATAGCCATTCGAGTGCAAAGCCAATGCACTAGAGCATACATGAAACAAATAAAAAAAAAAAAAACACCACCAAGAAAAAGCATCACTGAAAACAATTCCTTTGGGCAAATAGTCAAACAGCATTGTGCAACAGAAAGAAACCTCTGTCTAAATTGTAGCTGCCACCTGAGCCTAAAAGCCCAAAGACCATACCTAAGCAATCTCTTGGACTACTCTTGTTCTTATCCAGAAACACAGTGTGCTAGAAACAGAAGTGACGCATTGCTCCAGGTAACAAATTATTGCAATGTCAATGGTGTTATGCTTGAAAACCTCTTGGGGAACTTCAGGATCTATTGGTTTGCTTCTACCTACAATAACTGTTCATGTTTTTTTTGGCTCCTGCTGCTGAAAACAGGAAAATCTCTGCAGGATCACCATTCTATTTTCTTCATTTACTAGTAAACATCTGAAACACTGATTCATTTACTCTTAGATAACCTTTCCTAATTTTCTTATTGTGCTTGCTTTTCACTTGAAGTGCTCATCAAAAGGAAACATAATAAACTATGAGAGCTATTAAATGTATTTATAAAGCTCCCCTCATGATAAACTGATTTGTACAGTAACGCGAGAAAAACTTACGTCATTCTCCTGCACATCAGTCACTGTATGATGAGGATCAGGATAGTACTTCAAAAACTGGGCTACATAGGTCATGACAGACTTTTCATCTGGCTTGTCAACATCCACATCTAGACAAGTATAGAACATGGGAAATTAATTTTTAACTGAATAGCACAAAATGCTCCTTAAATGTCTAAACACTATGAATTACTACATCTGATTGAACCCATGCAAGTAGCACAAACTTTTTTCAACTACGCATTAGGTACCTTCTGGATCAAGAAGCCTTGGAATTCCTAGTTCTGCTTCTGCGATTGTGAAGGCTTCTTCCAGGTTTTCTCTATTTGATCTTCCTCTCACTTTGTCCATGTCCACTAAATCTGGGCGGATAGCATGAATAACGGAATGAAATGCAACACCACTCCTCCAACTTTGTCCAAAATCTTTGATTTCAATTCCAACTTGCCTAAAGAATATGAGAAGAAAAAAAAAAAGTGGCTTTTGACAACATCAGGGCTAAGTGAAATAGGGGAGGAGACAGGATGCTCCACACAGTGGCTACCCATCATTGAACCTAGGCCATCTTTTGTTCCTGCAGTCTTAATAAGGTTGACTACAGCTCCATCCACTCACTGCACAAACTCATTTCTGCCTATGAAGATCCAAGAGTTTTTTTGTTGTTGTATACATGCTGTATTTGTCTCCAGTGACAATAAGTCAATGGTATTTTGAAAAAATGAAGTGCCCCAAGGCTCTCAAGGTTCTTGTACGACACACATAAAGGCTGTGGATGCACGCAGCTCCATTCACTATTCTTTCCCTCAGTATAATGTGCTTCACATCTCCCTCCATTATAACTACTGCAGTCAGTTAAGTACCTCAGTGTCATATGAAAAAAAACCCAAGACTGCATTAATCTGTTATCATTTACAATGAAAGCATGAGCAGTGACATCACTGCTGTTCAGGTGAAAATGTAACATCCTAGTTTCTTTATGTTCTTACCAAAAGCACGAGTGATATTATAATTTTATACACCCAAAACTCTCACATGTCCACTAAACACTAGTGTCCAATAAACACTAATGATCAAGAAATAACAATACACAATGAGAAAGTAGTCAGAACTGAATCACACTTCTGACTGCTTCTTCTAAAAGTAATTCTGAAAGGTACGGTGGTCCTGGTTTTTTTTAGTTTTTTCACTTTGAGCATCCAGACTTCCTTTGAGGACACACAGACACTGATGTAGTGTTGCCATTGGGTGGTCCACAGTAACAGCAACTGAATGAAAGCTTCATTCAAAGCTCACTGTGATCAGTGAAACAGTTTCACTGACTTTAATGAGCTAGCCCTTGCAAATTACAATGTGAAGCAAGGCTAGGCAAAGTGTACCATCCTTCTTCTAGGCTTCTTTCAATAAATTTCACTACTCTTCCCAATGACGTTAACAGTTTCGTTTATGAACTCTATTTATCTATGAACAGTTTCATTTATGTTTGTATTTTTCTTGTTTACATGTGTGGAAATTGCAGCTTATCACTTCCAGTTGCCCGTCTCCTACTGACAACACTGCAATAGGAAGAATGCCAAATTAGACTGTACTTCACTATAAATTACTGCGTTTACAGTAATTGGACAAAGTCTGTATCTTTAAAATTGCATTTCTTTTCTTTCAGGCACCATTCCATAACTGGCCATTTCACCTCCACATTTTGCACGTGACTGATCTCTTCAAATAGTAGCGATTCCATAATTTGAACAAATAAACCCATTTTGTTCTTTTACATCTTTGATGTTTATTTTCTTACTGTGGAAGCCATCAAACTCCTACTATATCTTCGATGTAATTTATGCTTTTTTCTTAATACCTTTTTTGGAAGCAGAGCAAAAGTGGAATAATTATACCAAATAAAGGATAAAATTCTTAAGTTAATAAGAGATGGCAAGAAATAACTACAAAAGAACATGGATTAAAAAGAATGAATATTCACGGCATTTTTGTATTTTTGTCCCTGCATCACAAAACTGCAGAAGGATATTAATAATTTTTCATCACCTGCCTTTCAGCAGCAAGTGCCAGAATTTAGTGCTTCGACAAGCACTGTCACTGAAGAATGCTAAGTCAGTGTGGGACTTACATTGTCACATCAAGCATTTTGGCAGCAGGACTAATACATTGTCATTCAGACACCTAATTGCCCTTTCAGTTCCTCATTCTGTCAAAGATAATCCCATTCATTATTCAGAAACTAGAAAATATGATTGCTTGTAAAATTAATGCAAATTGTTATTTATTATTTGCTTGTTGTACGGTGGCAACAATTAGCTGCCTCAGTTGTCAAAAGGAATATAATTGTGGGGAGGTGCTACAGAAACACAGAGCAAAAGGACAATCCCTAACCAAGAGTGTTTAGAATCTGAAGAAAAAGGTTGCATTTAGATATGAACTCAGTTTCTTTTTAGGTTACTTACTTCGCTGCTGTGTACTGTATCCATTTTAACAAAGCCTTCCTGGCGCTTCCTTGGACCTTGGTTACCACCTTCCGTTTGCTCGGGGGACTCGCAGTCTCTGAGCTGACAACACTCTCCACAGAAGAAGCGCTGCTAGACATCGGCTGCAGCTGTGGGAGGTTGCTGGTAAGCTCTTCAATCTGTGGGGAAAAAATGGATTGTTTGTAGATAATCTTCTTAACTCTCACCAGTTTCTTAAATAGCTTCCTAACACATCTGAAGAAATAAAGCTGGGCAGAAGCTATGATTAACATGCTGCGTTTTATTTAACAGTACACTAAAGTAGCTTCAAAAATACTAACGTATATACACAGAAAATGGTCTTAATTTCAGAAGTAGAGAAGATCTAGCAATCACTGACTTTCTTGATGCCCTACAGCTTGAACAAGTACACAGAAAATGGTCTCTACTTCTCAGAAGTAGAGAAGATCTAGCAATCATTGACTTTCTTGATGCCCTACAGCTTGAACAATATGCAAGTGTGTCATGTTATCTAGTATGAAAAATTACCATTTAAATAGGAGACAATGGCTTACATTTAGCTTGAATTCAAATTATAAAACGCTCCACTAATTTCAGAGGAGGCTCACTTAATTAAAGAATGGAAGTGTCCTCAATGATATCATCTGGATAGTTCTTTATTTACCATTGTACTGTTTTGGCACAAATTCGATTGTGGCTTTGCTTAGAGGCACCTTGTGAAGGAATAGTGAATGTATTGCTGGCAAAGAGCATTAGTAGCGCTTGCCAAGGCTGTACGACAGTTATTTGCACCATGACTTTCATTAACTTGACTCTTTTAAGAACATCAAGTTGACTAACAATCTGGTTTTTTAACATGCAAAAGGTAATATCCAGAGGACATTGCGAGATTCTCTATGCTGTCTACTTAAAGAACAAAGTCACATCGCAGAAGGAGTCTGCAACAAAGAGAACCGTGCATTTCTGCTTTCATTCATGTTAAAATGATGTCTCTGATTGTGACAACTGAAGGAAAGCTCAAAAGATGACCCAAGTAAAACTGAAGCAGAGAACTAGAGTTTCAGTAACTCTGAGAAGCATAATTTTCACCATTCATCTCAATGACCTATAAATTAAAATTATATTAATATAATTCTGGGTAACTTTTTTTCTGAGAAGGAGATCTGAACCACTGAGGCATCGCACTGGTTGGTGCTTAGGAGAACACCACATCTGAACCATAAAGAAGAGCAACAGTCAGTTGGTTTTTTTAATTTTTGAGCAGTGACTCATTTTTTTAACTCATATGGACAGGATTTTTCCCTCCCACCTAACTTCAGCAGAATGCAAATGATTTCTCCTTTTCAAATTCAAACCCCCTCCATCTACACCATTCACAACTAAATTTTTTCCTTGCAAATATCTGCATTTCCTAGAGAAAACAGCATGTTCACACGTATTGTCTGAAAATAATTACCGTCTGACACCATATACACTGGAATTAGACATACAGCACAATCATCACTGAGGTTGCTAAAGGTACTTGTGCAAAGAATCCACAATTCTATTCTTTTCTTTTGATTCTCTATTGTATTCTTCATAAAAAGTGGAATAATATGTTCCAGTGATGAAGGATAAGCCCAGACCAATCCAAACCCAAGTATTTAATTTTACCAAACGCGAAGTGTTCCTACCAACTGTTGCTTTACTGAGGATCAGATTCTCAGTTAACTGTTAAGTAACTTAGCACTACACCAGTTCATATGAAATGATGATCTGAACCATTACTTGAGCAAGCTACACTGAAATATAAAAAGTGTAGTACCTGAAAATATAAAATTATGGTCCACACCAAGCCAAGCACGATAGAAGGCCTGCCATCAGCAATATCAGTTGAGTTTATGTTGACAAGCTTAATCTATATAGGAAAGAAAACACGTGTTACTCCCACACACAAGGAACGATAACAATTATGAAAAGCATTTCAAGTAGATTTTATATTTTAAATGCATTTCTGCAATCAAACAACAAATTTCCTAATTAAAAAAAACATTGAATGGTGCATTTTCACCTTTCAGACAAGTATATCTATAGGCAATGAAAAATTTTTAAGACTATTGCATGATATTATTCATAGAAAAAAAAAATTAATTTCAAGTAGAAAAAACAATAAAAATTATATAGAACCATTGTACAAACCGGAGATCCTCTGTATACGGACTAGCATGAAAAGCAAAGGGAAAAAGATGATATAAAAATAAGTTTTAAATTATTAACTATCAGGTAAATGCATTAATTTACTTTTATAATGCAAAGAAAGTACATTTTTGCACATCTTACAACTCAATAAGGAAAAATAATTAAATTATCCGTAACAGATTTTAAATCATGCAGGAGTTTCTTGCTATAATTCTAACAGATTTGCAATGGAAGGGTAAAAATGAGTTTAAGAATAAATAAGAAAAGGAAAAGTATGGGTAAGAAAACATAAAATAAAGATAAGGGAAAAAAAGAATGCCACAGTTTTCCAGTAGAGACCCTTTTTTTGGCAAGGATATTACCATCACTGATTAAAGCTCCTTTGCAAGACAAACCTGATTATAGATATGTTTAAACAAAAGACTAGGAAAAAATGAGTTGTCCAAGGTGACATGCAGTTTATCAATAGAAACAGGAAGAGATTCCATGACACTCAACTCCAAATGCTTATCTATAGTCTGATATCACCCTAAAATAAGTTCATAAGATAAAAGGCAGTAAAGGAGGGGATAAAGAGTATATCAAAAATAAATTAACAGGTAGATAACACTCAAGGAAATGGAACAAACCAGGCAGTATTGGAAAATTAGGAAATATATTAATACTTCTTTTCTCAGCAAAACTAGAAGTCTGCTATAAATCATGATCTAAGTATGAAGAGCTGCTAAATTGCTTGTGTACTGCAAGCAGGTTCACAGACAAAGGTCAAAGAAAAGCAGGAAAATTACTTTAGGTGACCTCATTTGTCTCCCCAAAACAGAAATAGTACAAGACTGTAGTTCCCTGAAGCAGCAGCCGGAAAGCCACTAGATAAAGTCAAGAGCAAACAAAATATTGTTGTTCAGGGCTGTGAAGCTTTTTACAAAATTAAAACTCCACAGGCTTCTTGGGAAGAGTTGGAGGAGAAATCCCCACAAGTTTATTTATAATCATCTCCAAGAAACCTGACAACATTCTGCAAAAATTGACATTGCTTGCCTCTCTACCAGTCAATAAGGAAAATTTTCTATTACATACCTGAAGAAAATTATAACAAGAATCTCATTCTCTCTTTTTTTAGAAAGTGAGTTTTTTCTTATATGCATTACAGATCAAAAGATTTACAAGGACTCAGCTAAAGCTTCTGATTAGGCTACTGTTCATAGAAGCATAGTCTATCTAGTCTAGTTATTGTGTTACCTTTGTCTTATACTCCATTAAAAAGACTCTAAAACCACAAAATAAACTTTTCAGAACCATGAAATAAACAGGTTGTGCCCGATATCTGTTAATCTGTTGCAGAAGTCTGTTTGGACAGTGAAAATAGGAAGCTGATTAATGCCTGTAATAACCTTTACTTATGGGAGAGCCCATGGAGGAAGAAGATCCAGTTGGCACTCCCCAAAGCACAGCCACCCATCCCTTCCTTCGCCTTTGAGTGCAGACCAGGGACTGCACTCACCTGCTGAGGAGGCATTTCTGGTCTCAACAGCATCCCTGCCCCCTCGGGGAGGAAAAGGGTGACAGGCTGGATAGATAAATCCTTCAGGCTGGATTCAGGCTGGAGACCACCTGCTAATGCACACCGACCGATCTACCTGACACACTGCATATTTCCAACTCCCTCTAGAGGAAAATCTGGTATATTGGCACAAAGTACATACACAAATAACTAAGCCCAGATAAAAATATTCAGACATCATATGCAAAAATACAGTGCTCTATTTCTGGGGTTCCATCTTAATCCTCGGCTGTGTCAGTTATTCAGCTGCACCACTGTATTATTTCTGGGATCTCAGCTGGGTCATTCAAAGCTGTCAGCACTGCATTGGACATTAAACTAGGGAAGCATTGCTTTTAGTCACCACCCCAGCCTTGTCTTGGGTTATACAGGTCTCACCAGAAAGCTCTCTCCATATCTAAGCTTCCACTTGCAGGCTCCATATGATATGGTTTGTATTAACAATCTGTACTACGTAAACTAGTGAAATTGTGAGCTAAAGATGGAATTTGCTGTGGGAATATATTTGTCTTTACTTTTGATATACATTTTTCAGTTTAAAAAAATTCTCTTATAGGTTTCTTTCTATAGGCACCTGCTCAGATTGTTTCCCCTGTAACAGAAATATAATTAAGTGAAGATGCCACAGGGTTAAAGAGAGGCAAAGAATGCCAAAACCCAACTCCTGCCGTACAGTACTGTAGACATGAAATTCATCAGGTGTTACACCCGCATTGATAAAAATGTATCTGAAATGCAGAAATTAGAAGAACAAAATATGTTCAGTCTAAGAAAAAAACCCCAGATACAAGTCATTACAATACAGACAGAGAAAAGTCAGGAAAAAGGGTAGAAGTAGATTGCTTTTATTTTATATTCATACATAGATCACATCGAGCTTTTAGGTTTTCTGTCTTTTGTTAAATTTATAAAATATTTTGTTTAATTTCTAATATGGCCCCAGCACTGATATTACCAGAACCAATCCAGGAATAAGACTGAAGTCCTGCCAGTCTAATAAGGGGTCACGCTGTTCTAAACTTTCATATATGTACTTTTAGGGAGTAGAGTTTTGCATGTACAACTTAGTGAAGTCTATAAATCTATATTCTTTTAATTATAAATGAATGCCTGCATTGAGCTGAAGATCATTGTTCTTTGCTGAGAACAGCAACAGGAAAGTAGGGAACATGAGGAGGTGAAGAATACATTAAAACAGAAAAAGGAACAAGATCATTCAAGGTGATTCTAAATAATAATAATAATAAAAAACCCAGAAGTTTTACCCTATACATTACTGAAGACTGCATACATAGCTCAAATTTTGGAGAATAAGAGCAGGTAATTGGATACAAATCATATATTTAAGGAGATAAAGAAAATAAGAAGGAAAAAAAAAATCCAGGAAAACCTGGACTAAGTGCTACCAAACCTACCCGTCTTCCTTCTAGAAACTTAAGAGCTGTGCCAATGTTGGCAACCCAGTGAATTCTCTTCAGATGACGTCCTTGCTCACAAGGCTTAAAGAGAAAGAACAGTGTACATAAACTCCAATTAGATTTATAACAATTTGCTGCAAAAAATGAAGTTCCAGATCATTACAGATGCCTATGTACCTACCATAGTCTGACTTACACATAAAAATGTTCCTTGGAACAGCTGAATTATACCTTTGCATATACCAAAAGGGAGGACTGACAGATATAGGGGACATAAATGTGATACTTCTATTATTAAAAAGTTATATATGTCTTAATAGCCTCAGGATGCAAGCTGTCAGCTTCAAACCATAAACTTCATCAGAGAACTGGTTTTCTTATCTAAAATAAACTACTACTATTTTTATACACACATAGATATATATTTATTTGAGAGAAAGTAACATTCTCTCAGTAAAATATTTTTGCCTGCAAAGGAGAAGCCAAGGTGGTTGCTATTTTTAAAAATCTGTCTGCAGTGGAGACATTCTACCTAGAGGATTTTTATCCATTCTCTCTCATTCTTCATTAGTGACTGAAAAAGCCAACTGTCACAAACCCTCACTGAACAATGAATTTTGCTGAACTTCAGACATGTAGGCTAAAAAGGACAGAATTCTTTGAATTAAATCAAGAACACGTCTTAGGTTTCTAATACTCTACAGTGGAATTAAATTCCCTACTGAATCTTACATTGAAATGCAAATATACAACTACTATCATTTAAATTTGTCTTCATAAAGTTAAAAATGGATTTAACAAAGGCTTGGTATAGATTCTGAAATTCCTCTTGCATTTGCGAAAGAATATCATATTCTGCTATATATGATCTCTAAATTAACCAGACATTATTCTGATTCTGTTCTTTCATTAATTAATGTAGGCAGGATAAATTTCATTGTAACAGGTGCCATCATTAAAATTCTTTTCCTTACTTCTTCTGTTTTGCCACAAGAGGGAGACTTTCTGTCTCGGAAGAACAGAAACCGGTATGTTTCAACAGAGCAGAAACACACTTGAAAGCATAGCTTTTTTCCCCGTTTTGTAGTAAAATCACTCTTCCAGTCTGAATTACTACCTAATCTTAGGTATCACCTGCAATCAAAACGGACATAAAGTACGAAAAAGGGGCAAAAGTGTGGCACTTCCAAATTGCCTGCATGTGAGGAAACCGGTACTGCCTGAACCCTAGAGCAAGCCAAATGATGGACTCTTGCTCTACTATTTCAGATGCTGCCAGCAGATCTCTGAGCTGGTCTGGAAAAAGTCAGAGCCCTTGGACTAAAACCCTTTTGGTTTTCTCCTGTATCATATTGCCAAAACTAGCCTGGCACCCAAGAGACAGTTTATTTGCCCTGTATGCACCATGGCCTCTGTACACACCCTGGCTGTGAAAAGCCCTTTTGGCATCAGGTAAGGTTCTTTACAGTAGCAGAGCAGTTGTCAAAGTAAATGGATATAAAATCCCCATGAAATTTGAGAGGCTCACCTATTTATTTTTTTTTCTAGAGAGAAAGATGCAAATTTAACAGGAAAAACACTATCATTTCTTCAAGATGTATAGAAACACCTTGCAGTTTAGACCTTGTTGTGTCATAGTAGTAACAAAGATGAACCACAAAGATTAATAAAAATGAGCAATTTTTATGAACTAATAAGAAAAAAATTAATAGAAAACATAAAATCAAGGACATTATCTGTAATCATCTTTTGGGGGGGTTCTACCCAGATAGCCCACTCTATGAATAAACTTATTTTGCTACGTAAGAGTCAGTTTATTACAGTATTCAAATACAGAAACATATTAGAAAACCACATGCTAGAGAAGTTATGCAACTATCAAGTATATTCAGAAGGAAGGAAGTTCTTACCAGCTTCTGCCCTGAAAGAACCTCCAAAAGGGCAATTAGCATTACCCCATCTTTGATATCTTCAAACAGATCATTCACCAGAATGGGAGGATTGCGCTGAAAGGGAGAAGAGTTCAGATGTTATAATGGCCCACCGACGGTACATCCTATCTCCTTTCTGTTCAAATAGAAGCAAAAAGAGTGGCTGGTCCCCTTCTTTACATTTTATAGTGTCAATGTTTCATTTAACCATTGTTAAATGGTTAAATTTAACCAATATATATCAATGTTTCATTTAACCATTGCTTTGTCACTATATTGTTTATCTATTTCTAGTGTAGGACTGTAACACTAGATGCTTTCCACATACAATGGAAAAAAACCCTGCTCCCTAAACCAACAACTGCTTGTGAGCCTATAAGTCACAAACAACTTACAGATGTACTATTGTAGTCGCATTTCAACCTACCAGCATATTGTGCCTAGTGCTACGTATGTCGCAGAAATTCCACTCTCAGTCCAGGCAAAACAAGGAGCTGTATGAATGGAAGATCCCTAAAGCAGAGTGGCTGATGGAGCAACGCTGCTGCTCTCTCACAGCTGACAGTTGTTACACTAAATTGTTATATTTTCTCTCCTCTCCCCCAGGCCTTGCAGGCTTCTAGTGCTGTTAGCACCGTGTCAGCTTCTACTTAAGGCAAATTGCTTAGCATATGTCTTTACATTCACAAATGCAACAGCAATAATCCTGAAAAATATGTAAACAGATGATGTTTTAGGAATTTTGAATAACAAGGTCACACCATGAAACTCTGTCTTCTTAAATACATCCCAGCTTGTGGAACTGTAGCTCTCAGCTGGTCAGTAGTACTTCAACGATCACAAAACCTCTCAGAAACAAGTTTAAACTTGGTTCAGCTGAAATAAATTAAATAAACACCCTCAAGGTTTCATGAGCTTGTCAGCATTCATATAACTGCTAATTAACATAATACTAATATTCATACCTGTTAATACACTGAAAGGACAATTCTTGAAATGGGCTCAAGTCTAATAATTTACTTTTGGGGTACTTCTGAAAAAAAGATGCTTGTACAACAACTTGATCTATTATTTTTGTTCTGTAGAAACACAGATATGAAACGATGAACCTAACAAATAAAACACTGCTCTTGAAAAGGCAAAAATGCTATGACACATCAGGAGAAAGCAAAGGTTTCTAGTTCCCAAAATCAAAACATGTTGCCTTCGTTATTCAGCTTGGATGACTGGTATTTCAATGAGACATAATTTTGGCATAAAGTAGAAAAAATAACTCCTCTACTGAAGTAGACTTCATCTGAGATTTGACGTGCTCTAATAGCCACAATAATAGAGTCTATTTTTTCATGTATATAAAATAAGCAGTACTACAACTAATTATAAGGTTATATTTAATCACAGATTTTTTCTTTATTTCCTAGCAATCGAATAGATAATGGATCTTGTTCTTCCTTAATATAACACCAAAGAAATCAATGGACCAAAGAGGTCACCAGAGATTAATTTGTCCCAGTCTTGCATCACAGGCAGTTGACATAAATGCAATTAATTTTCCTCACCTTCTGTATTGAATTTTGGAGCAGCTTTGGTTTTATCTGCATTACCACATGATAGAATACAAAAAAATTTTGTGCTAAAATAATTCAGCAATAAAGACAAGAGGATTACAGCAGCTGACATCCTAATCCAACAGGAGGTGAAGGCCTCAAAAATCTCACCACCTATCTAAATGCCCCAGAGTAGTGAGGTTTGTCTCTTGAAGCTCACTCTACAGTAATGAAGAGAGACAGGTTCTTATAGAGGGCAATTTAGGATACGTTTAGATTGAAGGTTAAGTGAGATTTACAGTGCCCCATAACCCTGGTGCCTGTAACTTGCCTGTTAGATGACCTATTTGAGCACAACACAGCTCCATTCAAACTTGAGCAGTTTGGTGTCCTTACTCTCAAATCAGTGTACAGGTCAGGATTTGCCTCATGCCAACACGAAGTCAAAAGTCATCTGGAATTCATACACAAACCAAATCTGGGAGCATAGCTTCACACTGTAGATATAACCTCTGAACGCCCATGTCAAGTTCTTGCTCTGAATCACAACCTTCACTGGTGGCTCCTCACTGACAGTAATCACAAAACCGAGAGTTGCATCCTAATTGAGCTGTAGTAGTAAGGTAAGGTCCTGAAGTATCCCTGAAGACATCATCCAAGTAAATTAACACTTACAGTACTTTGCGTTTGACATGAATCAAATATTGGTTTGGGAAAAACTAGGTGAAGTATGAGAAAATATTGCAGAGGCAGCAAAGAAACTGACAAATTACTTTCACCAAGGCTAATAACACGGGCTGCTGTGAGGTGTGAGACCCACAACAATTGCCCATAAATCAGCAGGCTGAAATGCACTTTTTGTTGCTGGAAGGTTGCATATTTACAAACCCTGCAGTTTTAGGTACACACCATGTACCTTAATGCCAATAAAACAGGAACAGAAGGCAGGTATAACAACTGTGTCACAAGACCTCCAGTATGAGACTCCTCTATGGATTTCCTCAATATGGAAAATTTGTTAATTATACGGACTGCCAAAAATATTCTGCATAATATGCTTTATAATGGAATGCTTTTCACTGCCCTGAAAATGTTAACACCTTATTACAATTAGGTAAGACCCTTATTGTGTTTCATAAATAACTTTTTTATTTTTTTTTACTACTCTGGGCAGATAGCATAGAATTTACCTTATTATTATTATGACTCCAGCCTCTCTCAGAAGTATGGAATGAATTATATTTTTAGTGGCATATATGGTACAGATTCTTCTTCTACATAAGGATTCCACAGATACCAATCTTATTCCCCATGCTGATATAATTCAGGAGGATATACATACACTAGCTGATACTGAGAAATTCATACACCCTTCTTTATTGTATATGGACCATCACACCGGATGACTGGTTCTCCAGGCAGGCCCTCTACTAAGAGAACATCTTCTGTTGGAATAGATATATGCAGCCAAGAAGTAGCCATTTACAATGTCAAACGAAACAAAAGGAGAAATGGAAGCTGTACACTGCTTACTTATTAGCCTCCAGAGAAGAAAGTTGAAGGGTTTTTTTAAAAGGTATATTCAGTTAAAATCTACTGAATACTTTTTATTCTAGAAACTCCACAGGACTTAATACCTAATCACTTAGTTGCCTTAATGCACTGCCAAATACTAGCTGTAAACCAGTAAAAGCAGTGAAAGAATACTAACTTAAAATTTTGTAATCTTGAAAACATTGAATGTACTCCAGGTTTTGGCTTTTTGCATGTAAATGTATAACACTAACAGTGCAATAAACTGCAATCATCCTAATACACTATGAATGTCGGAAAGCCTGTGCAAACAATTTAATGAAGTCATTTTTAAATCCGAAAAAAAGAACATTTAAAAAGTACATGAAGTATCCTTTCAAAATCCTATAATGTTAAAGAAAAACTAGTATTTATAAACTTCTTGAATAAAATGTTTTTTGGGAACTCAAAATATACTTTGATGAAAAATCAGACATTAAAGCTACAACTTGTCAGATCTACACTAAGGTTTCAGATGCCTTAGTATTTGATTGTGGTTTTTTTGTTGGTGTCTTCAATGAAACAAATTAGCAAAATAATACTAATGACATGTTACATACTACATTGCATGCATTCTGTTAAACACTCATTTATTGCTGTACATGCAATCACAATAGTGTAGTTTATAGTGACAGTGACATTTAGGAACAGTCATGTCACAAAGGAGGAGGCACAATCAGTACAAGTAAATTCATGTGCTCTGTAGGAGGAATATAAATTAAATGGGAATGAGTCTTAAAGGTTAATGAACCAGATTTTTTCCATATTAAATATTTATTTAAAGTACTGTATTTAGAACTGATCACAAATGGGAACTGATGAAGAAATGCTTTGCATAAACTTGTTGATCTTACAAACTTCGCTAATTTGCTGTGGCGTTTAGGAAATATTCTGAATGATTTAAAGAACTGAACATCGGTACATATGAAAAGCATTTGACTGACAAGGCTCAAAGGAAGAGATTCATAACAGACCTGCGATCTCTTGACATTCCTCCTCTAACACAGTCAAATCAGTCTTGTAAAATCCAAACCTCAGATACGGAACCAACGTATATTTGGCAAGCTTCATTCTTCTATTCCAACACTTTTTCTTTCATATAATTTCCCATTTGCATCTTTGTTATAGGAATCTTTTCCTCACACCCTGTATTTAATTCCTCTAATGAATAAATTATAGTATACAAACATCAGTAACTGCACCATAATTGATGTCAATGCAAACCTTGAAAACTACCTTTGCTACATTAATTTTCAAATAATGTTTCAAATACTGCTGAAAAAAACGTGTCAAAACCTGTCCACAAACAAGATCAAATCCGTGTAACTATTGAGTTTGTCTCTGCAGAGAAATACATGCGGGAACAGGAAGGAGAATGTGAAATTTCAATTCTCTGTAATAGCTGTCCCCCCTCCTCCGCCCCAATTTAACTCCTAAATCCTTAAGCACACAGGTTTTCATGTTTCTTGTTGTTAATGCCTATTTTTATGAATAAAGTCTGAGGGACTCAGTCCTAAGTCTTACATTTGTTTTGTCAGATAAATTAATTTAGCTTTCACTGTTTAACATTAGAGATTATGAGCAATACTAGTGAAAACATATAGTGACTCTAAGCAAAGAGAACTCCCAGTCAGATTTTCCTCATCATGCAGTCAAGATGGATATTAGCTTAATTTTTTTCTGTGTCAGTGACTAAGATACTGGGAGATTCTCTTCTCCCACTTGACAAAGACAAAAAGACACAGAATTATCTAGCTCGTTGATGAAAATTGATGAGTTTCTTGTATGAAGCCCAAGTTACATTTTAAGATCAAACTACCATTGCTGACAGCACTGGGTGTGAGCACTGTAAATCTTGATATACTCATTTATTTTTCTTCCTTTCTTTGCTATAAAAAATATAACTTTGTAATTTTGAAAGTGTGAATTTAAGTTTTAATGCCCAGGTTTAATTTAGCATTATGAAGCCATTGCATAAGTATAATTTTAAAAAGTTTATCCATTCTCAGTTTTATTTTTATTTTATATCCATCCTCTGTTTTTCGTTGATATGTGCATCCATTTAATGGAAATACAAATTGATTAATAATTTATTTCAGTACGTATTTGTTGTCCACTCTAATTGCTGGGTTTACAGAAATATTTTGTGAGTACAAGTACTGCAGTTATCCCTGCACCTGGGAAAAAAGATGTTATTTGATAGGGTTAAACCAATTTACAGCTTGTGTTCCAAAGCTTTGAAACTACTGTTTCCAACACTTTCACCAAAGATGACAAAGGCAATAAAAGGCGTATGCCTCTGTTGTTTTACAAAGAGGCTTGTTTTTCATCTTCTGTATTCATCTAATCCACTATTTAAAAAATCAGCATAGGCAGTGAAATGAAAAACATTTAAGTAATTGCTGTTCTGAATGGATGTAATGTCTCCTTTTTGACATATTTGGTGTAACGCTGTTCTGTATTTTTAAACTTAGACTTTGAAAAGATGCCTCAAAAGATACTCGGAAGCACACTCGAATTATTTCTATATCTTCAAAGGCTGAGACTGAGATAAGGGCGGTCCAGTTCTAAAACCTTAGAGATATATGAATATATAACATGAAATAGAAAACTTCTTGTCCTGTTAACATGCACATCATTAGTAGAACTGCACAGATGCACAAAAATTACACTGGTTGGCCAGATGATAGATCACATTCATTTGGTAGATTGTGACCCAATTTCTGCAAGTGAGTGGCAGAGAAAAGAAGTGATTTCCAGTTGCTGAATCCCACCAGATTCCAGAGTCAGAATCACAGAACGGATTCAGTTGGGGTTAGGAAGATAGACAGAAGAGACAGATGCAGCCTACTGTTAATGGCTGAGTGAAAATGAAGCTGTATTATACTACGTGCTAGTTATCATAGCCGCAGCTCTTTCCTCTGTGCTCATCCCCTGTGGGTGAGGGCACAGTCTGTGCTAGGGCTGCTGTACCTCCATAGTTCTTTGAGGTGTCCCATAATTAGGTAAGGCCTTTATCTACCTTCTGCTTGCAAAAGAACATACCTTTGAACTAGGAAACATAATTTTAAAAAGGTAGCATTCTACTGTAAGAGCAAGAGAGAATAAAAAATTCATACCTCTGTCCTGCTCTGGCTCATAAAGTTCAATTCACTCATACTCTCATTTAATTTACCTGTTTTGTTCACTCTTATTTATTTGTATCCATATTCTCAAACCCATTCTTACCTTTACAGTTAAAAAGCCAAACCCAATTTTCTAAATCTACTTGATGGACTTAATTTAGTTATTGAATTAGTTTCTCTTTCAATTAGAATAAAAGCATACACTAAGAATTTAAAGATTAGCAGTGAATAATCTCTCAGTCATAGCAAACTGACAAAATATCACATCCTGTTTTATATTTTTAAATTATTAATTGTTCTCAGTTCTACCAACACAATCAAATTAGTTCTTCACTACCCTTCAGTGTCAGAAACTACTCTTTTTTTAATGCTCCCTTTCCCTTCTCAACCAACACAGTAGAAGGATGAAAACTCTACCTTAGTAAAGTTTCCTTTCCTTTGCCATCAGTAAACCCATCTTTCAAATTGCTACAGTGAAAGCCCATCCATCTTAGCCTAAAATACATTAATTTATCCTGGGTTTGAGGTTTCATGCAGTTACTCACCAGCACTTTTTCAAAAACATTCAAACTTATTCATAACGGAATATTTCTCCAGATGGCATTAGAGTTACAGAGCCTTCAGTTATAAGTCTAAGGTTTTTTCTTATTTCCTCCTATTATTATTTTTACATTAATACTTTTACTAGATTAGTAAAAATGGAAACTATTACACCTTCTTCCAAAAATTGAAGGAAAGAAATACAAAATGTTACAAGAGTAGCCAAGAAGCAGAGAGCCAATTTGAAGTTACTGTTAATTTTGAAACCCATATATAATTGAGTCAAAGTCAGCACAGTAACTCTGGATTGTGTTTTGGACTACACACACACACAAAGTAAGGGAGCAGAAAAAGGCTATGCCTTTGAAAAAAAGTAATTAAGTTCACCTATAATTATGTGAGTAAGACTTATGTGTCCTTGTGGTGGGTGGAGCTATACTCTCAACTCCCCACCCTCAACAGGACTGGGAGAGAAAACAAGGTGAAGAAGTTTGAAGGTTGAGATAAAGAGAGGGAAGTCACTTATGAATCACCATCACAAGTAAAACAGGCCCTACTTAGGGAAAATTAACTCATTTCCAATTTAAATAGTTTTGGGTGGTAAGAAAACACCTGACCCCCACCTACCCCTTTTTTTCCCCCTGGCCCAACTTCACTCTTTCACTCTCAGCTCTTCCACATTGCTGCAGAGGGATTGGGAATGGGGCCCGAGGCCAGTCTGTAACAGCTCCTCTCTGAAGCTCCTTCATCCTCACATGTTCCACCTGCTCCAGCAGGTGGTCCTTCCCAGGGAATACAGTCTTTCAGGATAAATCTGCTCCTTCGTGGGCCGCCAGCAGCTCAACACTTGCACCCAGCCCGGTCCAACACCTCCTTCTGTGTTGTTTAACCTGTGTTAACTTCCCTGGCTTGAACAGACACAGGTCCATATGCAAAAGTATGTGTGTGAGGCCAGTGCTTCACGGTGTCCCTGCTAGGTACCATTTTAGCTGGTGCTCCACATTTTATTGTGTTCCAACACAACAGCAGAATGCAGACAGTGCTGCCTAAAAGTGGGTGTCCTTCCAGGATTTTTATTTATCCCATTTCAAAGGCCTCCAGACAATGGAAATGTTATAGCTTTCCAACTTCTTTCAATATAATTAAACCAGTAACAATTTTTTACAAGAATCAAGTAACCCAAGTATCGAATTTGTGGGTTCCAATTCAGAACACGAGCGGAAGGGGAGCCCTGTGCATTTCACAGACCCATCAGTATTTCCTGCAGCTGTGATGAATGCAGAAAATGCATTTACTTTTTAGAAAGATGTCTAACAAAGATATAAAAGCGCAAGCTTAAAAAACTTAGAAATTTGAATGGCATGGGTCACTCCTGTTGGGTCTATTATCTCTGTAATCTATAAACTCTGCTTCTCCTGTGGCAGCACAACAAGATAAATGGGAAGCAAAGCCAGCTAATCCATACATCCAGCTCAGGAAGTGAGGCAAACTTGCTGACTGGCTGCTATCAGTAAAAGTATCATAGAAACAACTTCCCTATTAAAGAGTGAATTAATGCAGACCTACTGTCCTGTTTGTAGGCAAGAGCCTGTTCATCGAGAGAGCCTCTTGCTTACATTTGTCACTGTGGCAATCAGGACTGCTGACTTGGTTGTTTACCCCGTGGAGGGGCTGCACCTGTGGGGAGGAGTGGACAGTGACATCCCCCTGGGAACACAATACAGTTTTGTGTATATTATATCTTTTTCATTATTTCCTTTTTTATTTTATTACTAACATTTCATTAAAATAGTTTATTTTTTCCTAAATTCACAAATCTTTCTCTCTTTGGAGTGAGAGGTGGGGGAGAACACCGGTCATCTTGTCATCACCCAAGGGGGCCCAAACTGCAACACCTGCATTTTCCAGGATAGCTCAAGTAGCTAAAAAGTGAGGGCTGTGGCTAGTTAAAGGTTGGGTTTCAATGTAAGTATTTGATCAGCCTTTACGATATCAGACCCATTAAAGAAATATATGCCTGGATCACACAAGTGAAAAGGTCTACCTGAGACCTCACAAGTACAGTAAAGGTAGAGTTCACAACTCTCAATCCAGAGCAAAATCTTCTAATTGAGCTGCTGCTGCAACTTTGTCTCTTCCCAAGGATTAGTCAGTTAAAACAGTCTTCTTGCAGCTATTCCTTGCTCAATTTTCAAGTTCATTAATCTTCATGATTTAAAATATGCATTTCAAAGAGCACCTCTGGTGCTTAAATATTTTAATGTGCTGGACTAATTGATAACTATGGTTAAAGCTGTGCTGTTTGAAAACCCTGGGAAATGCCAAATTAAATCTCACTGCTTATGTTGTCATATAAATAAGGTATCAGTTGTAGCTTACCACTATTAAAATTGTGTCTAAATCACTGTCTTTATGCTGCTAAAACCAGAAGGAAAAAAAAAAAAAAAAAAGGAGTTTTATGTTGTGCTAAGAAGAAGCAAGAATAGTTTCATGACAAATCCCAAGATGCATCAGATAATTCATTTGGCACTGGATTCAAGAAGCACTATTTGTGTTTGTAACCAGTTCAGGATGCCTCTATGAAACTACACAACTGACTCAAGTTTTTTTTCAAATACACTGTACGTAATAAGGTTAATATTTCTGTCTGACATAAAGCAGTTCCAGAGATTTTTTCTGGCTGAAATAGAAGTTACTGCACTACCATTTGGTTCTGGCCAAAGGAGCTGGGTGGTTGCCTGTAGACAGCACCCACAATGCTGCAGCTGACTGCTAATGTGCTGAAACAGATTCACCTTCTATGGTATACAGATAATGGGCATCCCTTTTTAAGTTTATGCCATCATCAGACAAATCTGACATATTCTATACCCCGGGGCCTGTAGGCATAGGTAAAAAGGTTTGATCTTTAAAAAAAAAAAAAGCAAAATCAAAGCCATATATTAATTACCTTAGCCAGATGAGTATTGATCCATTTTGTGAAAGTCCTTTTCTGCACTGACTCTTGCTCATCTGAGAAAAAAAAAAGGGAATCAGTTTGATTAGACATTGCTGAATACTTTTGGATTTACAAGATGGAAGAATAGTATTCCTTGTTGACAACAAATGCATTATATATTTACCAGAAATGTCACTGTATTTTCTTGAGACAGTTAATTTTATCCTTAACTATCGACAAATACTTCATATTCTTATAGTTTTACCAGAAATGTCACTATATTTTCTTGAGACAGTTAATTTTACCTGTAACTATCGACAAATACTTCATATTCTTATAATAATGCTCTGACATTTGACTATTTGAAGAGTTTCACAGCAAAGTTCAAGTCTTAACAAGTCAATGACCAGTAAGACACTATTTCAAATCTGAATGCCAAGATAAATTTGACATCTAAGTCCATATTATATTTACCCAAGGTCCAAGCACCTATAACTTCTCTGTACTTTTTAACTAGAATCCATGCCTCCAACAGTTAAGTTGCTTTTATGTAGAAAGTCAACTAGGGACTTCGAAATATATGCTCTTAGCATGTCTATTTGAGAATTTTTAGCATGTTGAATTAAAGATTTGAAATTGTATTAGCAAGTTTATTTGTCCTCTGGGAGATCCTGCCGAGGAGGAGCCACTAGCTAGCTCAGGCAGTTTCTGTACTGCTACCTCCCTTAGTCCTGTCTTGAAGCACTTGTCTGATTTATAGTGAATTTCACTGATTTTCAGATAGTCCCTCAGGGACCCTGTTGCCAGCTGCATGGACAAAAATAGCTCCTGAATGAGCTCCTCCAACTTCAGCAGTCAGGGTCATGGCTGCGGAAAGAAGAAAATCACCGTGCCATAACCAATCCACAAAGTCCTGTTCCTTCCTTGTGGGGAATCAGGTTTGACACATGGAATAATTTCACGATAGGGGCATTCAAGTTTTTATGTTGGAGATTTTTCTTTCAGAAGGAAATGCCCATTTTATTGAGAAACAAATAATTTTATTACCATCACCAGCTCTGAATGAGCACCTTCGTTCCCCTACAGAAAATCCAAATAAATAAAAATACTGTTAAATATTTATTTTTCATAAGAACACATGCATGTTCCAAAACGTACACACAGCAAATCTAATTTTAGTTACTGCCTTTGCTACTGACTTGTGTAACACTGAATAGTGATTTGATCTCTTTTGCATCTTTAAAATTAAAAGGGGAATATTCTTTAATCCCCTTTAAGGTTCTGGAACAAATAACTAGTAAGTTTGATGCACTACTGATAAGCTTCCTAATTTACACCTGCTCCACAATGAGGGTACATAAAGATACAAACAGCCACACAAGATTTTGGCTGATGAATTTTAAGTGGGACAGCAATGGCTCCCTCACAACATACAAGCTCCCAAAAAGTGTTCTTGCGTTATGATTCAGGGATGTTTTCTTTACATATAAATGATATCTTACACACAAGAAATACCAGAGGGAAAAAAGATACACATACTTCCAGCATCTATTGCTAGATTAGATTCATGCCTAAGAAAGTAATTTTGCATTCTTTATTTTCCTTTTCTCTGATTTCATTGGGGAGGCTGTCTTACATCATTTTAAAAACATTCATTACATTCTCAGAATCTACCTGTTGCACTGACAGGCAAGCTATGAAAAATATCACTCAAAATACAGCATTGCGCTTCACTGAATACTGACTATTTTTGGCAGTGGGTGTTTTTATACATGATAATTGTTTCTACATTCTAGAAAACAGACTTCTCACTCTATGGTTCCTAGCCATGAAACAAGATGTTCCCCTTGTGCCATACAGCAAATGTCACCTCTGTTCTGATGGGCAGTTACACACAGAGGTAGCCCAATTAATTTCAATGGAAGCACTTGCACACTTAAATTGGGTTGTGTGTGAGTGGGTGTGGGGATGGAGATTGAGCACACACAGAATCGGTCCAACTCTGGCTTCATTCAGACCCCTGTAACTTAAAATTCCCCAGCAACCTCGATACAACAACAGCATGCCAAAAGAAAAGAACCCGGCCTTTAGAAGCCAAACTTCTGATCAATGAAATGAGTGAAAATGATTCCCTAATTTGTAGTTCCAGTGCATCCTGCTGATTTAAGAAGCAGCCTTCTGACAACAACTGGAAATCAGAGAACCAGCTCCTGGTTTCTAAATGTTTGCCAACAGAAGACCTACTCATTTTCAGCAATATCAACAAACAGCAGAAATAGCCTTTCAAAATAATCTGTTTCAAGGGAACATATGTAAGCAATATATTCTTTGCGAACCAACAGCAACTATTAATAATGGTTTCGTATTTTTCTAGCATTTATTTTGCATAGGCTTAAAAGGAAAACATCTTACCACTGTAAAACCTATGTCTGAACATAACACAAGCAGTGCATTGATTTTTACAAATTCCACAATGAACATGCTTTTTACAAATTTCCCTGGAAATTCATTGAACTGATAGAAATTCTCTGCAGAGGTACTGTTTACCTGTGCTCACATCATACAGTTTCCTAGGCTCTCCCCACTTGCAAGCACCACCAGCTCCTTTGCACCACTTACCCTGCCGGTACTGAAAGACCCCAGGAAGCAGATTTAGCGACGTAACATTTCTGCCACCAGCACCTCTGTAGCGAGCCATAAGCACTGCTGCTGCTGCTGCTCCTGTCTCCTGTAGTCTGCAGCGTTTCTTTAGAATCCAGCCAGAAGCAATTTTTCAAGAACAATCTGATTATTTTTATTTTTTTTTTTCCTTCACTGGAAATTGTGGCCCCTTACACAAATCCCTCCACCTGCTCTTATCAGAGAATTCACATGAAGCCAAACCTTAAAAACATCTTTATATATTCTTGCAGAGATGCAACAGCCAGGCAAAGCCAGCTGTATGGGAAGGAGCAGTTCTGCTGGTCTCACTGCCATCATCCTTCTCCACTGTTTTGCTGTGGAAAGATTTTATTATCCAAGCACCAGCCAATCCGCTGGCGGAAACCTCTGATGTCAAGAGCCTGAATAATTCATCCAGGGACTGAGACAACCCAACTACACTGCCGATATCCTAAAGCAGCAAGATGTGTAGCTGCAAAAAGCGATGCAGTCTTCTCACTAGTGCTTTTGTAACAATATACTGCTCAGTAAGCATAAAAATGGCTGAATGGCATAGCCCTTCTCCAGGCTGTCATATATCTAAAGGAAAGAATCTTTTAAAAGCAACCCAAGCAGGGTTCATCACTGCATACTCTATTTAGACACGGATGTCCTTCAGCTTTACAACTGAAACAGTGAAGTGGAAGAATTAGCAAGCAATGAATTTGAACAGACATGTAGGCCACTTAGCTTTTAATAATATATTTGAACTGTTGTATGAGAAGGATGAAACAGAATTTTTGGAGTGCACCTAGACCAGCTTGAAACATACTCAAAGTTCTGATAATATGCAGCGCTCTCTATTTCATTAAATCAGAGCATCAGAGCATTTGAACAGACTTTGTTTTGCTCTGGTAAAATGAAGGCAGTTATGAAACTGTGGAGATTCATATGTTGTTCACCCACAGGGGCCAACAGAATAGTACACAATATTGAAATCAGAGTAAAAGGCTGACTTTTAATATGCCACTACAGTAAATGTATTGTTATAGAGGTTGAATTCATATTTCTGGCTTTGTAAAACACAATGACTCTGAAAAGATCATTCTGCATCTGAAAGAAATGTTGCAAGGAAGTTTGGTTTTATTTAAGCAAATATCTTCCTTTAATTGGCTGGAAATATCTTCATATTTTTACAAATAGGAAGATATTACAAATCACAAATTTTTACTTTTTTTCTGCCAAAGCACCACCAACAGACTGCACTTTTACGTTGATGAGGAAAAGGGACAAATGTAATCGGATATATTTACTTAAAAATATTTAGAACTCATTATTTTGAAAGATGAAAAAACCCAACCATGTATCCTCAGACAGTTACGAATATGCTGATGAAATATTCATCACGCATGCATATGATAATGACTAGTATCATGTGTATCACATGTATACATCAAGAGACAGAGTAGTGACATACTTTCTAGCAGAGCATCCCTGCCTGTCCCCCGTGGCAGCAGCTCCGTGTGCCAGGGGTGTGGGGTGGGCAGCAGCAGGTCCCACAGGGAGAACCTTTTGCCTCCAGTGCTTGGGTGTTGGATGGTGGGAAGGGGGCTGCAGTGCAGGGTTGTGAATCGGGTGTTCTTCTGCATGGTGACACAAGGAGGTCTCACTGAGTGAGACACGACAGAGACGAGTTGACAAATATCTAATAAAGGCATCTTGATTGATACTCAGTGACCTAATATTGCGGAGATTTGTTTTGTTTCTTACTTTAGTGAAATTCAATTCAAGTTACTCACAAATCACTTCCAGCATCCTTTTTTGTTTTCTTTGGTTTTGATAGTTCAATCCTAAAAACACCAAGGAGCTTCCTTGTATTTTTTTGTTTTGCTTTGTTTTGATTTTTTGTTTGTTTGTTATTGTTGTTTTTCAGGTCTTTGGTGCCTTTAGGATTACTGCTAAAACAACTTGGAAGCGCAGAAAAGTGTGACAAACCTCCTACAATGCTTCAAGATGTCACTTGAGAACACAACGCTGCACAGAAAACAGCGAACAGCACCCTGCTGGGAAAGCTTGTTTGGTCAGCAATATGGCACAAATTCTCTATGTTATACAGCAATTTCCATCTTCATTAGGGACATTCTTAACTTAAAGCAGCTGTAGAAAAGCTTGCAGAGTCAAAGCAATAGTAGGATACTTTACTTGTGAAAAGAAGTGATGTTTTGGGCTATGTAGTTCAATCAACACCTCCAAAACAGACAGATTGCCCCATTCAGGAATAGGGCACAGAAGCAATACAGGCCCAATTCTCTTCCTTTAAGTCTCCAGTTAATGTTTTTTATGGGACGATACCAGAATAGGTGTTTTTTTAAAAAAATTACAACCAACAAAGAAACAGAAGAAACCTTTGGTGGTAGCTCTAAAGCTAATGTAC